ATGTTACACTACCAGCGCTTCTCGCCCACACACCCCTACCCTCATCCTTGTCGATAATGGGTGATATTCGCAAGTTGTAGTAGGCCGATGTGCGGGCAAGCAGTCATGGACTCATCGGCGCTGCGTACTCGGCTATTTCTTTTTCTGCTCTTTATCCAGGACACCCCTGTATGCCGTCTTGGCTAATCTCTAATAACTGACTATGCTTTTGGCGAACAGGACGGAAAACATAGAGCAACCTCTCCGTACCAAGTAGGCTGGATGCGAAAAGGAGAAGACAGGAGATAGGTGGCGGCGCCACCGGCTCGGCACTGAGCCAATCCTTTTCAGCCTGGCTTCTGTGACATGTCGTGGTAAAAAGCCTCCGCGGGGAAGGAAGAATCCGTGGAAGTACACTATACGAATATGGTCACTGTACGAACATGGTTCACGAGTCGACCGCCCATTGGTAACGAACGGCTCGAACCCCTGCCGAGGCGGTGTTTTGCGTTGTCCTCTTCATCTCTATACATGAGGCCAATATAAAACCGACCTTGATCATCTGATGCGTTGAGCGGCCCCCGCCCTTGCTGGTCCGACAGACAGCCACGTTTCCGAATGAGACGCCTGGACCAAAACGGAGCACATATGAGGGACCACGGATGAGATGCAGGATCCGCCGCGTTGAAAGCCGGTTCTGCAAGTTGCGGTGAATTACACTACTTTCGAAGCGCACGCCCTTCTGGGAGCTGCTATTGTCGATCTGTCTCTGCCTCACTTATCGTCAGTGGGCTCGTATATTCGCAACAACTTGGGTTAGTTTCACTATTTATTTTCTCCGATTGAGCCATTTCGCCGAATCACTCGCAAGATTGAACAGCCAAGAAAATTTTGAAAAAAAAAAAAAAAAAAAAAAAAAAGGGGTATAACCAGCGCTTGGCGTTTCATTGACAGCAGACTCGTATCAACAAAAGGCTGATGATTAGTTATAGCCTCGTCAAAGTATCCGATCAGGATGAAAGCCGTTGAAAGAATGCTCCCGTCGCCAGCGCCTGAGCCGACTATGACGTGGTTGTATCCATTCTACCGCCACCAAAGCCCCCAAACAAGGATCCTTGTCGACTTAGAAAAAGAGCTCTGCAGGTCGAGCGCATGGCGAGGACGGGAACTTTGGCAGACACGAATACTAGTACTTCAACCTTTGCTCTATACCTGGGGGCAACGTGATACGTCAATGTGCATTTGAGCCGTTGCAGTGACGCCACACTCGTTGAAGATGCCTGCAGATGCCAAGGTTGGGTGCTGCCCCCCAAGTCTTTTTGACCTACATGGCTCCTTTCTGCATGCCGAATTCCTTCTTTTTTCCTTTCTTTTTTTTTTGCTCTCTCTTTTTCATACGTGAGTGATTTCACAGACCCAAATGGGCTAATCAAAAGAAGCTTCTTGGCCCCTTTACAGATGCTCTCTTGTATCGCGGCTACACACCCACAGACGCACGAGCGACCTTTTATATCTCACCGCTCCATGGCAACTCCACCGCGGTTAAAAAGGACCTGCGAGCTTTTTTTTTCCCTCTTCCTTGACGAGACTTTTTCTTTCCGAATCTTGTCAATAACTAACTCACTAACCACATTTTACAGAAATGCTAGTGTATAGGGTTAATTAACCCCCTCATCCACAAAATTCTGCATGTTTAGGTTGGAGGCACCAGGGCCCCCTTTCGTGCTGACCGCATCGGCCGGGCCTCCATCGACCTGCAGAGAGAGGTGCATCCCAATGCACGCAAGGGCCGGGTTGTCGAGGGCCGAGGACTCTGCCGGCGAACCGGGGATGAAATGACATGTGTGCGCCGTAAATTTTCATCGGCCCCTCCCCGGCCATGGTCGGCAACGCGGCATACATCGGACACCAGGAAGTGGCTCATTCCGATTGTGGGCTACTTATTACGTCCCAAGGGGCATGAGCCGTGTCGCATTATCAGAGCATCTTCTTTAGATCAGTCGCCTCGTTAGGGGCCATGTCTGGTGCACGGATGGATATCAAGTGAGAACTTGCTTCTATGCCCGGTCATTGAGCGCACCGGGCTCTTTTGCATGCACACCTAGCTCTTCAAATCAGCGTGTTCTTCTTCTTCAAAACCAGCACCCCCTTGCCATCTCCACCGGCAACCTCGAGTTGCCCGTGTTAAGCCATCGAGCCGGATCTAGTGGGCATCTCACATGCGACAGCGCAACGTTGACTTTGTTCCGAGATCTCGAGTTGCTGGTTACGTCGAGTGCACATGCTAATGCAACTAGAGAAAACAATAAGAGAAGAAGCCGACGATTCTTCAATTCAATTTCCCCCTGCATCTGCGTGTCGAGTGGCGCAGATTCCGGTGTCAGACTAGCCCCTTGCACTTGCGCTGGCCGGTCAAGTCGCGGTGGCGATCATTGTCACTTGTACCTGTACACCCGGCTTGCTTGATTGGTGTTTTATAGTCCCTGACTGGAAGCAATGCATCATGATAGAGCAAAAGAGGCATCGGTCGCTACCCAATTTGCATGGTTCATGACGCACACACCCTGTGTGGCCTCACACAGGTCTTCATCTACAGAAGATCCCATCAGTGCGCTACCTAGCTTGACAGCGGACACCCATGCTTGCTCGTTCATCGGCACATGAGTTTGAACATGTCTTCTCCCAATTCTGCTACAATGCTCAAGTAACCAACTAGTCTACGAAGCCAGCCAAAGCCTCGAACACGACGTCTTTTTCAGCCGTGAGTTGGTTGCCCTCGCACCCCCCCACCACAAACAACAACTTTACTTGGACTTAGCGATCGTGGGGCCGCTGTATCTCATCGATCGAAGGTGTGTTGGGCAAAAAGTGTGTCTTTAAATAGAAAACTGATAGGCAGCTGGGCGTGGAGCGGCGGGCTAGCTTAAACTCTGTTTGCCGTGGCGGGAAGCAACGAACACGCCAATTCGCATTCTCGTCTTTCTCGGCAAGAGATTATCTTGCTTGGCCCCTTTTAGCTTTAGAGTTGCCATCAATCTCGACCCCGCAGAGTATCTATCCGACAGTGAATGGGGGCATCTGCTCGAGGCGAAGAGGCTACAGCAAAGCACACGGACCTCTGGTCGCTTAAGAGGAATGCATCATTACATTAGCCAGCCCTGCCCATACCAGGCTTGGCAATCAGAAAGTACAATGATGTGTTGCTTTATGAGAAAGATACAAAGAAGAAGGGGAAAGGGGGGGTTATGGCTGTGGCATGGACCGCTCCCTCATTCATCGTGGGTGGTGGCGGCGGCGAGGGGCTCACCATGGTTCATAAGTTCCCTCACGGGCCAACCATTGCCCCGAGCCTGGTTGGTGTTTCTAGCCTGGCCTATTCTGTCCACGAAGCAACTAACCAACTAACTAATTAGTTGGGAATGACAGCATAACGTGGCGTGCCTGGCAGGAAGATCCCCTGCCACCATGCTCGGATCTATTGCCAGTGTTCACCCCATGTCCGAAGTCAGACAAGGCGGCTGAGCCGCTTCTGAAAAAGGTGAAACTAGCACAGGCCGACCTGGTGTTGCAACCCCATGGCGTATCAACAATAAGATGGCTTACAACTACTTGGCGTCTCGGGTTGTTGAATAATGGATAAGTGCATCAGCGCAAGTTGGCGTGGCATTGGGATGCAATTAGGAAGAGAGATTCAGATGCGCATAACTGTCATCGAGGCTTAGTATCTGCGCCGTTGCCACTGGATCGCTTTTAGCACGGCAAGCCCCAATGGCTTATTCGTCGATCGCCCTGCTGACTGTAGTTGTCTCAGTCGTTGACGACCAAGTCCGCTGTCAACGGCGACACCGAGTTCAGGGGCCCTTGCCTGCTCACCTGCTGCTGCTGTCAATCAATAAGCACGATGCAGTTACACCGTGAGGTCAGATCGCCTCTCTCAGCACAAATCTTGTTCAACGGCAACTTGAAAGAACAACTCACCCGACTCTCCATCTGCATAAGGGTGTTCACTCACTCCCCCCCCCCCCCCAGACACGGACAATAGTTACGTTACAGAGCGGCCGCGGGATCGTATACATCGCACACATCTACATAAAAGGGAGAAAAAAGCCATGACCGCAAGATGCCACCTGCTCCGGGCACCATAGAGATCCCAACCTCCCTCCCCGGTGTTATTTCCCGTTTCGTTGACCTTGGCCGTTTTCGGTGTCAGAAGCATAATTCGCAACTTTAGTTTTTTAGCCGACTTTTTCGCAGTGCCTGCCCGATGCAACCAACCAAACCGATTCGGGCGCTTCCTCGGCGGCTCTTTTGCTCTTTCATCCCCATCAAGCCCTGAGATCAACATCTGCCGAGAGGAATCTTTCCACGTACCTCTCGGTCCCCCTCCCCTTATTAAAACTCAGATTGAGTCCCTCGTCGGAGCCAGCCGGGGACGAAAACCGGGGTTCTTGAACGGCGCGAGCGCGACCGAGCGCGCGCATTCGGTGCATGGCGTTTGTGCACTTGTTGGGCGAGGTTGTTCACGCCTTGATTTGCTCAGACGAACGGTCATCTTGTGTTCCTGTTTGCTCCGTAGCGTCGCAACTCGCAGCACCAAGATGGGGATATCCACGCCTCTGCGGTGCATGACAGATAGGTTGACCCTTTGCCCTCCACGGCTGTTGCGTAACCAGCCAAACGCCCCTGCTTCGTGCCTTGTGACACCGTTTATCCTGCGTGTGCCTGGGATTGTTAGTCAGGAAGCTGCGCGCGCCCCTCTCGCAGCATAATAAGCTTGGCTTGAGATTGTTGACTGTCAAGTTGTCAAGCAGCTGAAACAAGGAGTTGCCGATGGCGTGTATAGATGAAAACCAACTAAATAAAAACAGACCAAGTGGAAAACACCTTACAACGCCTCTAATCCGGGCTTTTATACCATATACTGTACAGTCCATAAACATGTGTTGCACGGTACACGGGTGGGAATGCCATGTCGCGGACAAAGTGCACCTCCACCACATGAGTTCGAACACCTGCCACATCTAGATCTCGCGACACCATTTTGCCATGACAGCGCTGAGCTTGACTCCTGATGGAATCTCTTCCAGTGACACGTCCACCTTCCACATCCGTCCGTCCAGCCCCCCACTACCCAACGTCCTGCCGCCCCCAAGGCCGGACGGGACGAGCAGGCTCAGCCCGACCAGCCGCTCCCAGGCGGTGCTCGCGACGCCGCGGCCCCATACGCGGACGTTGCCTCCGACAGCGACGAGCCCCGACGCGGCTGACTGCACGCGCTGCTTGCCGACGAGCGCGCTGTACTCGTCGTACGCCATGGCGAAGTTGACCGTGTCCGTGTGCGCCACGATGTCCAGCCTCGCCGCGGCGATCAGCAGACTCAGGTCCAGCTCGGACAGGCTGTTCAGCAGCTGCATTCGGGAGTCGGGGGGTGCCAGCGAGGTCAGCTCGGCCTCGGCGGCGGGTACGCGCAGGGTCAGGTCGTTGGGCGATAGATACGACAGCGGGAGCATCCACTCGGAGAAGAATGCCGAGGCTGACTTGGTAGTGTAGAAGTGATACTGCAGTAGATCCTGGAATTGGCGATGCTTGTAGAGTTCCTGTGCCAGCAGTGTTAGTGGGTTCTCGGCATGGTAGAGACAAGGCTTTTTTCATACGTCGATCTTGCGAGTCCAGTACTCTTGAAAATCTGCGTAGCCCTCGAGCCCGACATCGAGACCTTCTTTCTCCCCATCAGCTTCGCCGAGCATCAATCCCTGCCTGCAGATTTGCCAGTACGCCGGCAGTGCCTTGGCAAGGGACAGATACACGTATCGGTGGCTGAATCGACTCTTGACACGCTTCTCTAGCATCTCGACCACGTCCATGCGCGTTGTGCATCCTAGAACGGCGATTGGCGCTTTTCGAGACTGCGCAATGTCGAAGAGGTTATATAAAAGTGTCTGTCGGGGGTGAGCGGCAAACATGTCAAATTCGTCAATGACAAACACCACGGCTTGCGAGGTGACACCTTCATCTCGTCCCAATATTTCCGACGGGTGGGACAGCAGCGCAAGTAATGACGCCATTGTATCAGCATAGTTTGACTGCATACTTCTTTAGCATGCGCGACGTGGTGAAAGGGAGATGAGAGAGTACCTACTCTGTTGAGAAGGTCGTCTTCGACTTGCATTTCCTTGCCCAGTTGACGCCAAATTTCTCTCAGGGCGATTTTGTCGTCTGTGTGGATGAAGCCACTCAGGCGAACCACGTGAAAGTCCTGCCGATATTCTTGTGATAGCTCCGATATAGTATTTTCGACAAGCTGAGTTTGTTAGCATGAAACATGCCCTACCGCGGATGAGGAAACATACAGTCGTCTTGCCGCTTCCTCTTGGCCCTATCAACAGCATGGAATTCCCTTCTCCTGCCAGCACCGTCTGCTCAATGAGCTGCTTCACCTTGTCGCTGGCCTCGTCTTGGCCAAACATGCGTATTCGGCGGCGGCCGGCGCAGCGATCGAGCAGTAGCCGCTGCATGGCGCTCAGATGGCGATCCAGATTGGGGATCTCAGGAACATCGGGCTTTCTAGGAGCCGGCGCAACAGCAAGCCCGGTATCAGCCTTGGTGGTTTGCAGTACATCCTCCTGTGTGCACGACTTGCAAAGCCAATCACCCTCGGGAATCTCCGGTATTCCGTAGCACTCCTGGTGCACCGCAAAGTCGCAGTTGTCGCATAGTATGATTTCGTTCGGGGGCTTTGAGTGAGGCTTTGCGCAAATGCCGCAGGTGATGTCGTCAACGGGCTGCTGTTCGAGCTTCTTTTTCGGCCTTCCCGGTTTCTTTGCGCTGGCGCTTCGGGGGATGTGGTCAAACAAGCCGCCGCCCAGGCCGTTGCCTTCAAACGTGACGTTTTTGCTGGGCCGCGGGCCTCTCTTCTTCGTAGGAGTGAGGATGCCCTTGGGCGCATTTGCCACGGAGGGGGAGAAGAGTCGGCTCTTTGTCGGCGAGTCGGCAAGCGTGGGGGCCAGCGAGGCATCCTCGGCGGCCACGGCTGGTGCAGGCCGGGGCACGTCACCGCTGTTTTCGAGACTTCGGAGAGGAGTCGCCAGGGGCCTGGGTACCGGCACAGACGCAGGCGCAGCAGCCTTCTTCCTGCCTCTGGGCTTTGCGGCCGGCTTCTTCGCAGGCGATGTCTTTCCTGTGGTGTCCCATTTCGTTCCCTTCAGATACTTGAGCTTGATGGCTGGTCGTGGGGGCGGTGAGGGCGGCCGAGGAGGAGCAGGGGCGGGCTCGACATGTGTTTGTGTCGACATTGGAGCTACCGGCGCAGGTTTGGCAGGCGATGCGGCGACCGAAGTTGGCGGCTGCGTTTGTGGAGAGGCGGCGGCGGCGTCGGCGGATGGGGGAGCTGTGCCGTTCGTGCTAGCAGTAACAGCGTCGCCGTTGGTATCTGCGGCCGGTCGGTTGTAGCCAAAGACCCCCGAGATGGCAGCAGCAATGCTGCCAAGCCGAATCCCGGGGCTGTGGCCGTCTAGGGTGGTGATGGCATCTTCGAATCGCGGACGCTTCAGCTCGAGGTCTGCGTTCGGCGGCGACAGCGTGTCCGTTTCATCTCGCGATCGCTTGTCTCCGGCTGAAGCAGCGGTATCCTGCGTCATCTTTTTGGGCGTCGCTGCTATGGTGACAATTGTCGCTGCGCAAACATCGCTGAGTGGATCTTGATCTGGTTGAGGCAGGGAGTTTGGCGTGACGTGGGAAGACGCGATCAGACGCGCTGGGGCTCTGAAGCTGGAGCCACTTTACGCGCTCCAGTTTGCGCGTGCAGCCCGTAGTTGTGCAGACAGCAATGAGAATCGAGTGAGATTGACGAAACAAGTAATAATTTTTAAAGAAAAAAAATCCTCAGTCTCAAGTTCACCTGCACTTTTAAAGAAACATTACGAATTGTAAGTGGATTCAATGCATAATCGTCACCTTAATCCCACCCATCGTACATCACTTACCCTATTTACTAACAGTCCTGCCTTTCAAGCAAACGTCAACTTCTTCACCTCACATCTCTGTCCTACCATCATCATGTCGAGCCAGAACCAAGGGATACCATTCTACAATGCCTCAGATAGCTCGGGCTTCCGCCTCATAGAGATACCGCCCGAGCTTGAGACGCTGCTCCAGGGTCCCAATCCACCAGTGTATGTTGCACCTCATCCCATGATATCATGCAGCTACAGCTGACGCTGATGGGACAAGGCTGTATCTAGAGCCCGGTCCCGATGACATGGCCACCTTGCGCAGCCCAGAGCACACGTACAATCTCAAGCAGAAGAATACTTCCAACAGCCTGTTCCTCGTCAAGCCCTACACGGCCGACGCGGCCTCTCCCCAACAGGGCGTTGCGGCCGTCGCCACCATCAAAGAGACGGTTGAGCTCGAGCGCGTTAAGAAGATGACGGACGGGGAACCCGCGCCGCCCGCGAAGACTGTCGGGAAGTGGCATGAGAGATTTGCTCACGGCCGGTAGCCGCCCAGCCCCCGTTCGCACTCCTACCCTTGAACCTATCCCTCAGGCGGCGCCGCAGGCGGTTATTCATAGTCATTTCTAGCGTTTTCGTTCAGGACTGAAAGGCAAGCTCGGTCCTTTCTTTTCTTATGCAAAATCCAAACATCAAAGTTCTTATGACTCTATGGTTCACCTGCCCATCAATAATATTTGTATACTTGTTTGCGGAATGCCTAGGTGGATTTGGGCCGTCTCCCAATCCTCGCCCGTCTATTCATGAATGACACAGAACAACAAACAACGTGTACATCGCGCAATACGTTTTGCAAAATGCGCTGTTGCTCAGCCGTGGTGCTCCAATACCAAATCACCACCCTCGGCCTCCTCATTCTCATCAACCACAGGGAAAAAGTGCGACGTGCCTGGCTTGCCGCCATCACCTCCCTCATCTTCGTCCTCTTCATACCCCTCAGGCAAGAATCCTCCCGCCATCTCCTCGCCACCCTCACCCAAAACTGGCGGCTCCGGTGCCCCGGCAGGGCCTGTCTTACTGCCATGTCCAAAGACCGAAGTCGTCTCGTTAATCTCACCGTACTCCAGGCGAATCCTCTGCACGATCCGCATCCCCATGAGAAATTTTCGCCACTGCCCAAGAGCCGCCTTGCGACGCTTCTCGTCCTCCTTCCGCGCCCGCTCGGCCTCGTCTTGCTGCAGCTGCTCCATCACCATGTCGTGGTTTTCCTCAGCAATGACGACGCCTTGGATGACCGGGACCGCCATTCGATGCCCAAACTCGAAATCCACCACAGCTTCGGCGTAGTCAATTCCGAGTTTCTTGCACACTCGAACGGTTCCCCGGAATGGCACATGAACAGCACCTTGCGGGCACATGTGCTCGGCAAATAAGTCAATGTTTCTAGCATTATGGTCAGCTGCAGGTCGTTTCCGTAGGTCAGAACACGTACCCGTATTCATTTTTAGGTATCACGCCATCCACTATGGGATCCGGTATGATCCAGTCGGTTTGGTCATAACTGTATAGACCCTGAAGGACCTTTTGCCCAGTTGCTGCTTCAGCTTCTAGCAGTTCACGTCTGCGGTTGGTAGTTGCAGCACGATATGGTACTCGTTTCAGGGGCTGTTCCCCATCCAACGGAGCTCTTCCTTGTTTATGCCATGTCTCCGCACTCTTGACGTTCAAGACATCAGATCTCAAGTAGACATCCTCCTCGCCTGTGCTAGACTTGCTCTTGTTCTGGAACTTTTTGACTGGTTTTGCATCCGCCCGCAGAGCCTCTTCTCGCTTCAAATGTCTCTCAAGCACAAACTCCTTCGACTGCTTGTAGTATTGAAGTGTCTCCTCCCCTTCTGGCACAGCCTTCTTCTCGGGCTTGGCGGGCTTCAAATCCGTGCTCTCTTCCACTTCGTCAATGTCAGTAATGGGTCGCTTCTTGTCACCGCGCCTGTATCCCGCCATTGCTAATTTGAACCAGTCGTGGTGTTCATGCCCATGGACTTTTCCATGCTTGTTGTAGATGGGGATTTTCTCCGTTGGATATCGGTTGCCCTTGGTGCGCCCAGGAAGAACACGTTGCTTCAGATATCGAACGGTTACATCCTTGGCTGTTCCATCTGGAGAGTAAGCAACAACATATGCCATTATTTGACGCGCGTTGTCAGCCTTCCCGCCTCGAGGCTCAAGAGATTCCACGAGTTCGCGATTGGTAGCAAGGACTGCCTGTACAATTGGTTCAATGGACAGAAACTTGCCTGTCACCGGAGATAATACCTCAGTCCAGTAGTTTGCGTGAGGGAGATCTTGATCAATTTTTGGTTGTGACTGCTTCTTCGATTTCACGGGCGTCACCTGCATCTCCACCACTGAGTCATCGTCTGAGTCCTGATACTCGAGCTTCAATTGTTCATCATCCGAAACCTGGTTCCGTACCGACTGTGTAGGCTTCTTCGACTCGGGCGTTTCCTTGCTACGCTTCTTTGACTTGGTCGGTTTCTTTGGTGTAGTGTCTGCCGAGCGAGTTTGCAATTTGCCATCCGCCTGCTCGTCTTTTGCGTCCTCCAACTTGGTCCATGAGTAGCCGAGGGATTGTAAGTTTGCAACTAACCGGCTTTCTAAGCCTAGACCCCTAAGAAGTGCTGTGAAGAGATGCGCGCCAACGTCGCGGCTACCCTTGCAGCGAATAGCGCAGTGTCGAAGGTCCTCAATGCTCTCCATCCGCTCACCGAATTTGTTGTCGTATTTATCTTCACTGGCATATGCCTTTGTTAGCCTGTCAAGGCGTTCCAACGACATGTAGCCCCATTTTCGCAATCCCGGCGCGGTGGTGCGGTATCGTTGCTTCCACCAAGACATTAAAACCTGACAGAGTCTGAACAAAGGGTCTCCGCTGCTCATGTCGGGAACGCCTTCTTCGAGCTTCTTAGCATCATCACCCCAGTCTCTTTCCTTTTTATCAGCGCGTCCTTTGCGCTTGCCTTTGGATTTGACGGTATTGGTCTTGGGCGGCACAAGTCCGCTCTTCTCCCTCCATCTGTCGATTTCATCCCACATTTTTGACGGAAGATGCGAAAGCAGTATGGCTTGTAGCTCTTGGTCACAAATCCAGGAATTTCGGACAGCGTTATGCCAAAGGAGACATAAAACATGAAGGCGATGCGTGGCATTGCGGACCATTCGCTCTCGCTTGGATGGTCCTCTCCGTTCTCCAAACGGATTCGTCAATGAAACTCTGTCATCTCGAACAAGAGTCAATTCAAGGTCTTGCGTAACATGTGGCAAGTCATCTGTTGGCAGCGTTGGCGCCACCACATCCTCGAATTCAGCATCGTCGTCGTCGTCGTCGCCATCATCCTTCCCCTCGGCTGTGAGAGGTCCGCGTTTGGCGACCGGCACGTCCTCTAAATCATCGTCGGAGAGAGACGAAAGCGAGCTGCTGTCACTGCCTGTGTTGTTTTCCAAGAATACAGATGCCGCTTGTGCCGAATTGGATGCTGTCGATGCATCGAGGTCATCGTATAGAGTGGGCTTTCGTTTGCGCTGCAGTTTCACCTCAGGCGATGCGCTGCGCAAGCGCTTGCGCGGTACGTGTGGTGGCATATTTATGCCATAAACAAAAAGTATGGTCCTTTGAAACCATCCTGAGAATGCATGCTTTCGTCTTATGGCATTTTGCAGCTTGTATGTGAAGAGTTCAGATTGATTCGCCCTACTACTAGAGACGGAAACTGATAATGACGCCAATACACGTGACGCCATTCACCTGAACGGTAGCAGGCGGAATTGTTACCCTTTCGGAAATCTAGTTTGAAGATATTTCTAGATAAAATACGCGATTCTGATGATTCAAACTGAATTTTTCATATTCTCAGTCTGCGCGCCGTATTGATTTGCCAGGGTCGGACTTCGCTCGTCCGTTCACCTTCTACAGCAGCCACTAACAGGCTGGGCGTTGATGAAAAAAGCCAACACCCCCCTAACTAACTCCCACCTAACTCAGCCTTCCAACCTCTACCTGATATATCGACTCTATCATAACGGCGCTGGTTTACGATTCTGATCACTCAATTGAAAACGAGAGCCCTCATCGTAACTGATTTATACGTCTCTCCCTGATCTAGAACCCCCAATGTTCCAAGTATGCCTCAATATGGCCACGCGATTTGGCCACCCATCTCTCGAGCTGCTCCTCCGACTGGCTCTGGTAGAATCGTGGCAGCAGCCAGTGAAACTGCAGCAGCTCCTGCGCAAACCACCACAAATTTGAAACATCGTCGGCTCCCTCAATTGTGCAGGGTCGCAGGGCTCCTTGGACAGCAAGGGCCTCGTCCCACGCCTTTCCAATGGCAAACTTGGCCTCCACTGGACCGGCGAAACCGTTGAGCAGTAGGTCTCGTAGGCCGTCCCCAGGCTCCGCGATGCCGTCGATAAGGCCTTGGAAATCTTGGAACGAGTACAGGAATTCGGTGACTGCGCTGCCAATGTGGCCAAAGTCAAAGTCTAACACGGCTACGAGTCGGTTTGTGTCTCTGTCGAATAAAAGATTGGCCAAGTCTTGGGCTGGTTAGTCCACGAATGCCTGCTTTCGGGTTTCAATAGCAGATCAAGGAGAACAACGGAAGCAACTCACTCAAATCGCCGTGAACCAGCGTCGGCTTTTGTTTAGGCACGTTGCCCAGGGCCCGGTCCAGACCGTTGGCAACGAAAGCATCAATCCGCTCTCGGAGGCCGGGTGTGTTTCTCCAGCCGTTGAGCCCGACAACAGATTCACTCTGAGCCAGCTGCCATTTGAGAGCTGCCTTCAAGTAGTCTCTATACGTCGAAAATGGACCGCCCGTTCGAAAGATGATCTCGGTTGCGGACATGTCTCCGTCGTTATCAAAGGTAAGGCCTCCATACCCTTCCACAGGCATCTCGTAGTCTTGGAAAGCCTTGGCAACGGCAGCAAGCTGCTTGCACACGAACTTTGCGTCCTTCTCCCCCAGAGCGTGCAAGTCATCGTAGGATAGATGCTCGCCGGGTTTGAACTCTTGGATAATGTAGCCCTCACGGAGATCGTCGTCCCAGTCAAAGACTTGAGGGACCAGCGATGGGTCAACATTGGCAAGGGCCTTTCGCGCCAGCGTTAGGAACGCGACCTCGTTGCGGATGCGGATGGAATCCTCGACATTGTTATCAAGCCGCACATAACGCATAACCAGGTGAGAGGTACCAGCCGGAATTTCCACAGTCAAGGGCGTATCATTCTTGTATTTCTTCGCCGTTTCGATAGGCTCAGAGAACCTTATGATGTAGACGTGGTTATTTGTTGCCACGGTGTTTTGCTCAATGGTGAAATTATGTTGAATGCCGAGTGTTTGGGTCACGATCTTCCGAATGACCGTGTGACGACGCTCTGCCGTTGTAGCCTCATCCTTCATCGTTGCGGTTTTGGCGAGTGAAGGAAATTTATCTGGCTACTCTTGCTACATTCTATTGACGTCCATGAATATTGTCTATCTAGTTCTAGATTATATACTCGGTTCACCGAGGTGTGTGGGATATGTTCAGACGAAGTGAGTGAGGGGTATTGGAGCCGCGTGATGCTTTCGCACAGAGAGCGTGATAGGAATCGTCGAGACAATTGAACGGCAGGTGTAAGATCCAATCAGAAGCCATAGGTACTTACTATAGTCTGTATAATTAGCTGCATTCTGGGGTACTCTAACGGGGCTGCGGCTGGAGGATAGTTAGGATCACGCTAATCGTGAACATTAGTGTTGATATGTAAGACGTTCTTCACAGCAATGCGGAGGTGGACCTGCTGCATTTCTCAAGAATAATTGATTGGTGCCAGCTGGCAACTCCTCTAGCTATTTTCTTTTTAGTGTCGTCAGCAGTTCATAACTTATAAGTGACAGCACCTTTTCAACATACAGACACTCGGCTTCAAACTTAGTAATTACTACTATAGAACTCACACGCCAAGCTTCGTAAATCTCTCGGAATCATGGAATCTACACCTTATGTCGGCGGCGGCCCCTACTGCTACGCCAATTCCTTTGCCACGGTTCTGGGTGCCAAGGCGCCTTCAACCGCTGTCATTGAATTCGCGACGTCTTCTGCTTTTGGCATGGAAGTTATCAATGTCCCAAAGAATCCCCTCGTCTTCTTTGACCCATATGGTTGGGATCCGCTCAAGAGCTTCGACGACGCCTTGGAGGCCATGGGCTGGCGCTGCACTCAGATCATTGGCAAGGACGCGCAGGACGCCCTCGCCTCCCTCAAGGCCGCCCTGCAGAACGGCCCCGTGTTCGTCGGCCCTGTCGAGATGGGCCTCTTGAAGCACCAACCAAACGCTCGCGGCCCTATCGGTGCCGATCACTACGTCGTGATCCTCGGCATCGACAATGACACGGTGGAGATGCATGACCCTCACGGCTACCCGTACGCCACCCTGCCCCTGCAGGAGTTCATGGCCGCGTGGAAGACCGACTCACTCGGGTACGGCAAGTCGTACACCATGAGGACCGACTTCAAGCAGTTTGAGTCGCTGACGGAGGAGGACGTCATCCGGCGCTCCATTCCCAACGCGCTCAAGCACCTCAACCTCAAGGCTGCCGGTGTGGAGGAGATGCCGCCGGGATCGGCTGCGAACGAGGCCGCGACGAAGTGGCTATGCGACAGAATCGAAGTCGGGCTTCCCGATGGAATGCGTGCCCATTTCGTATACTTTGCCGTGCAGGTTGGCGCGCGGCGAAGCATCGATGCCGCGACCTGTCTATCGCGTGTGGGCTACACCGCATCCGCAGCGGTCATGGATAAGATTGCGCGCACGATCGGCGCTTTGCAATACCCGCTGACGCAGAAGCGCGATGAAGCCGCATTCGCTATTTTGCAAAAACTCGGCCCGATGTATGAGGAACTGCGTGGCGTGCTAGAGACGGAGGCGAAGAAGACTGCAGCCAATTAGCACTTATTTTTATGGCGCAAACTATGGCTTCAAACCACTGGTTACTTTAGTTTTCAGAATTCATATATATATACATATACTCGCAAATAATGTCTCGCTATGCAACATGCTAAACCTCGATGAGATCCGGCGCCGGCCCAACTCCCCTTAAAAGCACGACCGTGTTTCCGCTTTGCAATGACGCCCCAACCTTTTCGTTAAACTCCAATACCCTTCCCCCTTCCACATGGAATACCCGTAGCTTGTCCCTCTCGTCCGAACTCTGATTGTTGATATTTTGGACCTGCAGCTGTTTTGCCGCGGCATCCAAGGCCCTGCCGACCACCCAGTCTTTGGAGAAGAAGAAGGCGCCTTTTGGAAACTTTGCCTTTGCCGTCTCCGCCTCGGCCTCCACGTACAAGTAGACGCGCTTCTCGGAAGGAATCTTGTCATCGCCCTTGGCGATCTTCTTCAGATTGTTGACGGCGACTATCCGCGCGGCGGCGGAACTGGGCTTCGGCTTCGGAAGGGCCCTGCCCGCCTGCTCCTTCTTGGCGCTGCCCCAGGCTCTCAGCTTTTCCAGGGCAGATTTCGTCTTCTTGGCGACATCGTCGACCTGCACGAGCCGCGAGCCGAGCGGCGTCAGGCTCTTGCAGTCGTGGTCCTCGCCGAGGCGGTGTTTGAGGCAGTAATCGCGCTTGCAGGTCTGGCAGTGCACGCCTGGCGTCAGGGACGTGCCGACCATCGTCTTGCAGTCCGGCGACGCGCACGGCTTTTCGTACGTCTTGTCGCGCAGCGTCTTGCCGCCTGCGCCGCCTAGCGAGGGCCGGTTGAGCTGGGCGAGGCGCCGGCGTTCGGCCCAAGCGCCGGCGTTTGCGCATTTGTGCGCCGTCTCTGTGCGATGGTCAAGACAGAAAGTCTTGCTGCATGACTGGCAATAAAACGGGAGGAAGTCGAGTTGGTTGCAGTATTCATATTGGCAGTGCTTGCCGACCAGCGTGGCGTCCGCTCGGTCTCTCATAACGTAGCTTTCTTCAGGTGCGTCGGGGGCGGGAGACGTCATTTTGCTGGTATCTAGGCCAAATAGGACTTTTTATAGGTAAGAGGTATATGGCGTGATTCGTCACGCGCGGCCGTGGCGCGTATAGGCAGAAGTGGTTGCGATGTGATGATGACCAACGTTGGGCGAAGCGTCTAGAAGCGCCTGCCAGTGAGTGTGGCGATGCGGTCCAGAGTGGAACAAGGCCGCGCCAAGCAACACAGTCGGGCCGCCAGCGGCTGCAGAATGTCTTTGTTCGTTTCAACAAACTGAATAGAGTATTACTGAGTGGCAGTGTCAATTTTCCTAAGCTCTCTCACATTTTACTCTTTGTCAAATAGGTGCGACTGTAGTCTAGGGGCTTGAATTGCGCTGGCCTCGTCGCACGATGAACTAAGAGTCAGCGAACAGGTGAATCTGCTTTGCGCAGGAGGTGACACAATATTCAAGTAGGTCTGAGTGAATAGAAGCGAATAGCGTATAGTTGACTACAATATATGTACGAAAGATGAAAGAGTTGAGCGCTATATTTAGCAAAAGAATAGGAAGGAACAGAAAATCAGCGGTCTCCCGGGTAGCACCGAGGGGCTCATTCTTTCTTGACCTTTCCAAGCTCAGCCTCTCTTCCCGTCACAGGCGCATTGCCCACGGCTTGCTTGCCTCCGAAAGCTTCAAAGCCTTTATGGAACACATATTCGACAGCGTGCTCTACAGGCTCGTCAAACATGGCCGGAAGGAAGGGGACGACCGCGAGGCCGAGTCCAATAGGTGTCCAAGTGCGGAAGGTTGCGTTCTTGGCATTCTTCAGCGCCCGCCCAGAGTAGCGGACAACGCTGTGGATAGTGAACGCCGGCAGTCCCATACTGGCAACGGCCTGGAAAATACCTCGCTGCACCATGACCGTCCGGTAGTCCTCGAGCGGCGGCACGACACCCGGCGTCAGCTGCTTGGTTTCTGTCGCGGGGAGACCGGTAATCTTTTGCTGGTGAGCCGTGAGCTCCATCTGGGGGTTGAGAATTCTCTGGTTGTGAATGTATGCCCTGTAACCCTCGTGGCTGACGTCGCCGAGGAGATACAGCCACGAGATGCCGTACGCAGCGCGCACCACCTTGGGGTGAGCTACGGGTCGAAATGATTCGCCAATGTCGGAGGTGTATGCTACATATCTATGCGCAGAGAGCATAATGGTCCGTAAACGAGTTGCGTAGGCGGCATATCGGAGGTTGGTCTCTGTAGAGTCCGGCCCGCTATGTACAGGGTTAGTAACTGGATTATGGGAGGGATGCTTGGATAATGGAGGTGTAGAAAGCTTACTTTCCCTCCTTGACATCGTCAAAGAAGCTGCTATTCTCTGCATTGGCCTTGTTGACAATCTTTTGCAGTTTGGCGGGGAGCTTTTCTCTGGCCGGGAGCTTGTCGACCTCGGTGCTGGAGTTGGCGCTGGAGTTGGCGCTGGAGTTGGCGCTGGATGGCTGCTCCTCCTTGGGCGTTTCTGATTTCCCCCACCAAGGCATTTTCGGCTATGTTCCCAAGAAAATAAAAGAGAGATTGATTATCTGGAAATGCTCTAGAAAGACAAGATTTGACAAATTTACTGCGATGATGCAACCATTAAGGGATAACTGGGCGCATCCATCGACGCTTATCAGTGCTCGGAAGCTTGACATGGCCCGCCGAAGTATAGCCGCGTTACGGGCCTGCGTTTCCAGGCCTGCGGACTCCCGAATTTCTGACCTCTCCACCAGCAACCTCAGCCTTCAGTATCGTTCAATTGATACGCGACGTGCTCCAATTCCTTCAATTCGTCTTCCGAAAGCATCTTCAAAATGGGCGCCTCCTACACCATTGCTGGCCGTCAAATCGGTAGCCACTACGTATGACCTGCCACCCCCCTTGGAAGCCAATTCCGCATGAGCACTCTTGCGACGCCGGCACGAATACTAACGGAGCGCCATAGCTTGCCATGGGCTGGCTCGCCACCTTTGCCGGTGGCATCTACTACGTCTCTTCCGGCCCCAAGGCCCCTGCCGCCAGCACCGCTGCTCCCCCGATCAACGCTGCCAGCTCCGACGAGGCCGACTTCATCAAGTGCGACATTTCCCAGCCAACGGATTCGGCGAACGAGAACCTCATGTGCTAACCTCCCCCTTACAGGAAGTTCATCGAGCAGGCGGAGAAGAAGAACTAATTGGGTTACCGAGGCATTGGGCGGGACATTGTACGACGCGATGTATATATATAGCTGGTACTGCCAGTTACGCTCGACCTAGTGGTCGAGCGAGACAGCATTTCGGCGCTTCAATTTATGCGCGGGATTTCTTTGTCGACTTTTGCAGCTGTGATGATTTCATTTTGATCTGGAACAACTTCGTTAACCGCAGGGCTGAGATCAACCGAGACGGCTCCAACGAAACCAAACGAGACTCTTCCCACGAGTTACATCGATCAGCATATTGCTACCGACGTACGGAATGACGAATACTTGCCCAGAAGGCTCCCTACTTCGCACCTGCCGGGGAGAATCCAATAATATTAGTGCTCGTTCAGAGCCTGAAGAGCTTAAGATGGGTGCAGGTTCGTCAACCAGGAGCTACGTGCCTAGGCAAGACAATAATATCACCGGGTTGACTGTGTTTTTATGCCAACTATCTCGGGCTATTTTTCTCACCACATTCTTTTACTACCCTTGCACAGGAGCAGGCTGCTCAATTCAGGGTATTGACTCTTCTCACAGAGTGAAGGCCACATTTAAGTAATAGCCTATAAATACAACAGTTCAGACTTTTGGGCACAGAATGGCCAATGCTGAAAGTGGCGACAAAAGCGCATGTTACACAAACGATACATGGTACCATAACTACGGCAACTCTTGGTTCTTTCATGAACTTACTTCGTCAGCTTCCCTGTCATTTTGTATGCCCTTGACTTCTCTTCGAACACCATCTCATGAATATGCATTTTCATTTAGGCCATATTCGCCGCCCCTGTTAGCGCAAACGCCCGTAGTGCAATTCCGCAGCGATCCTGTCCCAAGAAATTTTGCACTTAGCAAGCACAAGCGGCAAAGCGGTTACAAATAGATCACGTGCAGCTACCCAAACTGGCGGCCTTGACAGACGCATCACCGCCTTAGTCGAAATTCCTCTCCAATGCCACTCATCGGATACAACGATTGCAACAATCGCAGCTACCCAAACCCACCCTGGCATAGCTGCGACTCAACCATGTCGGAAGACACCACCGACCCAGCGTTGCTCCCCGACCCAGCCCACGATCTCTCGTTAACGCCGGTTACGACTTCTAAGGAACGCCATTCACTGACGCTCGATCAGCGTCGCGCGTTGAGGAGATGGGCTAGTAGCCAACCTTTGCGCCCTTCCCACAGGGCCTGCATCGACTGGTTCTTTTCGCAGTACGGGCAGATGATCAGCCAGTCCACTGTATCCCACTCGCTGTCGCCCAAATACTCTCGACTTGATGGAGAACACCCGCAGCTGTCTGGGTCGCGTCTACGGTTCGGCAACTGGCCCGACGTAGAGAAGCTGGTTTTGCTGTGGTATCAGCAAGTGCAAAACTCCGGACGACAACCAACGAACGATGAGCTGGGCGAAAAGGCGAAGACAATCTTCAGCCAGCTGCCCCGCTACCGCGACGAGGCCGCGCCCGAGTTCTCGCCCGGCTGGATCCATAGGTTCAAGAAGAGATACGGGCTACTCATCCGTCGGCAGCGACGGCACAATGACTCGGCCATGAATACCGCCGAGGACGTTGACTACCTCGCCGAGAGCGTCTCGCGCTTCATGGCCATAGCGCCAGATACGAGCCCCGCAGCTATCCGCGAGCAGGTCCTTCGTGTCGTCGGCGTCGAGGCGTCACTCGGCACCTGTGCCCTCGTCCGCGACGAGATCCTCCACCGCATCACCCTCGAGAACCCGCCGACGCACGACATGCCCATCTCGCCGCACGAGGCTGAGCTGCCCCCGCCGGTGCCGCCGGAGGAGCAGCAGCAGCATCAACAGCATCATCAGCATCATCAACAGCAGCAAGAGCAGCAGCAGCAGCACATGTACGCGGAGGATGACCCCGAAGTCGTGCTGCAGAACGCGCTCCGCCAACTCCAGGAAGAAGAGCAGGCCGCCGAGGAACAGGCCGCGGCCGTCCGTGAGGAACGCGAGCGAGCCGAGCGAGCAAGCTTAGGGGTACCACCGATGATTGATGACAGACCGCCACCTGACCACAGATACGAGACACCGTCGCATGAAATGCCGCCAGAGTTGACGTTGACGCCGATTCACTCCACTGACCCGCTGGAAACTCACGAAAGGCCCCTGCGCTGTCCATTCTGCATCAATCAGCGCATGCTGAGAAGTATCAAGGAAGCCGTCGAACACTTGTCTACCCATGTTGTTGTCTAGACTGAAGTTTCTCTTTGTCAAGAGCGTTAACGCATCTTGTTTCTGCTTATATTGCACTCGCATTTCCAGAGTGCTGTGTGTATTGCTGTCAATCTATGTCGTATTTCTCTGGCAGTAATTTTAGCTGGCGTTTTCATGTTTACGGAAGGATACCAATGTTATTACGAGGTGTACGATTAGAGGTCATCAATGAAAATTGACGTTTTAAGACGCATGTGCCTCTTTGTTTGTCTATATGAGTGCAGCACTTCTTAGCAGCGCGACTATAGGGTCTTCTGGCTCCTTATCGTCTACTGGGTCTGAGCCTATGTAGTTCTTCCAAAACTTGAGCCCTTCCAGACCCTCTTCTCTGCACAATGCCCCATGCTCCTCGGCCATGAGCAGCTCCTCCTCCGCAACGCCGAGGCTCCAGCCGAACCGCTCCGCGGCTTCTTGGGCCGTAACGCCCCGGCCAAACGCCCGCCAGTCCCAGAGAACCTCGCGGTCTGGAGGGAACTCGTGAAGGTCCTGGAGCCACGTGAGCAGCGCCTTGATGGTGATCTCGTCGGTGCGGTCCCGGCCCTGGACGACCATGACGCCGCTCCTGAACGTGCGGAGGCGCAGGGGCAGCTTCAGGCTCTCCCACAGCCGGGCGGCCTTTTCAAAGTCGAGCGGGCTGACGAGCTCAACGCCGCCACGCGCCCTGTTGAACATGGCCCACAGATCGACTAGAGTTAAGATGCCGCCCGCCTTTTTCAGGACGCTCCGCGTGTCGTCGGTGAGGAACTCGGCCAGGTTGCGCGCTAGCTCTGAGAGATAGAGGGATTCTGACCCGCCGCCGCCCAACATGTCCTTTGTCGTCACAAGGCCAAGCTGACTTGCCGACTCCGCAAGGATGGCATTCTCCTCCGCAGAGAAGCTGCCGCCGTTCCCGGAGCCTTTCTGCAAAGAAAACCTCTCTGCAAGCGCAATCACCTCCTTTGCAGAGGCCATGAGCGCTTCCAGGTCTTCAAAGGCACTACCAATGAGCAATTCATTGTTCTTGTGCCTGCTCAGTCCAAGCTGCTCAAGGCCAGCAATCCCCGCCGTCTTTGTTCTGCGTTCACTTTGGCCCGCATCGCCTTCCGCGCCGGAGACGCTGCCATCTCGCGGGCGTCCCTTGGGTGGGGGAGGGGCATTCTGCAGCAGCCACTTCCGCTGCGTCATAGACCCTTTCAATCGTTCGTAGAAAATCTTCTCCCCCCCGCCGCGGAAAGATATCTTGACTCCCTCAATGGCTTCTAAGCTGATAGGACCGCTTGCATTATTATTATCAAGCATGGGCCCAGGTGACTCAGTTCTGTCGCTGTCTAGGGCAGGAGTGGACGCAAGAACAGGACCTGCCTTGGACACAAGCGACGCGCCACACATCTCACATGAGTTTAAAGATGGGTGATTGGAAAATGTACATCTGGGGCACTGAAGAGGATCTTTTGACCCGCGGCTGGCGCCTTGGCTGAAGGTGCCGACGTCCGTTGCTCGCTCGGCAGCCGCTGGCGAACCCGGAGGTGGTGCTGCAGATCGCTTGGAGGCATTCGATATGGCAGCTTTTAGAACGTGCTGCAACGTTGGCTTTATACCACAAGCTAGGCATGGCGGTAAAGGCGTGTGTGCATTTGCTGTCATAGCATCAAAGTTGGCAGGCACTGGATTGGAGAAGCTGCATATCTTGCAAACCCAGGTGGCGGCTGTGACAGTAGTCGAGTCACTTGGAGGTCGATAGCCGCCTTCACCGCTCGGTTTTGGAGTTGAAAGTCTCGGACTCTGCGCAGTGGTCGAAGAACGTTGATTCTGAAGACCCGTCCTGCGAAGCAGCTTGGGTATTAGGGTAATCTTGGCCGACGACTTGAGGAACCCCGCATAGAATTCATGTCTATCCACGTCTTTGAGTTCCAGGGCCGCAGAGTTTAGGCGAGGCTCGTTTTTATCCACGTAACATATTCGATGTGTAGTCAAGTATACCTGCCCATTTTGTTGATTTGGCAATTTGAACTTGCTTCGCAGAATCAGTGTCTTGTTCTGAGCGGGCGGAGACAAAGAGCGCTTACCCCTCATAGAGGCCGACATTATCTTGCACGAATAGCAGCACCTCATCTGGTAGATATGAGGGCCTTAGCGCCGTGGTCAAGTCAATGTGTTTTAAAAACATCCGTCATGTCACATCGCCGTGGCTGGTGGTTTTGATGTAAAGTGAGTGAGGACAGACGTGGGTGAAGATCGCCACAGAGCCTGCTCGGGTTCGAGTGAGCCGAAAATGTGGCAAAGTTGGCAGCCAAAATCAAGATAAGAATTAAATCAGAATAGAAGCCCACAAGCCACCTCGAAGAAACGAACTTGATCAGCTGCTCCTGAATTAATAAATGCTAACGTTGCCATGTTCAACTGTTGCCGCCTTGTGCACATGCAAGGCAGTCTTGTGTTACCCGAGATTCTGCCGCCCGGGTCACGGGACCCAAACCGTTGCGGCACATCCCCCATCATTTTCGAGAACTCTCAGCCCTCACTCGAAACCACTCGTCAAATCTTGTTGCGAGACTGCACCCATCCCTTGAAGAAACTCCGCTCATATTTCGTCGTCATCACCATCGATCACTCCCGTGAACTAACCTTAAACCAGCTATCGCACTCAATATGGTGTCTGGCTGGCCTGCCACGCAAACAGCGCAAGCCGCCCAGTCTGCTCCCTATGCCTATTCACCGAGTATGTACCACCTGTCTGTGCAACTTCAGTGGCGCCAGTGATTAACATATCTTAACAGATCCTGCATTCATCCCTGTACAAATTCGACAAGGGTTCTCACAATATATTCCTGCTCCTCGCCCAAACCAGGCGGAGCCGTCCGCTCCCCCTGCAATGTCACCACCCGCTGCCTCACCTCCCGAGACTCATTCCAAGGCGAAGACTGAATGGCCGGATTCCGTTAGAAGATATGTCCAGCGATCTTTCCTTCCCCAGAACGACGATGCCTCAGTGACCCGCTCCGAGCTAGAGGCCAAACTTAAGGAGACTATTGGAACAGCCAAGGAGAACGGCTCTATGCATTCGCTTGACTGGGATAAGATGCCACTGCCTCAAGTGCTGGTTAAAGCAGACCGAGCCGCAAAATTAGGGAACCCACTGTATAGCGTCGAAAATACGAGAAAGCGAAAATCCACCGAGTTCGCAAACGAAGCTGTCGCGAAAGCCCCATGGAACACTGTTAAGGATCGTAACTCACTGGAGATTCGGACATCGCCTGCATATGACAAACAAGGAGACATGGACAACCGAACAAAGTCCAGTAAGTTCCAGAAGGACGCAAATAAGCGCAAACGCCGCTTCGAGAACGAGTACAATGCCGCGAATATTACACCAACGGAGAATATCATATCCTCGGGACCTATCGTGGGCACCAGCGAGGTATTGGAGAAGAGATATCTACGCCTAACTGCGCCTCCCATCCCTTCCAACGTTCGCCCTGAACACATTTTGCGTCAAACCTTGGATTTGCTGAAGAAGAAGTGGAGGAAAGAGGGCAACTACTCTTATGTGTGCGACCAGTTTAAATCGATGCGTCAAGATTTGACTGTACAGCGCATAAGAAACGACTTTACAGTTTCGGTCTACGAAATCCACGCCAGAATCGCGCTTGAGAAGGGGGATATCGGTGAGTATAATCAATGTCAGACCCAGCTGCGTTCTCTATACGAGCTGGGCCTGAAAGGAAACCCCATGGAATTCAAAGCGTACCGTATTTTATATTTTATTCACACAGCCAACCGGACTGGATTGAACGACACGTTGGCCGATCTAACCGCAGCAGAGAAGGAGGAGCCGCCGATTAAGCACGCATTGAGCGTGCGGTCGGCATTGGCGTTGGGGAGTTATCATAAATTCTTCCAACTATACCTCGACACCCCCAACATGGGAGCATATCTTATGGATATGTTTGTGGTCCGAGAGCGCCTATCAGCGCTATGTAATATGTGCAGAGCGTGAGTTGTGAATTGCCCATAGATTCTGACTGCGAACGCTAACACAGATATAGGTACAAACCCGATGTGAAGCTCCGCTTCATCACTGAAGAGCTGGGTTTCGAATCAGATGCGGATGCAGCCCAGTTCATCATTGACCAACAAGGTCAAGACTTGCTCGAAGATCGTTCCGACAATATCGTCTTTTTGACAGGCAAGGCCGGAAACCTCTTTGAGGACTCCCGCGCCACAGCCTTCAAAAGAGTCGATATCAAGGGTCAGATCTGAACGTGACCCCTTAAGTTTTTATTCATTTCTTTGCGAGCTTCCATACACCATCCCGTCACCACCCCCGATCCTTGGAACGACGAGTTGCCCGGACCCTCTGGTGACGAGCGGCTCCCTTTTTTGGCACTTTTTCTTTTTGACCGACATGATCTCCGTTACGTCCCTGTAGAGGCAAAAATCTTCTTTTGCCAGCGCACTCTCGATATTTCTTTTTCATCTCATCACAACTAGCGAGCGATCACGGTTCAGCATTCGGTGGGACGGCGGAGCTTGTTTTCGTTGAGGCAAGCGAAGATGCGACCAACTATTTACAAAAGCAGCATGGGAGACTCATACACTTCTACCCGGTTCAGGCGTTCTGGCGCTTGCATTGAACGCGAAGGGGCACACGTTTTGTTGAATTCTTGTTTTTCTGGTAGCCGTAATCGACATTGACGGCTTTTCTTTTGGTAGTCATTGGATAAGTTAGAGACATAGGCCGCTTAGTATCTTAGTTTTGATAGCTTGGAAGTTTTTGCAGATGATTTTCCCCCGCCTTTGAGCTGTCATGCGACGGACTGTGAATATGTGGTGCATGTGGAAATTGTTTGCACATCTATGCTTGGCCTTGAATCATGAAGCCTGCAGGTTCATGCGCGTGGCGGAAGAAGAGGTGCAGACGTTTCAGGATCTCTGCCGAGAGCCAATGACGAGGCACTACTACACAGCCCCGGGGTCTTGGGCCCTGTGGCAGCGATTGCGGTTTTGCGATACGTTGGCTAGGAAGATTGCAAGAGTATTGATGCTTCTATCCATGCTTCCATCGGGACTTCTTTGGCGCTGTATCACATTGCACGAACACAAGACATGAACAGCAAACGACTGAACAATGGGCCAGCCGCCGAGCCAGGACGCCGAACCAGCTAAGCAGCAGCGGTTGAAAGAGCACAGCATTGTTTTACATTCGTATATTTCCCATGCCGTCTATACGCTGTGCGGCCCAAACGGATGTTAGTGCGATGCCATGATGCTCGTCCAGCTGCAGGTACGGCTGCTGGCAGATAACTTGTGGCGCCCGACGCCGTGTGCCCAATTTCCGCCGAGAGCTGAGGGGCATTGCAATGCGGGCAAAGCAACTCGGTCAACTGAGGGGCCGCGGCTTGCGGCTTGGGAATCAAACAAATGTATCTTTTATGCGCCGTGAAAGTGGTTACAAGAAACAATGGCCCGGCCGAAATAGGGGTCGCATTCCAGTGGTGGTTGGCTAGGGCAGTTTCAACGGGCCACAAGACCCCGAATTTGGCGCCTATGGAATGAATTGTTTTTTTTGCTTTCTTTTTCCCTGTTTGGGCCGTAGACGTCATGACAAATAGCAAATGATGGCGGGTAAACGAGACTGTTACTGTAGAGGTCTACAAAGTCAGATTGCAGGTATACCTTAGCACTGGTTTGCATAGTGGTGGCGTTGTCATCGAGGACCGTGGAACGTTGGCGTCATCAACACTGTTGGGCTGGCTGGAGTGGTGAGCAGCCGGAGGAACATATAGCGCACGTACGCATGGTTTATTATAAGGTGATGAAGTTGCATAAAAGAGGCGAATTAAATGGCTGTTGGGCTCGTTAGAGTGAATGCCCGTCTATCTGGGCGATGAGTGTCTGCTGCTATGTACTCACAGTAACATAGGCTGCTATAGAAAACCTACGAGCTACTGGTAGTTAGTTAGTATGGGTAATATCGTTGTTCCCTATAACTTTTTCTAGTAGAAAGGCTTTCTTTAAGGTACGGTACTCAGCTTATTATGATTTACGGCGCCGATTAAACGGCAGGCCGAAGCGAGTGATGGTTGGCTCCATGTACAGTACATACATATCTGTAGGTACCCAGGTACCTGGAGGGGATGGGGACATTTGTCCTGGCAGCTTTTTCGAAACGTTCCTGTTTTTGTTTACAGAACATCAAACTTGCCGACATGTATGCAGCCAGCCGTCAATGCTATTGCCATGCTATAGATGTAGATGAAAATTTGTCAAAAAGTATGCGCCCAGGCAGCGACCGTTGCTTTTCGGTGCTATTAATAAGGTATGTACTGTACATAGGTAGGTACCCATGAGGACATCAGTACAGTAACAAATTGGGTTTGCTGGTGGCGGCTTTGAATGGCTTGAGTGGTTCTGTTGCTTTCTCCAGCCACTGTCGACCCCGCTGCGCCCCTTTGGGGGGCCATCTAATAAAGCTGCGAATACCTGGGCAAGCAAGAGTTTATACCTGGTCTTAACTGGTCTTAATGCAGGACATCTATCAAGATATACCTAGGCTGGTAGTACATAGACATACAGACAGGCAGACAAGATATGCACCTCATTAGAGGCCACATCTTGGATCATCAATATTCTTTGCGCAACATTTTTAAACCCCTCCTTTTCCCGCCCTCGTCTCTCCCCCTCCATCATCCCTCGCACCATCCCTCCGCTTCTGCCTGCTTCGCTTCACCACCAACCATTCATCCACCTCGCCTTCGACCCACCAGAGCCGCTCCCTGTGCGCTACTTGTCGGCCTACCACGGCGCTTGCCGCCGCCACTTCTTTGTTTCTTCACACCAGCCATTAATTCCTCCCTCAACATCCAACTAGTGCGACATCTCGCTACTTCCATTGAGGGGGGACACTCTCAAGAGACCTCGACACCCGACAGAAAACGACCCCCTCTACCGCGCGCCTCGAACCTCCTCGTCCGTCCGCCCCTGGACATTGCTTCGCCTCTGCGCCAGCCATCTACCTGCTCTTGCTTGCCAGATTCTTCTCCCCAAGGCAACACCAGATACATATCACCATATTACTCCAAAGATGAAGGTGCGTTTTCTCACCGTCACCAATCTCTCTATCGCGTTCCCTCCCGAGCTGTTGGTGGGCGATCGCAGCTCTTCGCCCGAGCCTCAAGGCTGTGGCGCAGCGCAATTTTTCAGTCTGGTAGACGGCAGATGATGAGTGCCTACATTCACGCTAGGTTACAAAATGCCATCAACGCGATCTGCAGACCAGAACCAACCCTCGCCAATCTTGACGCACATCAATACGTTCGAAGCGCCGTGCGTTTGCTAATCTGCCTGGCTGTCTGCGAACAGGCTCTTCGAAGATCTATCAAAGGCGACAAAGACAAGGGCCAGAATGTCTCTGTCATGCCAAAATCGGCCATCGCCATAGTCCCTCCGAAAAAGGTTTGTTTGTCCGACCCCAGCCACCGACACGGCTTGATCCTCGCCGCAGGGCGGCGAGAAACGCTAGTCGTTTGCATGCTCATTGGCGTATCATTTTCATTAGGTTATCCGAGCGCTATACGACTATACGGCTCGCACCTCGCAGGAGCTGAGCTTTTCCGTAGGCGACTTCTTCCACGTTATCGGCCGCGAGGACGACCCCGACTGGTACGAAGCATGCAATCCGGCCCTGCCAGATGCGCGCGGCCTTGTGCCCGTCGCCTTCTTTCAAGCCCTTGGCCGGACCGAACGAGACAGCTCCCAGTCCGAGGGCAGCGCCGTTCGCCCCCCTACGGCCAACAAGACACCAGATCACGATTCTGGATACAGCGACGCTTCCCCCACATCTGCCAAACCCATCCAGCGCCTCTCAAAATCTGGTGGCAAGGGCGGTGCCATGGTCTACGGCATCGTCATGTACGATTTTGTCGCTGAGCGAGCGGATGAACTGAATGCCAAGGCTGGCGAGGCTATCATCGTCATCGCCCAATCGAACCCGGAATGGTTCGTTGCGAAGCCCATCGGCCGACTCGGCGGCCCTGGGCTAATCCCCGTCTCCTTTATCGAAATTAGAGACATGGCCACCGACAGGGCCATTAGCAACCCAGGCGACGCCATCAAGCAGGCAGGCGTCCCTCGTGTTGAGGAATGGAAGAAGATGGCGGCCGAATACAAAAATAGCAGCATAACTCTCGGAAAGTTCGAGGCTGGTCAACAGCAGATGGAACAGGGCATGAACCGCCTCAGCCTCCAACAGCAGGCGGAGAGTCCAGCTGCCAGTCAAAACCCTCGCATCCAGTCCCAGCAGGCAGCCAACCACGTCAGTAACTCAACATCCGATCTCTACGCCCCGATCCAGGCCCGAATCCCTCGTTACTGCTTTGCCGAGGGAAAGTATTGGTTCGTCATTGAGGCCATGTTGGAGGACGGCCGACACTGGGAGCTTTCGCGATATTACGAAGACTTTTACGACTTCCAGATTGCACTGCTGACTGAGTTTCCCAACGAAGCTGGCAATACGGGAGCGCAAAAACGAACACTTCCATACATGCCTGGGCCTGTCAGCTACATCACCGACGCCATTACGGAAGGTCGCTTGCACAACCTGGACGCATACGTGAAAAACTTGCTGGGCCAGCCACCTTATATTTCTCGTTGCACCCTGGTCAAGCAATTCTTTGCACCTCGGGAGGGTGATTATGAGATGGAAGGCCCTTCCAACGGCCAAGAATATAGGGATTCGCAAGACTCACAACATTCATCTTCGGAATCTCCCAAAAACGGCGACCCGCGACACGATTCTAGAAACAATCTCAGTGGTGGCGGCTACGGGGGCCTTCCCTCGGCGCCACGCCAACTCAGCGGCTCGGGGCCAGGTAAGATGCACAGCCTTTTGTTAAAGGTACCGGACACGACACTAACTCAACCCAGGTGGCCAACCAGCGCAACTGATCAAAGTCAAGATGTACTACGGCGACGACCTAATTGCCTTACGAGTGCCACGAGTTGATACGCGCATGGACAAGGATGCCCAGTTCAAGAAGCTCCAAGCCGTTATTGTGGCCCGCTTGGATGTGTCAGATCGAGATGAGCTTCAACTGTTCTCTCTCAACGAGCAGACAAAGCAGCCGACCAACTTGATCAGCGCCTACGACCTCGAGTCTGTTCTCGGCAAGTCAGACAAGCTGCTTCTGCGCGCCGAGGTGCTACGCGACTAGCCCGACAGCCACCGACTGTCCTATGTGCTCTTTCAGGGGACTTTTTTCTTTTCTTGGGTACAAATTTTTACTTCACTGGCATCTATTTAAGCTTCAGATGCCCGCGCCTTGTTCTAAGCTCACTTCGTGGCCGCTATCGCGACGTTTTACCATGTACAGCACCGTCCAGCTCTTATTAGCAGCTCTAAAGGTAGGGTGACAGCCCATGCGAGAGAGCAAGGGAGCTTTCCAGACGACCTCATGATTTCTTCTTCATCATTTATATTTTTCTTTGTCCTTGCCAGCAGAGCAATCGCTGTGGACACTTCCTTTTTTGTGTGAGAGGTGGCTTTACATCTCGCCTCTGCAATGGCTTGCTTGTGTTTTCTTTTCGTTTTTGCTGTGGCGTTCTAGGTTGGGTCTGATTCATTTTTCAATGTTGTCTTTTTCATCTCACATCAATTATACCTGGGGTGAAAATGAGAACAATGATGGAAAGCGGCTATTTTATATGGTTCGGGAGGAAGGCAGGGATGAATTACATGATCTAGGGCAAGGTGATACCGCCACTTGTCGCAATATGTGAAGGACAGAGCAGGAAAATGGATGCCGGGAGGCGGCAGTGGCGGAGAGATGACGAACAAGAAGATGTGAGGATGGAATATTTCAATGTATCTACCTTGCGCTGATCGAATCACTACATTCAAATTGATCGTTGAAGAAGAAAGGTCATGGCGATGCGTTAGCAGAAAACATGTTACTGCGTCTCTCAATTCCAAAGTTCCAAAGCTGATTAAGCTAATGCTGATTAATGATGGTGGTACAATGCAGAAAACTAGACAACCTCCCCACAAACGGGGATTCCAGGAAGTGCGCTCTGGATCTATCATGCAGAAATGTGTGGCAAATGGTGCCGTTTATGAGACACTCGTAGCGACGCACAAGAAACAAGAGGATAAGAAAGAAACCGGAAGGCCAGCATCACGCTCACTCCAATTTTGTCATGAGACCCTGACGGACCTTGTAGTTGACGACACCGCCGACGCCAAAGGCCGGGACGATGCGGCCGATGCGCGCCGCGCACGACGGCAACCATCCGCGGCGGATGGCGCGCCAGCGCTCCCCCCACGACACGCCGGCCGCGGCCGCGGCGGGCTTAGACGATGACGGCCGGTTGTACAGGTCGAGGCCGAGCAGGTGCAGCGGTGTGGAGACGAGCTGGACGGCCGCGGGCGCCAGGAACTGCGCCGCTGTCAGGCCGGACACGCGCGCCGCGCTCTGCGACGTGTACGCGTCCAGGTACGGCGCCAGCCGTGTGGGGACGTTGAACGAGGCGAAGATGGTGAGGCAGTCGCGGAGGGCGAATATCGCAAAGCAAGGTAAGGGTACCGGTCGCGGGGCGGCGGCGCCGGGCGCGCGGAAGAGCTTGACAAAGGCCTGGTCCTTGTAGACGCAGAGCGAGACGTTGGCGAGGGAGGAGGCGGCGAACTTGGCGGGGCCGGCGGTGGTGGCGCGCGCGGGCCGGCTGGAGAGCGTGGAGGAGGCGGTGTCGAGGGCGTTGGCAGTCAGGTAGGTGCCGCCGTAGAGGAGGAAGACGAGGCCGACGGGGCGCGAGGCGAGCGTGCGCAGTGGGTGGCGGGCCAGCTCGGAGAAGGACCGACGGAGGGAAGCGAGGATGGACGGGCTGGAGCCGGATGCGTTCTCCATGATGGATCTGGGATGGAAGGGAAGTTTGTTAGACACATGCGAGGGGCAAGCAAAGGAGCGGATTGGGAGTAAGCGAACTTACTTGTCAATGAAGGCGATGAGAGGGGATATTAACCCGGCAGCGCAGGAGGCGCTCACGGCGTCGGCGCCGATACGCATGCCAAGGTTTTTGGTGTTCCATTGGCGTGACTGCGGACTCGATTGTGTGGTGGTCGAGGTTGTAGTTGATAATGTGGTAGATGGAGATGATGGCGTCGAAGGGGAGAGGAGTGGTTGTGTTTGCGCCGTCGTGGCCGCCGCCGAGGGAGCCATGGTTGGTCCTTTTCTATATGCTTTTGTCTTTGCGTATCGGATATGATTGTTTGATGCAGTTTTTCTATATCGTAAACGGGCGATGGGCGTATCTGTGGCGGTAGGAGGCAGGACGGAGCGGCGTGACGAGCTGTCTACCAGTCATCGCTCAGCTTCGGCTCTTGTCGAGCAGAGGAGCTACCAGGTGAATCTGATGGCGCGGGTGAGATGCCAATTGATGGGAGAAAAGATTCGTCTTTCTGAAAAGGACGGAAAGTCGCTGAAATGGGGTCTACTGGATATGTAAGCTGGAGGGGTCGGTGGTTGGAAATTGAGGAGAGATATGCACAGGTATGGAGCTTTGCGATTCGCTTGGTTCCGTGGATCTGACGAAAAAAATCCCGAAGTCGGAGCTGGATGAGACATTGCGGCGCTTGTTAGCTCCTGTCGGGACCAGTCGGGGCGTTCGTTTTTTTACCTGCCACTAATAACTACGCCATGGGTGGTCGACAACAGAGGCCCAGTACGGCAACGCGATCCGAGCGATGGGTGAGTTATTTACAAACGGCTGTTATAAAAGGGATCAAAAGGGAAACTGGCCAATGTCGTAACGCTGCGACGCTGGCGCTGGGCGAATAGGAGGTGTCGGATTATGGGCTGCTTGCTGTCTTTCCGCGAAAAAGCGAGGCGGTGCGTGCCCCAGCGCGGCCGTTTGATGGGCTGCAGCTTGTTGGCTGGCGGCTTTGTTAGCGTGTTAGCGGCAAGCCAAGACGATCCCGAAAGCTGGGGACGATCTCTCTCCTGGTACACCATCTGCTCCTCTTGTACGGATTACAAAAACACAGATTTCCGAACCTATGACCCTTGTCCGACCTTGTTCTCAGAAACTGCCTGGTTGCAAGCACCGCCGGCGAGGAGAACTTCTGGCTACCCCCGAACTAAACCTGGGCTCTGTACCTCCGGCAGCTGTCTGACTTTTTGCTTCTCAGCAACTTTGGCATTGAATTTGATCTAGTTAAGCGGTCAAGTCCCAAAAGCTGGCGCGCGCCAAGAAGGGGAAACTTGGAGGTGTGGCTGCGCCCCCGGCTGAGCCGGTTTGCGTATATCGTTTCGAGGCATATGTCTAGACCGCGTTTCTTGTATGACGCTCAAGGGGAAAACGAAGTGGCATATGGGCGACTGCTGAAGCTAGCCCAAAATGATGCCGAGCGTATCGCTCATGAGAATCGCACCAAATAACTTTAGGAGGATAGAAGAGGGCGCTGAAAACTCTACACTCGAAATTATGCTGATGGACTGCCAGGCAATGGCAACGAGAGACACGGCTACATTCAACGCGTGGCTGTATTTAAATGTATTTTAGCTAGCTGCTCAGAATTCGCGGCACAGCTTCCAGAATTGGCTCTTTCTCGTGGGACGATCTTGTGCTTACACTCAGATCATGCCTCATTTTACACGCATGAAGTTCTCGAATATCAACCAAATCAAGATTATCAACTCCAATCTTCAAATCCCACCCATCACTTTGTTCTCCTCAGTTCTGAGCGTGGTGCCATCAAATGTGCTGTTTCTTTTCGCTTGCAATGCGCCGGGCATTACTCTCGACATATCGCATGAGTCTCTCGTACTCAAGGTGGTCGAGGGCTGCTGTTTCCGCTCGCTTGACATGCCTAAAAAGACTCACAACAGCCAGGTCGTCGTCGTCTATTGCGTGTATGCAAAGACTCGTCGCTTCGAATCTTTGGCTGGGTCGCTCTTCAACTTTTCCGCTGCAATACGCTTGGCTTGGACCTTAGACAGCGACGTCTCGTAGTCAAGGGGTTCCCCGATGAGGTGTTCAGACTCGTAACTAACGCAAAATTTGACGAGTGCTGGAAGTTTTAGCGCGTTTATCTGGCTGAAGAAGTTTGCCCATGTTTCCGATGGCCGGGCTCCCTTGAAGCCTGCCATGCAGCCTATAAGCGTGACTACTGACAGAGTGGCTGCATGAGCCTCCAGAAATTCGACCAATCCAGGAGACAAGAAGTAGATCTGATTGAGTGATAATGTCCGAAGCATGGGCAAGTTGATACGTGGTGTTTGTGGGTACACGTTGGGAATAGGCCACCTCGGTCCGGGGAAATAATCCCGACTGCCAACCAAGTGAAGACATTCCAGCTCTGTCATGTGAGCAAACAATTCTTCTCTTGTGTCTGGAACTAGACCAGGATGTGGACCATAATCACTAAATAGCCAGGGGTTGCAGAGACCAAGAGTGGCCGATTTGAGACGACCAAGCATCTTGCCAAAAAGAGGAGTAGAGAGTGCCGAGACGCGGACCGGCGGCAAGCTACCAATTTCAAGTTCTCGTACCCTCATATTTTGTGCGATAGCCGTGTATGTTTCGTCCAAAGCCGCCCTCCAGCGGCAGCGCTGCTCAGCCTCCGCAGCCTCAACAGGATGCGCCTCTGAGAGATATGCCTCTCCATAGTCCCCGTCCCAGAAAAGATTGTTCTCGATGCTGCAGTATATAAATCTAACAGCAAGACCATCGGAATTTGGCGTAGGAGAACCTCTCAGTAGCTTACAAGCGGCTGGGAGGAGCTCTGGAGATTCGAGAAGGGGCAGCTCCTCGACACCTGCGTCGTGAGGTTCGGCCCAGCAGTCGAATTTTAGGCATCGAACAAGATTTCCGTGTATTTTCACAGCCGCGAGTGCAGAGCTGGAGGTTCTCTCGTCATTCTCAAAGCTGATGGTGTGGAAGATATGCGGTGCAAGCTTCTCGCGGTATCGCTTGCAAGTGGCGCTCACACGACAGAGGTCGGGCTTGCTCAGCCGGCTGATAATCATCTCTGATAGCTCTGGGGGAAGATGGAAAATAAATGGCGACATTTTCACCGGTATTTGACTCGGCGTTTGAAAAGGGGAGAGTTCTCGAGATGGTCAAGGGATTGATGTCTGTATGTCGTCAAGTTGACCTTTTGTCGTGCTTGGGCTGAGACGGTACAGGTGCGAGCTCCCAGCGCCTACATACATACATACTGTAGGTACCTAGGTACCTACTGTAGGTATGCACTCCGCCAGTCAAGAGACAACAGTTACAAACTTTTGGCCTCCTCCCCTTTATGACTCACATTTCAAACGCGCGTTTGCAAATCTGCTGCTTTCTTTTTGTTTCTTCGAAGAGATATTCATTCACCAGCCCCATGCCGGTGGCTCAAGAAAAAAAAACAAGACTACTGACTGGCCCGTTTGCTACCAGCAGCTGGTCAAACGAAGCTGCAAACGCCCAATCTGTTAGAGCGGCAGATTATCTGAGTGATGTATGTCAACAGAACATCTAAAACCTAGAGTCTCGAAACATGGTACTTTGTTAATGTATTGCTCAGTTTACTCAATATCGTCCTTGTCATAGCGAAACTCTTCTCTCCGCTTCATCTCCACAACAAGTTCAGTCAATTTGTCCAACTTCCTGCTCAGGTCCCCAATCTGTACTTCCAGCGCAACACGATCCACTCCTCCCAGGTCTTGCTCAACCGCCGTTCTTTCCTGCGACACCGGCCGACGGCGTCGCGCACGTCTGTGTCCCCTATCTGTTCTATCCACGTCGATCCACGACTCCGTCCGCCCATCGCCGCCAGGCACGTCCAGTATGGACCCTACCAGCCGGGGCAGGCCGTCAACGGCGCCGCCGCGGGGCACCAGCACCTCGTAGAGACGGATGACGGCGACGATGGGCGCATGGGTGACCTTGAGCAGCCAGATGCGGCCGCCGCGGAGGGCGTCGTCGTCGCCGCGGAGGACGAGGCGCCAGGGGCGGAAGACGAGCAGGGCGAGCAGGTTGAAGGGCGGGTAGAAGTGGGTGAGGCGGTTGCTAGTAGCGGCCTCGAGCACGTAGACGCTGTACACGTAGACGTACTCGGCATGCGCCTCGCTCATGACGCGCGCGAAGCTGTTAGCGAGCAGGCCCGCGAGCGAGCCCATGAGCAGGAAGGTGGACATGGTGATGAAGACGATCATGAGGGGCGGGCCGAGGTAGGGGTCGATGTCGCGCATGATGTCGAAGCCGACGTAGCTGGAACCGAAGAAGATCTTGCCGAGCACGCCGGCCATGCGCATCAGCGAGAAGTGGTCGCGGCCGAGGAGGGAGAAGGTAGTGAGGAAGCCGCAGTAGATGATGAGGATGATGACCATGAACTTGAGAAAGTCCATGGTCATTTCTTTGAGGCACGGGATGAGGATGCCCCACGAGGGGTTCAGGGAGAGGATGGAGCACATTCGGGGCACGAGAAAGAGGGCCTCGAGTGCGAGAATGTCAAAGGCCATGTTGTTGATGGCCGCGCTATCCTGCACGACACCAGTGATTCCTACGCACATCTCGTCAGCATCACCGCAGCACACAAGTCGCACCCCAGGGGGGGAGGGAGGGGAGGACCTACTGAGCGCTGCAAAGACGCACCCCAACAACATCATAATGAGGTCGCACACGTTCCAGACGTCGGTCACGTAAAAGACGGAGCCGGCGTCGAGCCACTCGCTAAACTCGTCGTAGCAAAACGCCGCGATCCACACCCACAGCACGCCCTCGGCGGCGGTGATGCGCTCCGTCACGCGGCGGATGAGCACCGTGTAGTAGAGGTAGAGGAAGATGAGGAAGAAGAAGGCCTCAAACGTCTTGAGGTACTTGGGGACGCGCAGGCGAGAGTAGGCGTCGGTGGAGGCGGCGCGGCGCGGATCGTAGAGGCGCGGCGTCTTGGCGGCGCGCACGGAGAGCGAGTCCCAAAAGACGATGTCGCCGTGCCAGATGCCGGTGACGATGCGCTGCACCGAGCGGCGGCCGAGGAAGCGCTTGGCGCTGGCGACGACGGCGATCTCGAGCGCGTTGAGCGAGCGGAAGGCGACGGCCGGGTCGGCCTCGCCGTCCGCCCAGGTGGTGGCGTCGTCGTCGTCGTCGACTACGAGATGCGCAAAGGAGCTCGGCCGAAGGGATCGGCGGGACGATGCGCTTCCCGCCTGGGCATACCGGCGGTGGTGGAGGCTGTGGTCGCCGTTTGGCTCGGTACGGGGGCGCGGCGCGAGTGCGGGCGCGGGCGGCGGTAGCAGCAGAGACGACTCCTCATCGTCGGGGCGGGGGGAGCAGCGACTTCCACCACCGCCACTGCCGCGGTCCTCGCGCGATGGCCGGCGCGGATCGGGAATCTCGCGCAGGCAGAAGCGCATGGCGTCGGCGTCGTTCAGCAGGGCGAGGAAGCGCCAGGCGACGATCTCGCAGGCGGCGGCGCGGGACTCGCCGAGCGTCTGCTCACGCCTGTCGGCGTCATAGTGCCATTTCAGAGCGCTGGTATTTGCAGCGTGAGCAAGCGGCACGCGCGGAATTGAGTCAAAGGAATGATTGAGGGGTAGAGAAAGCGTACAGCAGGGCATTCACGATTAGCGGGTTCTGGCACGTCTCGGCGAGGTGCTTAGCCAGGTCGTTCAGGCAGGCGCCGGCATGCGTGGTGCGGAGCTGCTCAAAGGTGCTCGGGAGCTCGATGACGGAGCGAAAGTATCTGCGCGAATCGAACGCAATGGGTTAGCGATCGATCGATGCCGGTGGGAGGCGCGGCGCATCAGGGGTTTCGTGATGCGCGGTGAGGGGTTTGTCGCACAATGACAGCTTCTTGATGACGGAGCGAAGATCCTCATCCTGGTAAATTACGGGCAACGGGTAGTCGTCTGGCGCCGACTCGACGCTCTCGTCGCGCGTCATGTCGATTCCTTGGCTTCTCGCATGGGCGGCGGCAGCCATGTTGGCTTGAGGTTGGGTGAAGATGGGACCGGATCGCTGGGCTATGGCGTCACGGGTCGAGGAGCCGCCGCGTCGGAGATTGGACGAGAGCGTACCCATAATGTCGCACGGCAATTTGACGAGAGACGCGGCGATATAAGCGCCTCATAGTTTAACCCATACGGAAACAGGTCAGAGTCGCAGTTTACTCGTGGTAGGTAAGGGTATGCAAGGCGGCATTAAAAAGTGGTTGCGAAGAGTTTGTGCCCGATCAGGCTTGGCGATGAATTATCTGTGGCGTGCAACACGAACCACCACAACGACAAAGAACATTGCTTCAATGTCCGGCTTAGATCTTTCTTTTGTCTATCGGCTACAAGCCAGATGAAGCTATTCTGTCTTGCCTTTCGTTTAATAATTTTTAATCGATTTTGCTAGTAACGTCAACTTTGCGGATGGATGAATGCAGACCATAACTTGTCGCCTGGATAACGACCACACTAGAGTTGACTTGGTGGAAATAACAATATTGAGAGAAATAATTAGACAAGTGAGGGAAAATAGATAAAAGAGACTCGGAAACTATCAGCCTCTCAAGGTGTGAGTGATAGCTCCTGAAAATGTCGAAGGCAAATGTAGGGTATGTCAGTAACAGCACCGACACCAAAGTCTCCCCAGACCAACTTAATCACTACATTTAACCTTAGAGATAAACACGCGCCAATTCGCTTTTAGTTAGCAATAGCCAGCGTCGTCAATATGCTGAATGAATCCGACAACGCTGACAGCTGACGCGTACTTGCTGGCCAGCTACCCCCACTACAGCCTCACTGGCCAGGGTTCAACAGGGCTGAGAAGGATCAGCACACCTGCAACCGCAGACATGCCAATTCGTCACTCTTCGGATTAATGCGAGGTAGCCCTTTATTCTTGGCCGCCCTTCTGTAACCGTTTTCTCCGTGTGTGTAAGCGGTCTCTTCGGAAAGTGGAGAGAGACGGTGTAAACATAGCAACTTCGTCTACCGGTCAGGCCTGCGATGCGAAAATTTAATATATATATATAGCGTTTGGTATATTGAGACTGATTCTAGGAATACTTTCATTAGTATCAAAACAGCTTCAAGCGCAATGGCCACTCCGACGACTTACACACATACACCAACCACAAGTAGTACTGCTTCGCCTAGCTGCACAACGGCTGTCCCGGACAAATATGGCCATGTACCATTTGATGCGTGTAACTCCAACTACAATGACAACCCGAGTTTTGAGGCCAACCTGGCCTTTGCCGTGGTCTTTGGGGCGAGTTTTGTTACCCATATTGTCCAAGCCATTGTCTATAAAAAGGTAAGTCGGTGGCGGACCACGGTTATCAGCCCTACCTACGATGGAGAGATCTAACCCGACCATTTGTAGCGATTCTGCTGGGTTGTAATCATGGGCGCCGCATGGGAGACGGCAGCGTTCAGTTTGCGCACTATTGGATCCCACAATCAGCAAGAGAGACAGTACGCGATCTGGGGAACGCTTCTCTTCCTGCTGGCGCCGTTATGTGAGTGCCATCATGACAGCACACCTTCCTGGAGCACGGGGCTGACAGCATCCTAGGGATCAATGCTTTCGCCTACATGACGGTCGCTCGCATGGTCTATTTTGGCCTTCCCGACAAGAAGATCTGGGGCGTCCGCGCAGTCAAGCTGACGGTGCTGTTTGTTTGGCTTGACATTATCTGCTTCCTGGTGCAGCTGGGTGGCGGCGGGCTGCTATCTAACAACGACAACGCAAATTTGACGCGTATCGGGATGAAGCTGTACACTGCAGGGATTGGGCTGCAGCTCGGGTTTATCGTGATCTTTGGGGTCATGACGGCGTGGTTCTACCACCGGATGCGGCAAGTCTCGCGGGGACAGGGCATGGGGCGACTGCGGTTTCTGATATGGGTGATGCTAGCAGTTCTGGTACTGATTATGGTGAGCATCCTTTTGTTGGAGGTGTAGAGTTGTGGCGGAAAACATCGCGCTGTCCAGATCCGGATTTCTGCTGTCTGTTGCTGATGTGGCTTCGATCTAGATGCGAATCATTTATCGGTTGCTTGAGTTTGGGCCGGGAATCAACGCGGACAACAAGCTCATCACAGACGAGACATACCCGCTCACCCTGGATGCAATGCCCATGGCGTTGGCGTTGGGGCTGTTGAACTTGTTCCATCCTGGGCTGGTGCTCCGCGGCTCGGACGGCGAGTTTCCCCGGGTGACTCGCAAGGAGAAGAAGGCAATAAAGCAGCAGGCTAAGGAAGAGAAGAAGAGGCAAAAAGAGGCTAAAAAAGCTCGAAAGGCCGGCAAGTTCGTGTACGTGGACGACATGACAAGGCTGGCGGATGAGACAGACGGCGATGTCAATGGACATGCCGGAAACTGGGAGATGAGACCCGTGTACGAACGGGTATAGGTTGCATATTGGTAAGGAAGATCCGGTTGGGTGATGAAGTCTTCCGAAGAACACGAATGTTCATTTGTTGTCGATTTGTATGGAGTTTTGTAGGATGAGGAGATACAAATGAGCAGCTTGCTGGGCGGTGTACCAGAAGTTCTAGAACAGGGTGAAGACGAGCACAGTGCCTGAGGCACCGTGTTTGATGGGAGTTGTTTGGTGCATCGCGGGTGCATGGGGCCGAGGCTTAAGTTTCACGCCCGGCTGCACCTATATCATGCAATTTTTGTGCGTATCTAGCAAAAATTTAATGGTTTGAATCTAACATTCCAGTTCACCTCGGAAAATAGATGAGATGATAAAACCACTAATAAGCTACAGGCCATGCGGCTTGTGGAGCCGATCAGATCGCGCCACAGGCATCGCTGAGTGGAACTGCCATTTTGGGAAATCCTGCCCTGACAAGTTGCTGATCACAAGTCGGACTTGTATAGTCATTTAAGGCAGTATTGGAATCCGTCAAATTCTAGTTAGGTATGGTCAGCTTACGTTTGACTTCCTCTTTCTAAGCGGCCAGGTTGGCTCCCACCCGTGCCTCAGTGGGTTGCGCTGCTCTGGAGCAGAGACGAAGCAAAAAAAGCAGAAAGAGGAGGGAAACGCACCTTAGTCAGCCCGGTTACCCCCTTCTACGCTGGTATAATTGCTTTTTCTTCCGAGTACATTGTCTCCTTTCTCCCTTGCAGTAATCGGGTAATGCTGAGACGAAGCGGCACAGCGGTTCATCTGACGTCACAGCAATGTCGCAGGGGCTTTCGGGCGCTCACACGACCCCCGCACGGAGCAGCGGATCACTGCCCAGTGCCTTGCTGTGTACGGATCACGGTCATATTGAATTCGGCTCATTGAATTTACATGCGCCTATCCGTACAAGAATCCCGAAAGTCGCACGGAATGGTGCGGGAAGCTAGCTAGCTCCAAGTATGACGGAGGGCCTGGCGGCGTCAAGATGGGAGGCATACTCTCTCTCGTCTGTATGCCATCCTTTTCCCAAAAACCAAGTTATGCACACAACAATTTTTTTTTCATTTCTGCAAAAGAATTATGATAAGGTACCGAGCCCAATTTCACCCCAGAATCACCCAGCTCCTGTCTTGGGTGCTGTTCTAGAGGCCCCTTGTTTCTGTCTCGTCTCTCAGTTCTTTCTTTGTCTGCCTCTTCACTCCGTAGCCGCTCTTCGCAAGCTCGAGCCTTCCCACTCCTTGCTTCACTGCTTCTCATTGTCTTGCATCGTCTTTACCACGTTCGTTTCCATGGGCACCAACCGGACGTACATGTAGTCAATGCCTTGCTGTGCTTTCCTCTTCACGCAGCTGCCTGTTTAGTCCATCACCACTGACCGCTTCCTCCCTCACCCCTGCTCCCTTTCCGCCTCTCCTCTTCTTGGCATCGTCTGCCATCATATCATCCCTTTGCTTTCTTGCCCCCCATTCTCTCGCTAGCAAACCAGACATCCGGCGACTTTGTAGTATACCGCTGTTTATCACTCATTTTCACTACTTCTTTTTCTATTTGCCTTTCATTTTGCAGGAAAAGACGTTAGTCTTGCATCATTGGCGTGCACCACCAGACAGGCTCTGCAGCGAGCGTTGGCCGTTGCCTGCCACCTGGCATCGTTTGCTAAGGCCTTGACAACAACACCAACAACGCACGTACGGCTCGACTACACGAAACAAGCAAACAAACAAACGTCGCATTCTTTTTCGTCTCTACCCTCAAGAAAGAAGATCCTCACTCGGCACCAGCTTTCCAGCTTTCAGCTGCTTCGCGAACATACAACGACACAATCATGGCGCCTCGTCGATCGGCTGCTCGGCGTCCTGCCTTCCCCATTGCTGCGTCCCTGCTCGTCTCGTCTGCTATAATTGCTCCTATCTCGGGCCACGCACTTCCTCATCAGACAGTCGCGCCGACTGCGACAGCAGACACCCTGACATGGCCAATTCAGTCCACCCTGGCACCGGTCATCCCACCTCTGCTCGCAGGTCGCGATTTCAACACCGTATGTGGTTATATAGGAGGCAACCCCAACCTGCCCGCGACCTGCATCGAGGGTACACATTGCGTCGTCGACGTCGAACACAACGCTATCGGCTGCTGTCCAGATGAAGGCGACTGTACTACGGGCATCTTCACCGGCTGCGTCGACGACAAGAACCCCGGCCGTAGCGTCGTTGATCCTCATATTTACACTTGCGGCGTTGGAGATGTGTGCTACAAAAACACCTTTCAAGGCGGCTTCTTCCAGTATGGTTGCGGCTCAGCTTCTGAAATGGCTACCACAGTGGCTTTTACCGCGGCTGGCAAGCCTGCCATCGCTTACACAACCGTCTCGGTTTCTCTGCGTCCTACTGTGACTCTGACCACGGAAACTAGCAGTGATGGCAGAGCCCCTAGTAGCACCTTGGGTCGTGATAGTAAGCCCACTGGCAAGAACTCGACCGAGGTCGACGGAGGAGTCAACCACACCAGCGTCATTGTCGGTGGCACTGTTGGTGGCGCCATTGCTCTTTTTCTGCTGTTCGTCCTGGCAGCCTTTCTCTGGCGCCGCAAAAAGAATTCCAAGGCAGCTGAAGCCGAAGAGGAACCCAAGTTTATCAGGTATGTTGTAAAGGACAATTCAGAGCGCCTCACCATCTAACCAGCAAATAGTCGTCCGTTGGCTAGTCCAGATAATGACTACGAAGACATCGACGACATGACTGACACACGCCCCGCGCCTAAGCCTCCTGGACCTACAAGCCAGTCTGAAGAAGAAATAGAATCGTGGCCTATTCCTCCCGGAACAAAGGGGGGTGTCATCGGCGGCGCTAATGGCGTCATGGAGACTGATAAAACACCACTCACGCAGCATAACGCTCTTGCGCCCATTAATAATATTGACAACTTTTCCCCTGTCGACACTGGCAGCGTGCCTCGCCGAGGTGGTGAGCGCCCATTCTGGCAGCAAACTGGCGGTGGTCGCACTCGAAACCTGACTCGATCCTGAGGAACGGACAGTTGAGGCAAAAGTTGCGCATATCCGGTCTTGGTAATGAAAGTACATACCAGTGAGTCGAGGCCAAGAAAATTGTGCATGTCATGTCCCCAGGTTGGTGTCTTGGAGCTGGACATGGACATGCCATTGTGCCTGACGACTTTTATCCCTCTTCTTCTTTCTCTCCCCCATATCTCTTCTACAGTCGACTGACTGTACGCCGGCCATACGTCAAATCAGACACTCTGTTTCATATACCCGCCTTCTCCTCCACTTCACTCTTTTCAATCATCTATATATCAGCATGCCGCTGGTTACGCGATGGGGTAACAGCGACATGAGAGGTCTGGACAGCACTCATTGGGTGAAAACTTCGGATGCAAACCTGGAATGCATAAAGTGTTCACTGGGCCTCTTCTTGAATGCCCCTTTTATGTAATAGCTTAGGTAGCCGGGAGCTTAGCGTATTGCTTAATGTCTATTGCCTGCCATTATTGATCTTGCATTGAATGCTTGACGTGCTCAGAGGCACTGTATCAACGATCACATCCTCTCCACACAGCCACTCACTCACTTACACAAGCCGGATGCACATCCGATCGCGCAATAATAATCAACATTGAGCCAACTGAGCCCGAGCAATTGTAGCCGCGCCTCGCGTGCTAAATATTCGACGCCTCCCTGTAAATGTAAAATAATGACAGAAAAAGTACCCTATAAAGCAAGGAAGGTTATTGCGGCAGCAAATCTCCCTCCTCCAATGCTGCGTCCACCGCCGCTCCCGCCAGCTCGCCCCTGGCGAACCGCGCCATCTGCTCCGCGTCCGGGCTCGCAAACCCGGGCCCCGTCGCCGGCGGCAGCGCGTGCGTGCACTCGGTGAGGTCGTTGACGTTGGCGACGCCGAGCAGCGACAGCCGGACGTACGCGCGGGCGTAGTCGTCGTTCCACAGGGCCTGGGCGGGGCCGAGCGCGCGCCCGTACACGCCGAACCAGCCGGCGGTGCGCGGGTCCGCCGCGAGGTTGGTGTCGCTCGGGAAGCGGACGACCTGGGCGGGCGCGGTGGCAGCGGCCGTCTCGCGGAAGAAGGCGGCGTCCCAGACGCCCGGGGTGGTGTCCTGCGGCGCGCCAGTGCGGTTGCGGTCGACGGTGATCTGGCGGCTGGCGGTGTGCGCGCCGAGGAGCGCGACGAGGTCCCGCGCGCCGAGGGTCTTGTCGGCGAAGAGCCGCAGGAGGGCGTCCGCGGAGGCGAAGGGCGAAGGGAGGTTGCCGCGGGGCGCGGGCGCGGCGCTGTCGCGGCGGCCGACGAAGGACCGCACGCGCGGGCCCTGCGGGCAGGCGACGGCGCCGACGGCGGCGGCGAACTGGACGAGGTCGGCGAGGCTGATGCCGTAGGGCTTGTAGCTGGCCCACCAGGTGCGCATCTGCGCGCAGATGGGCAGCAGTCCGCCGTTCTCGCGGCGCTCCTCGCATTCATTGGCCAGCAGGATGGAGCCGTCGGCACCGCCGCCAGGTCCGGTGCTGCGCGACCAGCCGCCGGCATCATGGAAGCCGAGTCGCACGGCGCCGCGTGCGAGCTTGTTGCAGCGGCCGGCTGTGCCGACCATGGCGGCGTGGAGATCCTCGGCGATGTACTTCCAGATGCAGCAGGTGTCGGCCGCACAGGCTGAGGAGTCTCTCGGTGGAGGCGTGTAGGTCGAGACGAGGTCCTGCGGGTTGAGCTGGCCGAGCAGGATGCGCTTGATGGCGCTGCCGGTGGGCGTGAGACTACTCTCGGAGAGGTGCTCGAGGTCGCCGATGAGCTCGGGAGAAGCATTCGGCGGCGATGCGGCCGCGCGGCTGTTGATTTGGTCGATGGTGTCCTTGATGCCGGGATAGGCCACCGCTGCTCTCATGGCCAGCGCCACCGCGGCGATGGTTATTGTTGGTGCCTTCATCCTCGAGAGGGGTGTATATCACAGGACCTTGTGAGGCGAATGAGGAAAAGACGAAAGCAGGAAGAGGTGGCAAGTACCGGCACAGAGCGAATGGAAGCTATCAAGAACACACGACCACCCGTCCGCAGGGCCAATGGAGTGAGACATGATTATATTGCATCAAAGCAGTTATCCCTGATACCCAGGGTAGCAGCGCTCGCGCCCCAGATTCTTGATCCAGACCAATACGGAAACTCGGTACTTTCTTTTCGCAAGATTTTGAACGGAGAACTTAGGCCGCATGCGGTGTTGGTGCTGGCTACCTCCACGGTGAGGCGCTAAACGAAGCCGAGATCAGCCTGCGATGGACGGCTAGTCTGGGCTAGCTCTCCGTATTCTAGATTACTCTCAAAATGTAACCAGGAATTCAGGGCGACTTGCTTTTGCGAGCTCTTTTCAGCTGTCCCGTTATGCCTGTTGACAACCCGCGTCACCAAGTAAGTAAAGGGGACAAGGGAGCGATTTAAAAGCGTTGCCGCGTTTCCATGTCGTATCCATTTCCAGGGCTGCGAGGCTTCGTTAAGATTAGGTGGCGCTTTCTAAATACGGGGAAATTGCACCAAGTAATGCCCTCCTAGCGTAGGCCCGGCTGCAGATCCTTCCAGTAACATCGGTTCAATCTATGCGGGTGGCAGATGGAACCGCTTGTACGGCCAGTGACAGCTGGGGGATTGGCAATATCTGCGCTGTTGAAAGAGCTTGTTTCGTCGTTATTGCGACGCTTGCTGGCTGGTCACAGACCACAGCTTGATAGCGGAGCCGTCGAGTATTGTGGTCTTGACGCTGCTCCCGGTTGTACCACCCTCTGTGCTGTCAATGTCCTCTTCGGAGGGGTGACACCAAGCGCCAGCGCAAGAAGCGACCACAGAGCCGCTTGGATGGACAATGGTGCTGCCTATTGGAGCTTCGTGCGCGTCCCAGCTCCATTTGGGGTCGACAACACCGTAATGTAGACCAACCTCGTCCCAGACCTTGACAGATCCCGACTCAGTTCCAGCCCACAGCTCGAAGCCAGGGCCGTCCCCTGCAATGCCAAACGCATCGCACGTAAGCCTCTGTTGCGTACTACAGTCACGCCCGGCCAACACTGTTAGGAGCTTGCCGTTGCCGCGAATATCGTAGACAAGAAGGCCGGATGCGTGCCTTTCGTTGATGACGAGATATCTCCCGCAAGGGCTCCATCTGGTCTGCATAATACCCTGCCCCCCAAAGGATTTGCCAAATTCGTGAAGATCGGCGTCCGCAATGCTCCAGTTTGCCACGGCCTTGTCTGCGCGGTTCATGTCGTACAGACCCATCCATCGTGTCCAGGTGCCAGCGGCTACAATGCCGCTGCCGGGAGCATCCGCGGGTGAGTTGGAGAGTGCGGATACGGTACCCTTCATACCCACGCCGCCGCCTTTCAAAAGATGCCTCTTGGATGGAATCGTGTGAATTGTGTGAACAGGGCCGTCAGAACCGGGGCGAGAGACATCGAAGTAGTCGATCCGATTTGCTGAGCCGCAGAAGAAATGGGTTCCGGGGGACGGCCAGAGCATGGACGATGGTGTAATGTACGCCTCCGTTTCGTGTCTCATGAGCTTGTACATACACAAAGGCGCAGGCTCAGACCCAGTGGGGAAAGCATGATAGAGCTGTAGCGGGTGATCACGACTGCCAACGAGAAAAGTTTGTGTGGCTGGATTAGAAAGAGAGAAGTAGGGAGCCGAAACGATGCACTGCGAGGGCTCTGGTAGCTGAATGCTGGCCTGGGGCTGCAGTGGCTGAACTGTGTCGGCTTCTAACAGGTTGGATGGCAGGACAAAGGTCGAGACTTTGCTGTCGGAAGAGCCGACTAAGAGAGAGGTACCATCGGCTGTCCATTGAGCGGAAGAATAGAAAAAGCGACTGGGTTCTGTAGCAGTGCAGTTGGCAGCACACTGTGCAATCAACGTGGCCGATGAGGGTGAGGGCGAAGCATCGTGCATCTGCGGCGGCATCGGCGCGTCTTGTGGCTGGGCGTTGGAGTGCATATCGCTGGTTAGTACCCCAGCAGATGGCGATCGTTTTCGTGTGGGGTCTTGGCGGGATAAATGCCGTTCCGGCCAAGGGTCACGATAATAGGTATCAACGCATGTTTCTGACGAGTGAGTGGGTTGGTTGGTGGTGGTTTCGTTTGTCGCCAAGCAAACAGTAATAAACGTGGTTGATGATTTGAGCTCTGAGAACAGCAACCCTAAGAAAGCCCACAGTCGGTGTTTGAACTGTGGGGCATGGCTGTGGCTGTATAGCCCTGTAATTCAGGTAGCGGAAGAGGGAGCTTTGGGGGCTTTCCCGAGTGGCTTTTAGGGAGGCTTAGTGGATGGTGGGAGCGCTGTGGCCGCTGGTAACATGCAAGCTGTGTCCGCTAAAAGAAAGCTGCTAGGCAATTTTAGTGGGCCTGAGGTACCTCGAAGCAGAGCACCAAAGCAATCAACATGTGTTGCTCCCTCACAAGTACCTCCTCTGTCTACGTCATTTGCGCCTGACAGATGCGTGATGGCCCAAGCTCCGCCCTCTGGCTGTCCATTCTGCGGCCCTCAGCCTTGACTAGCCAATTCAGCTAGCCAATCACGCAGCCAGACGAGATCCACTCATTCCTACAGTCCAGTACAGCAGTAAGGATACGTGAATGTGATGAGTGATGGCAAGCCTCCCTCCACACACACCCAACGTGCATGTTACCTGCTGCGCTGCTGCACCGACTCCATACTCTGTTGTGACTTCTCGTCGAGGTACGGTACTGCGACGAAGCTATCATCCATACCTACTCGCCTGCACCTCGCCCCTCCAGCTCCACTTGACCTTTTAATCTCTGCATTCCCCCAGCATCTCTTGACCCTGTCTAGCATTACTGCTCTCGACAACCACATACGCCCATCAGGTTGACGTCGCGGAAACGCTGCCGCCAGCCGCCTGCTAGTCCCGGCTTGATCGCCGCTTGGTCACCGGATCCAGATCTCATCACAGTCTCATCCACTACATCCCTTCGACGAGGCTCTTTCCTGCATAGCAAGGCGTTCTGGCGCCTCCGCCGCAGTCATGGACATCTTCAACGAGGCCGCGTCGCGGTGCGATGCCTTCCGGACACCGAGATATCTCGAGGTCGTCATTTCCATGTCTGTCTTGCCTCTCTCGCCGCGTGTCCCCTATCTGCACACCGCTAACGTCTTGATCGTCTGCAGTTTGATCCTCCTCGGCCTTCTCGTCTCCTATCTCCCACAGCATTATCGAATCATATCACGAGGCACAGCGGAGGGCATCTCCCCATACTTTGTGCTTCTCGGTACCACGTCGGCAACTGCCGGATTTGCAAACATATTGACCGTCCCACCCTCGCGCGCAGCCATGAGCTGCTGCAAAGAAGTCGAGGGCCTCGAATGTGCAGCTAGCATGCTTGGAATCGCTCAACTTGGCGGGCAGTGGCTGTGCTTTAGTCTCATGTATGGACCACAGCCCCCCTCAACTCTTGCCAATCGCATTGCTGACAGGCCTCTAGTCTCGTGCTTTTTCTCATGTTCTTCCGCTACGAAGATGCTACGGTTCCACAAGACGAACTTGCTGGCGAGTCGCCGAAATGGCAAACTGCTGCGACGGTTGGACTGCTTGCCTTCTTGCACGGCCTCGTCACCATCATCGTCACTGGCATCTTCGCCATCGCCATGCCCCAACACCTAAACTTTTGGGCCCATCTTCTCGGGGTTCTGGCAGCAGCTCTGGCGGCCGTGCAGTATGTGCCACAGATCTGGACAACATATCACCTCAAGCACGCCGGCAGCCTGAGTATTCCCATGATGTGTATTCAGACACCTGGTGGTCTCTTGTTTGCTGCCAGCCTCTACATGCGCCTGGGCATGGAGGGCTGGAGTACTTGGGCCATTTATTTGCTGACTGCGGCCATGCAGGGTTCTGTGCTCTTCATGTGTGTTTACTACGAGCTTGCTAAGCGTCACGAGCGCATGCAAGAGCCTGAGAGTGCCCCTCTTATCAACGAACCCGATTCTCCGGTCGACCAATCTAACCACCAAAGGCCTATTGCTAACCGCACTTACTCCGAGGGCTGGGAGCGTGGTCTTCCCGGGCCCTTTACCGGGCACCCAGAACGCTACGCTGAAACCGAAGAAGACTTGGAGCACATTCAAGACCGCGAGGAACGTGCGATTGCGCGAGAGAGCCAGCCTCTGTTGAGACCTGGTGGTATCGGTAACCCCAACAAGAGCTACAAGTCTACGAATCACCGTCACTAATGGTTTTCATGTCTGATGCATTGCGGGTTCTGTTTCTTTGTTAGTTTACGTTAGCTTAGAATAATCGCTATTTCCCAAGATTCTTCTTCTACACTCCGGAAGCTGGCCATTTAACGACTATTTATTCCGTGTCAGCCTCGCGCTGAAATGATGCAACAGTCGCTCAGTCGCGTGGTTCGACCGACCAGCCGATTATCACGGGATCAACGACGCGTCACTAACAGTTGAGTCACCTTTAATATAGACACGTAACAGCCCCAGCCGTTGAAGCGCCCACCCACAGCCTGTGCCGCAGGAACCCTGGTGGCTTCCGAAGCCCTCCGGGAACCCGGTCCACTAAATCGATCCTCATGCCTTGCGCTCGCCTCCTGATTGGCCGCACAATCCACTCGAGGACATGTAGCGCATGCACGCGCATCATGACAATGGAGTCATATAACCCCTGTTCCCCAGCTTCAATCCCGCCCGGGCGTCGGCTACCGTTAATACCCTGCCTCTCATATCCAAGGCATTGGTTGTGCAAAGCATACATATCGTCTTGAGCTCGCTTAGATCCTCACTCCGCCAGTGCCGCTCGAGTCTCCGACTTCCTCGCAAATCGAAATCAGCCCCTCCATACAACACCACACATATACCCGCACATCATGGCCATCGGCAGCCCGATCTCCCCGCAGCATGCTGCTCAGACGCCCGCGGCGACCACCACAGGCATCGACATTGACGCCTGGACGATATCAGCGCTGCAATCGCTCAGCGTCTCGCCGATTGCCCGCGGCACCGGCACCCCGCTATCCATCCCGATCGATGACCATGTGCCTTCCAAGGCCCGCGCTACGACGGACGCCCGCCGCGGGGTCGTCCAGTTCGACGCCGACGAGCCCGCGACGCCGCCCCGGCGGCCGCCCTCCCGACGAGACAGCATGGCGCGTCGCGAGGCGCTCCTCAAGGGCAAGGAGGGCAGCCGGCAGCGCCGCCGGTGGGAAAACGGTATACCATTTCTCCCTCGCTACCATTTCTAGTTGTCTTCCCGGCTTAACACCTGGCGTGCTATATAGACCGCCTGATTGGCGTCCCCAACGCGCAACCGCCGCAGCCCTCCGACTGGCAGGTCCAGCCCACGCACCCCATCCACGCCGTGCCGTACCAGGTCGCGCAGTTCTGGGACCGGGGCGTGCGCGAGCGCGTAGCCGACACGACGCGCCGCCTGCAGGCGGCCCGCAAGACGCAGCAACTGATGCGCGGCAGCGCCACCGGCCTTGGCGTCGGCGAGGTGCCGCGCGACCTGCGCGAGTCGGCCAAGCGCTCCCCGGCCGTCCGGGGGTGGGTGCGCGCGCTCGAGGAGCCGGTGCGGCAGTTTGTCCACGCGCACATCTCCTCTAGTGGCCGCGCCGCTGCCGTGGAGGCGGTGCAGGCGGAGGATGACGAGCTGGACTCGGACGAGGAGGAGATTGTGTTTGCGGGTCGCTCGGACGCCCTGCGTGCGCTGCAGGAGAGGAAGAAAACGACGACGATGACGACGTACCGTGCTGCGGGGACGGGGGGGACGGCAGACGCGGGCGTCGTGTTTGACTCGTTTGGCGACGATGAGAGCGCCTCATTTAAGCGCTGGCTGACACACTCCATCTCCGATTACTACGGCCTGGCGTCGCGTTCGGTCCTAGTGGGCGGCTCGTCACAGAAGGTCGTCTATGTCGGACTTAAACAAGCCCGTCAGATGGCGCCGTCGCTGTCGAAGATGCCACGGCCGCTGTGGGAGCTATGCTGAGGTTATACGACGACAGTTGGGTCTGTTCTTTGTTCATTTCCCCCTTTTTTTGCGATTTCACTGCGATCTATTAGATGGCCTAGATACACGGGCATACATGGCTATTTTTGCTGATAGACTGGATCTGTTTTGCATCCCCCATACTTTACACGCAGACTTTGGCTATATAAACATAGAGGAGAGTCTCACTCTGAACACCTGAATTCTCATACGATATGCCGTGCAAGATCACTTGAGTTTTGAACGTGCCGGCTGGACGCCTCGAAGGCTCATGAATGCCGAGACCAGCTTGGAGGTAGCGCCAGGGTCGTCCGCACTCGGCAATATGGACTTGTTCAATCTGAAATGAGACGACAGATCCCCGTACGGGGATGGTTGTACTCGCTCAGAAGCGCTTCTCTGCAGTCTGAGCTTGATCAGTGAGTCGAGCGAGTTGTTCGATGGCGGTGTCGGCAGCGGATTTATGACCTTCTTCACTCTTGAGCATTCTTCAATCTCGCCATCTTCAAGGGTGCCAAGGGTTCCAATGTGATGGACTTCCTGCATTTTTGTCGCACTTTGCTTGTTCAGCTCCATTATGGGCTCTGCTTCAAACGGCCCGCCACGCCGAGGAGGGAGCGGTGCCCATTGAAGCGCCTCTTCCAGGACCGAATCGACCAGTAGAGGTGGGAGGTGCTTATAGGACGCCCACTCAGGCGTGGCCGGCAGTGTTGCGTTGCTTGCTCTAAGATGGCTTAGCTCAGAAGTTGAAATATTCGGCAGTGGCAGTAAAATATTGTCAATCTGGTCCAGGTTTGACGCCATGCTCTCGATTTCGATGTCTGCATCCTTTTCGTCGGAGCTGAAGAGTGCATCTTCGAAGAAAGCGTGAAACGGGTCCCCCGGCGATTTCACCTCCAGTGGATACACTCCTCCCTCTTGGCTAGACTCTTTCACTTGGAAATCTTCGATTTGTTGTATCAATCTAGTCTCGGGGACGGACGTTGAAGGTGCAGCCTCATCAGGGTCACGCTGGAGGGCCTGCTGCTTATGCCTGTCCCTGTAACAGGCTTGTGAAGTGCGATGCAACTTCGCTACCCTCGGCGATGGTGTGGTAGCTCTCAGACGCTTTTCTTTGGCGAGACTAAGCAACTTGGAGTTATCTGCGGTAGGTTGATGGTTGAATTCAGGCGATTGAGGTGGCGTTATTGCGTCTTCTTGGACAGAGAATACCTGGACAGGTCAGAGCAGTGAGCGCAAAGCTAGAGGCAATACGCTACCTCAGAATCTGCCATAGGCTTAATTTTCAATGGACCTGTTCCGACTGCAGAATTCAAAACGTCTAGCTTGTATAGGAGTGCTTGGTGCAGTCGGTCGATGTGAGGAGGAAAGTTAAGACCCTGGTCTTCACTCTGGTCGACTGAGATCAAAGGTAGATATTGGGAGACAAGACAATTTTTCGGCATAAATCCAATGATATGGGAGAACGCATCAGAGTCTGTGGAAGAGCTGGGTCCTATATCTGGTAGTTCGAGCAGCAAGTCGTTCAGGGAGCTTGGTTGGGAGGAAAACGTTAACCTTGTTTGCGCCGTGCATCCCAGCTCATCTGGCACCCTCTCTGCTAAGGACTCTTGTTCGAAGATCATATCACCATTCGGCAGATCTATCTCATTGCTGAGAGATTCATTTCCCACCAATTGCTCGAGAGGGTCTTCGAAGATGGTTTGGATGCTGGCCAGACAGCTTTGTAGTGAAAACTGACTATGTCTGTGGTCATGGAACAAGCCAAGTCTCTGTGCATACTGTATGGCTGACTCTTGGGTCATATCCATTGCAAATACGCATCCAACATGCCTCCGGTTGGTTTTTGAAGTGTGAGTATCGAAGGTGACGAGTATAGAAAACCCGTATGTCGGCTGTAGAGTGCAGGTAGCCAGCGCTGTACAGAGAAACCAGTGTTTGCCTACATCCACTGCCTGTCGCCAGTCTCGCCACAGCCACGCATTTTTAGCAGCATATATACCCGAAAAAAAAAACAGTTATTCTCAAACAATCAAGAATATTTACCAAATAGATTGTGATTGAATCTACCGTATCATTCCTATCGGAGTTTGCCTAGCCTGCACTGAAGGGAACCTGTAAACTCCGGCACTTGCAGACCCCACCAACTTAAGAGCTACACCTCACCAAGGAACTGCGAGTGACGCACTTGGTTCAACTCCAGCCGTCCTCGAACCTCCCGGCCAGAAGCGTTCAAACTACGCCTTGCAACGCATCACGAGTCTATCCCTCGCATCGTTATGTCATACGTAGCACCAGTACACTTACCGACGAGCATACGCCATGCCATTCGACTCCAATTCAGCTCCCCCGACTTCGATGACTTGATTGTTGCGTACGTACCATTGCGCCCTTCCTTCGCGGCTGGTGTTGATGCCCGCCGGGAAACCTGCCTTTGACTTGACCGCTAATTTGATTTCCATATTAGAAAGGCGAATCGACTCGAGATATGGCGCGTCACGCAGGAAGGCATGGCGCGCCTGCACACCAAAGTCGTGCACGGCACGATATGCATGCTTCAGCGTTTGCGACCCAAGGACGCTACTGCCGACCTCCTCTTCGTCGGCACCGAGCGGTTACAATATTTCAGCGTATCTTGGGATCGGAAAAAGAACGAAATGGTACTCATGAATGAAACGATGCACGACGCTGCCGAGCCATATATGCGCGAAGCGCAAAGTCAGAACAAGTGCCTGGTGGACCCCACGGCAAAATTCATGGTGATGCATCTGTGGGAGGGCGTGCTCAACGTGTTCCGCCTGCCAATTCCGCGCAGCAGATCTGAAAAGCTCGAATTGATGGATCAGATTCGTATTACAGAGCTCTGGATGAAGGATAGCACCTTCATCCACAGCCGTACAGGCCACCCGCGCATCGCTTTCCTCTACCAGTCACAGCTTGACTTGGAGGAGGCTCGTGTCGTGGTCTACAGGCTAACGACTGATGACAAGGGCGGCGATGTCTCCAGATTTGACCCGCACAGGGATCGGGAGCTGGACAAAGTCATTAACGACCCATTCGCGTCGATGCTAATTCCGGTGCCTGTTGCTGAAGAAAAACGGTATCATGTGCGGAATAACGAGGGCACAAGGGCACACCTTGGCGGTCTTCTCGTCGTTGGCGAGACATTATTGACGTATTTTGATAGCTTGACGTACTCAAGCGTGTCGTCGCGGCTCCCCGAACCCAAAATATACGTCGCTTGGGCCATGTACGACGATACACACTATTTCCTTGCCGACGACTACGGACGCTTAGACTTGATGACACTGGAGACATATTCAGAGCCCACCGGAGTCATTGTTACTGGCATGACTGTTGAGTCTCTCAAGTTTCCTAATTCTGGAGACCTACCGTCTCGCGCGTCGACTCTTGTGTACATGGGCAATGGCATGCTTTTCCTCGCCTCGCATCATGGCGACTCGCAGCTTCTACATATTGACCTCGACTCTCGGACTATGTATCCGATCCAGGTTTTGCTCAACAACGGCCCAATCTTGGACTTTGCCATTATGGATATGGGCAACAGAGAAGGCGACCCCCAACAAGGCAACGTATTTTCGTCTGGTCAAGCCATGATCGTCGCTGGCTGCGGTGCCTATAATAATGGATCATTGCGCAGTATTAGAAGTGGCATTGGATTGGAAGACTACGGTGTACTTCCCATTGAAAATGCCAGACAACTATTCACTTTCAAGTCGCATGGCTCGGAAAAGGTCGACATGGTTGTGGCTTCGTTTGTCCTGCAAACTCGCATCTTTCAGTTTGAGGCAAACGGAGAGATCGAGGAACTTAGTCACTTCGTTGGAATGGAACTCCACCATGACACCTTGCTGGCAACCAACCTGCCTAATGGAGATCTCCTTCATGTAACGCAATCAGCTGTTGATGTGTTTGACCTCAAGAAAAAAGGGAGAGTATCAACATGGAGGAATAGAGTTCCTGGCACAATCACGTCCGTCTCATACAATGGGAAATGGCTACTGCTTTGCTTCGACGGGACTACCCTTGTCTCGCTGAATCTTGAGGAGGATCTTAAAGCGGCTATACAGCGCTACGAACGAAGCGAAACGCTGGGCCAGTCCGATCAGATTTCTTGTCTGCATGCCTCACCAGATCTCAAAGACTACGGCGTTGTTGGATGGTGGACCCCTGGAAAGATTACAATCGTGGACCTTGCTACACTGAGCGCCATACATAGTGTTAGCCTTCAGCAGACCGCCGATGCCGCGTCAGTGCCCCGCGACTTAGCCCTCGTTCAGCTTCACCCATTCAGCACGTCAGACCGTACAGCAACACTTTTAGTTGCGTTGGAAGACGGGACGGTTGTCAACTTCGACGTCTCAGGCCAAGATCTTGCATTGTCTGGCAGGAAGACCGTCACCCTGGGAAGTAGCGCTGCGAGGCTACACCATCTACCAGAAGCCGACGGGACTTGCAGCATCTTTGCCACAAGCGAGCACTCTAGTCTGATATACAGCTCTGAAGGGCGCATTATCTACTCTGCAACGACTGTTGAGGATGCCACCAGTGTAGCACCATTTGATGCTGAAGCATTCCCCGACTCCATACTAATCTCTACCGATCAGCACGTCCGCGTATGCCACATTGATAAGCAGCGTCTGACCCATGTCACATCACAACCAATACATCAGACAGTCCGACGAGTCGCTTACGCCCCTGGTGCCAAGGCATTTGCTCTCGGTTGCGTCAAAAAAGAGCTCGTCGGCGATGAAGAAATTATCGCAAGCTCAGTAAAGCTGGTGGACGAAGTCCTCTTGCAAGAACTCGGTGCGCCGCTGCAACTCAACGCGTCCGGAGTAATAGAAATGGTTGAGAGTGTCATCCGCGCCGAGCTTCCTGATCCTACCGGCGCTCTCGTGGAACGCTTCATTGTTGGCACAAGCTTCATCACCGACGGAGAAGTTGCCGAGGCCAGCCAGACACGTGGGCGGATCCTTGTTCTGGGAGTAGATGAGGAACGCCAGTTGTACACCATCATGTCACACAATCTTAAAGGCGCGTGCCGCTGTTTGGGTGTCCTGGATGAGTATATTGTTGCTGGTCTTTCCAAGACTGTTGTTGTCTACAGGTACACGGAGGAAACCAGCACCCGGGGCTCCCTGCAGAAGCTTGCATCTCATCGCCCAGCCTCTGTTCCGGTAACAATCGATATCTCGGGGAATATGATTGGAGTTGGTGATTTAATGCAGTCGTTATCCCTGGTGGAATTCACCCCGCCCAAGGATGGACAGCCTGCGCGCCTGGAGCAGAAGGCGCGACACTTCCAAGCGGCATGGACTACTTCTGTCTGTCATCTGGACGGTGAGCAATGGTTGGAGACGGATGCTCAGGGCAATGTCATTGTGCTGGCCCGAAATCCGGATGCGCCTACCGAGCAAGATCGCGGCCGTCTTGAAATCACAAGCGAAATGAATATTGGCGAACAGATTAACGTTATTCGAAAGCTCAATGTCGCTCCAACAAACAATGCGGCCGTGTGGCCAAGGGCCTTCCTCGGCTCCGTAAGTTGCGCTTGCACCAATGACCCTGACTTTACGCTAATGACCATATACTCATAGATTGACGGCACATTGTATCTCTACGGCGAAATTGCCCCAGCACACCAGGACATCCTCCTCTCACTCCAGGGCAAAATGGAACCGATTGTCCGGTCGGCGGGGGGCATAGAATTCAGCACATGGCGATCATTCCGCAACCAGGCGCGAGAGGCAGAGGGGCCGTACAGATTCGTTGACGGCGAAATGGTAGAAAGGTTCCTCGACCTGCCCGAGTCTACTCAGACTGAGCTGTGTAAGGATCTCGGGCCGAGTGTCGAGGATGTAAGGAATCTAATTGAGGAATTGCGAAGGATGCATTGATGGGTTGCAGGGTCTCGACTGGCCGAGGCTGTGTACGTAGGTGTGCGAGAAATACTCTGAGGTGTTGGGTAGAAATGAGAGGTGTAACATGAATGATACGACGAGTCTTTGATTGCATATCCGGATTTGCCAGCTGCCCAACCTACCTCTCCCGCCCACCCCTTCCGCACTGATCTCTATCTACCACAGCACTCCTCCTCTACATAGACTTGCTTACTTTCCTCCTTAGGCCGGCCCCTTGACACCAAATGGAGTACGACTTAGGGACTCCTCGTGCAATATCGACGACGGCCTTCGCTTCGCGCCCTCTGGCGCGCTCATCGCCGCCCAAGCCGCCGTGCCGATGGTCTGCACCCTGTGCTCGTCCTGCCACTCTAGCAGTCTGTCATAGTCCCAGCACTTGCGCGTCACCTCAAAGTCCGGGAAGGGCCCCTTGTGGCCCTCGACCCAGTTGAACGTGAGCAACTCCATGCTCGGCTGGCACGCCAGCCACCTGGCGAGGGCCTCCTGGCAGTGCGCCAGGTGCGTCGCGTACACGGCGTGCACGCCGCGCGGGTGGTAGTGGGCAAAGTTAAAGTGCAGGCTGCGGCGCATCGAATTGAGGCAGTGGGCAAGGTGCACGGCGTCGAGCTGCGCGAGGTAGGTCTCGTTGCCGAGGCCCCAGTCTGGCGGCGCCTTGACGGTCAGGGCAGGGTCCTTACCGAGGGCGGCGACTTGAGCGGCGGTCAGGCCGATGACGCCCATGTCGGCGAACTTGCCCCATGCGGCGTCGACGCGGGGACTGGGATCTTGTCGGAAGACGGCGCCGTCGGAGTTGAGAGGTTCGGTGACGGTATTGGACACGGTCCAGTCCGGTGTAAGTGTGTCGAGGGGAGGCGCTATGTTCTTACTTAGCCTTGCTCTCTTGATTTACTTTCTAATTAATGAAGCACTAGCAGCCTCAGAGTACTCACAGTAAAATGTCTTCTCTCGTAGCAGGCGAGTTCCATCGATGGGCTGCTCGGCGGACACCAGAAGCACTGACACAGCCAGACAGCCCAGCGAGGTAAAGAGAAGAAGAATGTTTAGCATCAAGAAGATACGAGCAGGTTTGGAAGAATTATCTTGACTTCTTTGAACTAGGGACTCCTGCTCTTCTGACGCGGCATCTTTGTCCGCCAGCCTAGTGTAAGACAGCGTTGCAAGCGGAGCCTGTGATGTTAGATTTTACAAAGCAACATGTAAGAAGAAGAACCTTCAAAAAGTACTTACCGGCATCTTTTCAAGGATTTTGGCGCGAGAAAACTTCATTTCTGTAGACGTCTGTGTGAGCTACGCGCGAAAACAGCTTCTCGACAGGGGAGTGCGTGAAGGAGGATGAAGAGCGCGGTAAGGATGCGACTGGGGGGGGCAGCCAATACTACTCTTTTCATCATTGACGTGGTATCTGCCGTCCAGACGCCACGACCGGCGCATTTGTCAAGCGACGGGACCCTGACAAACCCCAATAAGGCTGGATGAGGCTGGATAAGGCTGGGCGTGGTGATAGAGGCGCAGCTTGTCATCGGGCAGACCGCGGACATCATGTAGAACTCAAACAAAATAAAATTCCAACTAATCTTCTCCGACACGAGGCATGTCTTGACTAACATCTAAATTGCGTAGACGCCGGCGTCTGATGTGTGATGTGTGTCACGAACGTGTATAAATACCCGCGCTCCCGACCCTTGAGAGAAGCGATCCCAACGACAAGTACTACACACCTTTCTTCGAGCAAATCCACCTTCTACACTCTAGAAAACTTTCTAAACTACACTACATCTCTCCTACTCTCACAACAACCTCACCACCATCTACCCTCATCACTTCAACATGCGCTTCCAGGCACTTATTGTCGCTGCTGTCTCCGCTGCCCAGCTCGTTCTGAGCAGTCCGGTGCCTGAGCCGACGGCGTGCGCGGACATTTACCAGTCATGGTACGATAAGAAGCCTTTCGCCACTCCGGATGCCTCCTGGTACCACAAGCGCGCCACTCCGGATGCCTCCTGGTACCACAAGCGCGAGGCCGAGGCCACAGCGACCGCCGACGCGGGCGACAACTTGGAGCATGCTCCATGCCGCGCTACAGTTGCGGCCGAGGCCTAAGTCCTCAACCCTTGTATCAGCTCTGTTTCAACTTTAATGTCAACTGGTTCTGTCTCGCTTCTAATTTAAGGTTATGCTACGGTCGTTGATAACAGGGCTTGCTGGGTGGTTCAGCCATTGTTGCAGGGCAAGGTACCCGAAGGGTGCTGTGGACTGTGGGTAGACTGTGGGGGAATATAGAATTGTGTATTTAGCTTTGCGGTAGTGTTATTGGTCAATAAGAATCTTTTAATGTCATTTTGTCTCGATCCGGCATGTAACTTGGTGATTGCCTGATCCGGCATATAACTTGGTGATCGCCCAAGTTTGCCTTCAGCCCTGGCGCTCGACCTGAGGAGACGGCGGCGCCGAGCGCTTGGTAACGCCCGAAACCAGTGATTCCGTGTCTGAATGCAGTTTCAAGAGTCAATTTTGTTTGTCTGACTGCTTCTCTCGCCAGGCAGCAGACGCCCGTATAGTGGCTGGCAACCACCTTGGCGAGATGCAGCAGGCGCCGGGCCCGTATCGCGCAACCAATACCCAAATGCCATGTAAGCCTACTTTTTTTCAGCTCCTGCCCGGGAATACGGACCGTTTGCCATTCTAGACCGTCATAGTTCGGCGTTGACGAGCAGGGCTGGCTGCGTGTCTTTGTCATTGTTCACCTTGATCCAATTGGACTTACCGTATCAATCGGCACCCCCCCCCCTTACTCACCAAACAGATCACAAACGACAGCTCATAAATAGCCTCATCTTGGCAAAGACGACCAAGTCACACGGAGCCCGTCTGCCGATCCGTGGCCAACGTGCCGGGTGTGTTGGCAGCCTTGCAGCCTGAACCGTTGCAGCGGCACGCGGCCGAAACACGGCAACCAATGGGCAAAGCTTAAAACAATAAGGCACCTGTCCAGTAGCCTAAATGGCCCGATTCAAGGCTGACTCAATGCATCGAACCGTGAAAGACGGTACTTGATCGAGTTAGGCCGAGTCGTAGGTTTCTCTCAGGCACGAGCAAGGTCCGATCATTCTGCGCCCTCCCCCTCGGGTTCGGCGTCTATGTACGAAGACCAGGAGAATACGGGGATTGCGGCAGGCACCTGACATAAGGATGAAGGGGGAAAGAAATAAAAAGTCTCCGAGGCAGTTGCCGCTGGGCGCTAAACGCAGGGCGCATCGCCCGCTCAGGCAGCCAGCCAGGCAGGCAGGCAGCCGCTTTTCCTGCAGTGATACCATGATGACAGTTATAGATCGATCGACGGCGCTCAAGATGGCTACTTCTAGTGAACCATGCAGTTGACATGCTGGGACGGGATCGACCCCGCGTTTCCCTGGTCTATACAAGAGGTAATATTAAATGGAGGAGGGGCATTGATACTGGCGGCCCGTTCTTTTCGTACATGGAGTACGTAGTTAGTATGTAAGTACTAGCAGAAACAGAAAAGAAGTTTCCGAGACCTGCAGCCCAGAATTACTTGAACAAGACAAGGGAACTATTTCCGCTAGCTCATCTTAGAATGGCAAGACATTGACCCAACTATAGACTTTGTGACTCATTTACGAATACGACAAGTACGAACTTCCCTTCATAACTACAACTTTCAACAACTTGGCATCATGGGATAATGTTTTGTCTGCGTCTCTCTGCGCCGATATCTCTGAGAAATGGCCATGACATTCCGATGAAAAATGGACTCCAATCCCAGCGCGTAATACGCGGCTCTGTGTGGTCCTCGGTCAAGGCCTTTTGCGGTACTAGCATAAGGCTGTGAAGGCACATCTCGTGAGCAGGCACGGGCACGTAACTCAATAACGAGGGGAAATTGTTCACCTTCGTCTTCGACAAATTCGCACAGTCTAACCCGACACTTCTTCAATTGCATTATTTCTGGGTTCGGGCTTTCAAGTTTGTGCATGCCCGGCCAATGCCACGCCGGGCATATACGCCGAGCACCGCCGCAACAGAACCATCAGCCCGCTCCGTCATTCGGAAGGCTCTTGCTTCTCTACCGAGCTCGAGGCGCACAGGGGGCTGTATTCGTGATGACTACGTATAAGCTGGTGAGATTTTTGCCATGGCCAGGTCAGCATTTATCATCTCGGGATGCTCGCTCACTCTGCGGCAGGTTCCCTTCTTGCACACAACCGGTTCCGATGGATACGCCATGGCTGAGGCAGCGGAAGAGAAAGGATGTCAAGGCTTCTAGGTAGAGTCTAAATACAACAACCGAAGCAATGCGAATTCCGAAAAATTTTGTGTGCACGAATAAAGCCCATTGAACAAGGCTCCGGTGGGCAATAGGAGACAGGATCTAAGGAATCTTTGGACATATTACAGCAGAACCTGGCGGGCAAAGAATGGGGCGCAGCTAGCCTACTATCTTTCTCCATGACCTGTTTCCTTTTATCACGGTATTTTTTCTAAAGTTACAAAAGGCCAGGCTATTCGTTGTAGTCGAGACACAGTCACACGCCGGTGATGTTTTCGGTCAGGCTTCTTGACAGCCACGGCGATTGCAGTAGCTCCCTCGCATCCAAGCGCTCTTCTGGGTTCAGTCTAATCATGGACATGATAAAATCTAGAAAGTATTTCTTGTCTGAGCTGGGGATATCACGGCTTTTGCTGAACTGCTGTAGACTGCATGGTGGGAAGGTTGACGGGCGAAGAAGCTCCCATGTGTGGAGGAATCCAAGTTAGACCATGACACGCACGACGTAAATGCAGTACCGTCCATGTCGAAATATTGGCTCCGGTTGGAGGATCAACTAACAGTGAGTTTGGAATCTTTCCAGCAGCGCTGTCATTTGGGCAAGATGCGCAGCGGACGAGTAGTCGTCCTTCGGAGTCCACGTGCCGTCAAAGAGAAGCTGTCCTTCTGCGAGTTCCCATATCTACCAATCCAAGTATTACCACTTGATATAATGCACTGCAGGCTTGGCTTGAAGGTTCAACTTACAATCAGCCCCATATTCCATATGTCCACCTTGTAATCCCACTTCGCCCCGAGAATCACTTCGGGGGCTCGCAACATCTGGGGTTGGATCCATTCTGTAAGGTGTTTGTCGAACCAACTAGCTGTCATCAAATTGTTAGGGGGCACTTCTTCGCCCGTAATAGGACATCATACTTGCTCTAAAGTCTGCCAGCTTAGCAGACACTCTGAGTGACTGGGCCAAGTCTTCCTGCGCGGATGAGACTTGAACGGACTCCATGATGTTACCATCCCTTGCTGCCTCTTGTGACTCAAACACTTCGGGCGGGGCATGGTCGAATATTTCTCTTATTGCGGGCGTCTCGATAAGGATGTTTTGAGGCTTTATGTCTGGAAGAGCAGGATGGTGGGTAAATATCACGACTTGTTCTACTATCATCACAGAAGCCCTCACCTACCAGTATGCATGACTCGGCATGTGTCGTGCAAAAAAGAAAGGGCGAGTAGCAGCTGCCTTGAAACGATTTGTATAGCCTGTGTAGAGATGCGAAGTTTGGGAAACAGCCGCCTATACTTGGACATATCCGGACCCATGGCAGGGAAGACGAGACAGGCATGAGCTCCGTTCGGGCCGTTGTGTTGGAAACTGTCAAGTAGCTGGAGGATATGAAGACCTCTGGGATCAGAGACGGCCTCATTCCGTATGTGTTTGAGGATATCGATCTCGAAGGTGTCGTTCCCGTGACCATAGGAGTCCGCAGTGAGGATCTTGGGTGCAACGTGTTGCTTCACCCTGGCGGGCAAGTTGGTCATTAGGGTTCGCTTCTTCCCGCAAACACAAAGACATACTGGAGGTCGAAAGCCAGCCAAACAGTGGAGTAGACACCATATCCAAGCTTGCTGACGATTTTGTATTTTCCGTGATTGAACAAGTCTCCAATCCAGACGGGTGGTAACCGCCGACGCAATACCGTGCGGCGCTTTCCCCAGAGACGCGGCTCGAATGCTGCAGCCGCCTGAACTGGTTTGTGAAAGGAGGCCTTGCACGACGTACTAGTCTTGTCAAGTTCGTCATGTACACCATTCTCACTCTCGAGCAAGTGCCTCTCCAAAAGCTTCAGAGCGCTCGGATGAGAAGAGCCAGGTTGAGTATTTGCTAAACATGTTGCTTTGGTCTGGATGAGAGACAAGTAAATATTGACACCGAGATGGTGAGTGTCACCTTCGTGAAACCTCAGGTTGTTCTTCCCTGCACATGGGTAGCTTGATCTAACAGGGACTGAGATACATGGCCACTAAGAATGAAAGAAAATCATGAGATAGCAGAAAAAGGGTTACTCCCTATTCTCTAAATGCAGAGAATAGTCAATACATGGGCTGCAATTATCGATTGTTGGAAACGGCGGCTGATACAGGGTAAGTAACTGGTAAGCAACAGCTTGTTGCCCCAGCGCAGCTTTGCGGGAGAGTCCGGGTGGCAGCCCCACTAGCCAATCAGCATCGTCCAATTTCCCAGCTTTTCACACATTACGCTGCCAAAACCAAAATGGGCGCCTCAGGCAAGAAACCCAGGACCCAAAACTTTCGGCAAAACGCAAAGGTCACCATCACCACGCAAAGAGGAAAAGACCTCACAACCGGATCCCTTCTCGACAGCCCACCGCCAACGCCTTCGGTCGTCTCGACTCGCGAAACCAATTCCCCTTCCTCGCCGGTCAATCCCTCACTCCAATTGCGCAATGGCTGCCCTCTCCAACGCCTCCCGCGTGTGCCTGCGCTCGGCGGCCACGCCGGCCATGCCCGCCGCCGTCCGCGCCCTCAGCAGCACCGCCGTCCGCGCCGACGGCGCCGCCAGCTACAGCAGCCCCTTCAAGGGCCAGTCCAAGGCCTCCCAGATCCCCGACTTTGGCAAGTACATGTCGGCCAAGCCCGAGGGCAACAACAAGCTCTTTTCCTACTTCATGGTCGGCGCCATTGGTGCCCTGACTGCCGCGGGTGCCAAGAGCACGGTTCAAGGTAAGGAATTCCTTTTTTCCATCGATGCGAAACGAAGAAGGAGCTGCATGGGATACGACATGGGCCGAATTCCTATGAATTTGAGGCCAATTGATGCTCAATGGCTGTCCCTCGCTCCCCTCGACGAACCGCAAGATTGCCATTGGAATGGGAGATGCTGACGCTGGGTGTTTATCACAGAGTTCCTTGTCAACATGTCCGCCTCTGCCGACGTTCTGGCCATGGCCAAGGTCGAGGTCGACCTCAACACCATCCCCGAGGGCAAGAACGTAAGCTTTTTACTCCCCATCTCCGGGTCCCCGATTCCGCGCGCGCGATGGCTAACTGAGCATCCCTCCCCTCCACAGGTCATCATCAAGTGGCGTGGTAAGCCCGTCTTCATCCGCCACCGTACCGCCGACGAGATTGCCGAGGCCAACAAGGTCGAGGTCGCCTCCCTCCGCGACCCCCAGTCCGACGACGACCGTGTCCAGAAGCCCGAGTGGCTCGTCATGCTGGGTACGTATTGATCCGACGCACCCCCCCCCCTTTTCGAGAGGAGAGACAAGAAGGAAAAGTCATCTAACAACATCTGCAGGTGTCTGCACCCATTTGGGTTGTGTCCCCATCGGCGAGGCCGGCGATTTTGGCGGCTGGTTCTGCCCCTGCCACGGCTCCCACTACGACATCTCCGGCCGTATAAGACGAGGCCCCGCCCCCCTCAACCTCGAGATTCCCGCCTACGAGTTCCCCGAGGAGGACAAGCTCGTCATCGGTTAAAAGGAAGCCGAAAACATCCGAAGAACCAAAAAAAGAACAGCATTCGCGACAGTCAAAAAAGTTTACACACGACACGCCGACAAAGTTGCGTTGTAAGAATATAAATGGGAGGTGTTCTTTTTTTTCCGTTGTTGGGTTTTCTTTTTGTGAGAGACGAACCGGGAGAAAGAGAGGCCAAAGGCATTAGAAAGCATCGGGGGTTATTGTATTGGGAGGAATGGAATGACAGCTCGGAGGGAGATGAGAAAGCAGGACGATGAGGACCACTCCTACCTCGTCTTTCCCTTTTTTCTTATTAGACGTTGGGGAACTGCTACAGGCGAACATTGTATAAATTCAAAATTTTCCATGAATTGATTTTCTTTGTCACAAGAATCACCACTTTCAGCAGGACTTAAAAGCTTGGGTACGCGACGGTCTCACCCCGCGACGTCCCCGGGAATTGCATGTGACTGGCTGCTCAAGACAGCGTTCAGGGCGATCTGCATAATAATGCAGGCAGAACCATGTAGTAGAATGCTTGGTATTTTGTTTCTTTTCGTCTTTTCGTTCCCTCTATGTATCTCATACACGAGGCAAGTATTCCCCCTCCCCACCAGTCCCTTCCCGCTTCTGTGTCGACGTTTTTCATTGGTGATATTCCCAAGCATCTATTCTAATTACATATACGAGGGCCCTTTTTATACTTTTATTTTGCATCTCTTTGAAATTTCTTTTCGCCTTTTTAATGACCATGGCCATCATCCTGGGGAGCTTCAGGGTTGACCTTGATGAGGGTATCAATGCGCATGATGGAGATGCATGCCTCGACAGCACTCTTCAACTGCCTAACCTTGCTGACACTAGGCTCCAAAACACCGAGCTTGAGCTCATCCACGACCTTGCCGCGCATGAGGTCAAGACCATAGTTCTTGTAACCCTTCTTGCGCGCAATCGTCTTCTCGTCGTCGTTGGCATCACCCTCCTGGATACGCTGAGACAGTGCGTGTCTTGAGCGCAGCTGCGCGACTAGCTCGGCGGCATCCTTGGCAGCGTTGACGGCCAGCGTCTTGGGAATAACCAGGAGAGACTGGGCAAATTCGCCAATGGCAAGCTGCTCGCGAGAGCCAACTGTGCCAGCAAACTCTTCCAGGTAAATGTGAAGCGCAGTCTCGACAGCGCCGCCACCGGGGACGATGCTGCCGCTTTCTAAAGTACGCTTAACAGCGCAGAGGGAGTCGTGAATAGAGCGCTCCATTTCGTCAAGAGTGTAATCGTTGGGGCCGCGCAGAATGCACGAGGCTGCCGAATGGTTCTTGGGTCCGCGGATGATGATGCACTCGTCGTCGGAGATGCGTTCCTGAGAAATAGACTCAGCATGACCGAGGTATGAGGGATCAAACTTCTCGTCACCGTTGAGATCCGACAGAGTGCTTAGCAGGGTGCCACCGGTCGCCTTGGCGATGCGGCGAAGGTCCTCCTTTTTGCACCGGCGTACGCCCATGGCGCCCTTCTCAACAAATGTCTTTAGTACGAGGTCATCAATGCCCTTGGTGGTGAGGATGACATTGGCGCCGGCCTTGAGGATCAGGTCAACGCGCTCGAGAATCATGCCGGACTCGCGTGCACGGATCTGCTCCAGCTGCTGAGGGTCGTCAACGGTGATCTTGACGCCCATCTTCATGCGTTCCTTTTGCAGGTTCATGTCCAAGATGGCAATCTTGGCGTCCTGGATATAGGTGGGCATGGCCTGCGAGGCGACCGTGCAGTTGAGAGCGTAACCCTTGACAAGCATGGACTCGCGGGTACCCTTGCCATGAGCCTTGAGAATGTTGACAGCCTTGACGGGGTACTTGACTTCATTCTTATAGTTGGTCGTCTTGACGGCGGTGATGGCATCGACAACCATGTCTGCGAAAAAGTCGGAGTCGGCGCCAATGATCTTGCTGGACATGGAGGTCTTGGCAATGTTAAGGAGGGAATCGCGGCCGAGGTTCTCAACCTTGATGCTGACGTTCTCCTGGAGGTACTTGACGGCCTCGCGAAGAGCAAGACGGTATCCAGTAATGATGGTGGTGGGATGTATGCGGTTCTTCATGAGCTCGTTGCCGCGACGAAGCAGCTCGGCGGCGATGAGGACGACCGAGGTGGTACCGTCGCCGACTTCCCTATCTTGTTGCTGAGCGAGTTCGACGAGGATCTTGCCGGCCGGGTCTTCGACGTCGAGGAGCTGGAGAATGGTGGCGCCATCGTTGGTGACGGTGACGTCCTAGTTTGCGGTGAGTAAAACGGCGAGGGGCAGGTGGGTAGGCGAGAGCAGAATTGAGCGCCCGGAGAGACCTTACACCAATGTCGTCGACCATCATCTTATCGAGGCCGCTGGGGCCAAAGGAGCTCTTGACAACATTTGCAATGGCTTGCGTGGCCAGCACTGGCAGGGGTGGGTAGATGAGTTAGCAGTTGTGGTGGAATGTGGCGGGGAGGAGTCAACAAAGCGTACCGTTTTGGTCACGAATGTCCGATCCGGAAATCTTCTGGCCACCGAGGAAAAGAGTGCCGTTCCCTGGCTGTTCAAACATGGACGCCATTTCTGCAGCGGTGCGCGACGCGGGACGTTGGCAGAAGGGGAATTTGAGGTGGTGGTGATGATTGCTGGAATCGAGTTTCTGCCTGCGCGCCGCTATAATTTACCACGAGCTTCCACAGTGGACCATCTGCCCCTCGAAGCTTTTTTTGGGGGGCAAGTTAACGTGAGCTTCGGAGGGAGAGATTGTTCCAGTTCCGGGGTGGCGGCGATGGGCCAGGGCGACAACGGCGTCAACGTTAGTGCGTCCCCATTCTTGCTCCCGACCTACAAATGAATGAGCCAGCATTGCTGCTTTCCTGTGCCCCCTTGCACCACGTCCAGCTTTCGCCTGCCTCATGAGCAGGCTGCCCAAGCTCCAACTTCCCGAGTTGCGTGTGCATTTGATAAATCATATATCCAGTCGCGTTCGCAACATTTGCGGGTCTTCATGGCCTGCTGGCATTGTTCTGGATGAGAAGTAACGGCTTGGCAAACATGTCATGCAGCCACCTTACTTGAGAATTGTCTACGGGCTAACATCTTTGCTTCCAACCTGGCTCTATGGCAAGGCCATCTCGACCATACCTACGCACGCGGGGGGTGGTTTTGGGTATACCTGAAAAGCTGTGTCAGTTGTAAATTACATCTTTACTGCCTAGTTTACCTGATAGCGGCTTAAGACGTCTTGAAGCGAGTATTTTTATCTGGAACGTCTGGGAGCCTCTAATAATCTCACGAGGCAGCTTTCATATATGCGTGGACATGAGGACTGACATATTGTTTTATCCCTATCTAGTAATAGCCACCCGCATCGTAGGGACTTTGGAACCACGCTTTTGTGAGCGCGTTGCCATCTTGTACAAGGCAGTAAACATCAAGGTAGTATTGAGCGACTTGGCTGCAGGTATGCGACCAGCGTGGCACTTTCAGCTCCAGTCGCCGCACAACCATGAGCAGCCATCGCCACTCCGGTGACTTAAGCCCATCCGCTGGCCAGCACAGTCCGGCGGAGTTGATCCCTGTGACATCCTTCTATATCAGCCAATGGGGCAGTACTAGACCTAGGCATGAGCTCATCAAATCGGTCTCACCCACATCGCAGGTTCTTGCAGCAAATGCCTACCTTATAAGGGAACGAAGCCCCATCGACAGCACGAAAATCACAAGCCATCCATTCTACAGAATCCAAACAGTCCCCATACGCAGTACATCTGATTCAGAGTATTATCCTTTAGATTGAACTCAGAATGGCTGAAGTCGCTAGTCTCTACAACGCACTGCCCACACTAGGCGAGGCTGATGGGCAGTTTATTAATCGCGAGGCCATGCTGTGTGCCTTCGCCACGCTTTTGGCTCAATATAAGCACGCATTTGGCCTTTGCCTCGTTCATGCTCACTGCAAGCTTTCCGAGGGCAAATCATGCTGGCCAGAGGCAATGTCTCTCAGCCCGAGCTGATGGAGCATGCTGCAACTTTCTTTCCCGAACGGTGGCTTTCCACCGGGGAGCCATACGAATTCACGGTGCGGAGAACCGGGAAGTCTCCGACGGAGCTTATCAACAAGTTTAAGCGCATCGTCAGGGATGCTAAGCTTCAGAACATTCTCGGCCTATATGACATCGATGGAGGGGAGGAGACACCGGCTCTTATCGAGTGGACTGAGGGTAGAAAGAATCTCACTCGAGAGATTACTGATGATGACAAAACAGGCGAGCCAATCCAGACAGCTTGGAACTTTGCCCGAGGTGATCCTATAACCATGAGCGGCGTAATCGCTTGCGACCAACGCACGACCCGTACTTCAAGCACACATAAAGGTATGAAGTCTTTCCACTAAGCATTGTGTCTGAGTTAACCTGGCAAAATGGAAGGCACTCGATCGCACGGTTAACGTGCCGCCGACGATATAAGATAAGGCTACTTTGCATTGAAATATTGCAACAAGAGGCATTGATTAGGCGTTGTGGTTTTCCTCTCGTGCACGACATTGCACGACATTGCCTTGTTCTTTGTAACGTCAGCCAGCCGAAGATAACTTAAACTTACACAAAGGCATTCCTGCAAACGAATCATTCTTGAGGAAGTAACCTGCGGCCTCCAACAATGGTAGATGTTTCCTGGATATCTCTGTATTGTTCCTAGGTGTCCAGGCATCTATTCTTTGACACCCTCGCTACATTGAAATGAAATCATACCTGATGGACTCACCCAAGAGCCGTTGGCTAGTCACGACGCTTGGGCAGGTTGAGCAATCGAGAGGCAATATTTTCAATCTAAGTTTCAATCTGCGCCCCAAAGGTGAAGAAACATCCACCAGGAAAGCAACTAATGCGTCGGCCCTCAAGTATCCATATACTCCAATTTGCCTACGTCTGTATCTTCCCTACCATCCCACGCAGCTCGGCCAGAGTTGGACGCTCCTCTGGCCTCGGACGCATGCAGGCTTCAACGATGGCTCGAAGCGGAGGTGGAACAGGCCATTCGACAAAGTGCGTGATTGGGTTATTCGCGTAGACTATACTTTTGATGCAGTTTCCGATATCGTATATGTCGGATCTAGAACTCCATCCCGAGTCCTCTAGGCCCCCTTGAAGGCGACCTCAGGCGCCTTCCGCTCCCCCCAGCGGCTCTCGAGATCGCAAACAACCAGGCGTTGGCCGTCGTTCGAGAAGAGAAGGTTATCGGTGCGTAAGTCGCGATGGATAATACCAACCGAGTGAAGACAATGTAAGGCGTCAATAAGTTGTAGTATCCAGCTCTTGTAGAGGGCCAAGGAGGAAAAGTGACCGAGGGTACGCGCGCTAGACCACAGCTTTTCGAAGACAAGCTGCCCATCGGAAGACCTTCCAAGAAGCTGGATAATGTTGGGAGAGAATGGATGACCCGGTACAGAGCCGCCTTGGCACTTGATCAGATTCTCGACCTCGCTTCGATACTTGCCTTTTTTTACAAAGTGCTTCGCTGGGTCGACAGAGACAAGGGGAAGCTTGGAAACGAGCTCGCTCACGTCCTCAGAGTCGTCATCTATAACCTCGGGATACGCTAGACAGCAGTTCAGTAGACGTATATCGTCGCCGTCGATCTCAAGTGACCAGACATGGCGGGCAAGTTGCGACGGATTCTTAAGATATCGCCAGATAGAGTACCGGGGACGTCGAAAATTCGTACACATTGGCCATGCTCAGTGCCGTCGTCATACCAGAACGTCATGGAAGACTTGTCGCCGCACTGAAGATCTAGCTCGAGAACTGGTTTACCGCCTGGGGGGAACAGATTGGTAGCGAGGCGACACTGCTCATACTCGGCACGTAAATGGTGCACATTTTGGCTGAATGCGTCGTCGGTTTGAATCTGGCTAGCCATAGCTTGGTGGTCGGCGCTGATTTTAAATAGGAAGAAAATGATAGTGCAGGAGAAGGAGCATGAGAAGGAGCGTGTTAGGCAAAAGTTTCATCCCAGCTACTATATGGAAATCAGCTGAGCTCGACCCGCCGTTGGTGCCCAGCGGCGGCTCTGGTGCCTTAGTACATACCTACCTATCAACCACAGTAGACGTTTCAGTGGTTTTATGCCCTGATGGGAGGTTCGGCGCCTCCCACCGAGCATCCATTCAACAAGCCATTGAGCTTTGACCAGTCCTCTTCCCTGATTGGCCAGCTCTGCCCTAATCTGCAAATTACCTAACCAGGCCATCCTCTGCCCCTCCCTCCGAACTCAGGCGCCAAGTGGGCGCGGGGCAGGGTCTCCCCTCCACCAAAAAAAGAATAGTCTGGCTCTCGTGGTCACACCGCGAACGAATCTTGTCAACCTCGCCCACCCCTCCGTGCCTCGCTTTCTCACAGTGACTCAGACAATACAGACGCCTCGACGCCTCCAAGCTGATATAAAACTTGGGCGAGTTTCACCAGTTGAAAGGAACTATCCAAGCAAGTCTGCAAAGTTCAGTACCCCTCCTTCCCAGCAAAACCTCTAACATATCTTAGCTCCACCAACTGTCCCGTTTGCCTCGTTTCCACCACAATGGAAGGCGTCACCGAACAATCCAAGAGCGCCCTGAAGAAGGCCGAGAAGCAGGCCAAGATGGCTGCCGAAAAGGCTGCTAAGGCTGCTAAGAATGCCGCCAAGCAGACCAATGTCCCCGTCGTCGGTGGCAAGAAGACGGACGACATCATCGGCATTACCGTGACCAAGGCCGAGAACTTCCCACAATGGTATCAAGAGGTCGTCCTCAAGGCCGAGATGGTCGAATACTACCAGGAAATCTCTGGTTTTTTTGTCCTCCGCCCCATCTCTATGTACATCTGGAGTGCCATCCGCAAGTGGTTCCAGGAACGCATTGAGACCCTCGGCGTTGAGGAAGCCAGCTTCCCCATGTTCCTTTCCGCCAAGTCTTTGGAAAAGGAAAAGGACCACGTTGAAGGTTTTGCTCCTGAGCTGGCCTGGGTCACCAAGGCGTAAGCACTTTTGACCAATTCCCCGGCGCAATCGAAATGCTAACATGCATCATACGTAGTGGTGATAAGGATCTCGAGGTCCCTGTCGCTGTTCGTCCTACCTCCGAAGCTGTCATGTACCCCTACTACGCCAAGTGGATTCGAAGCCACCGCGATCTCCCTCTACGACTGAACCAATGGAACTCTGTTGTGCGTTGGGAGGCCAAACAGACCACTCCCTTCCTCCGTACCCGCGAGTTTCTGTGGCAGGAAGGCCACACGGCACTCCTGACGGAAGAATTGGCTGGTGTCGAGGTTCTCCAGATTCTCGATTACTATGCCGGTATCTATGAGGAGCTCCTTGCTGTCCCCGTTGTTAAGGGCCGCAAAACTGAGAATGAAAAATTTGCGGGCGGATACTACACCACCACCGTTGAAGGCTATATCCCCTCCAACGGTCGTGGTATCCAGGGCGCCACCTCCCACTGCCTTGGCCAGAACTTTAGCAAAATGTTCGACATCACTGTCGAAGACCCGGCCAACAAGGGCAACCACATTCACGTCTGGCAGAACTCCTGGGGCCTGTCCACCCGCGTCATCGGTGTCATGGTGATGGTCCACGGCGATGACAAGGGTCTCGTGCTCCCTCCTCGGATCGCTAAGCTCCAGACCATCCTTATTCCTGTTGGAATCAACAAGAACACGACCCCCGAGGCTCGCAAGCAACACGAGGAGCAGCTCCTCGACATTCAGCATATTCTTAAGAAGGTTGGTGTCCGCGTGGATGTTGACCTCCGTGACGGGTACACTCCTGCATGGAAGTTCAACGACTGGGAGCTGAAGGGTGTTCCCCTGCGTATTGAGTTTGGTCCCAAGGATGCTGCCAACAAGGTTGTGTCCTTTGCCCGTCGCGATACGGGAGCGAAGGGAACCGTTGCCTTGGATGAGCTCAGCACCAAGATCCCCGAGCTTCTCGAGACCATCCAAAAGGACATGTACACCAAGGCTGAAACTTCCTTCCGTGAGCACCGTCTCAAGATCACCAACTGGGACGAGGTCCTTCCCGCTCTCGACAACAAGAATGTTGTCCTAATCCCCTTCTGCGGTAATGGCAAGTGTGAAGACCGCATTAAGGAGCTTACCACTCGCGTGGATGAGCAGCCCGATGTCCCCGAAGGCCAAAAGGCTCCTACTATGGGCATGAAGTCCCTGTGCATTCCCTTCGAGCAGCCCGAGGGTATTGTTGCTGACGAAACTGAGTGCTTGAACCCTGAGTGCAAGAATAAAGCCGATAAGTGGACCATGTTTGGCCGCAGCTACTAAAGCTGCTAAGATGGTATCCGAGAAAAGGAAAAAGAGCGAACCTGGTGTTTGATTTCGGATGGTATATTGGATGTGAGATTTATTGGGGGTGACGGGGCATGAGCACTTGAACATGTATTGGCGGCGTTTGCTTGATTGATTCTTTCTTTGCCGGCATTAGACTTGGTGGCCATGATAGAGTGCAGAAAAATATATACGAATTGATGAGACAAATGATGCTTCATGGAGGATGCAGTGCTGCCAGCCTATCTATATATACAATGCAAGAACTCGTACTCTATGGTCTGGGCAAATGTCTACGTATAAAGACTGCAAGGCCGGATTAGCACCACGCAAACTTTTCGTTGGCCACCCATTCGATGTCATCAACTGAGCCTTGGCCGAACCACCTCAGACTTGCGAGGCTGTCCGTGTCTCGCTCGACAACCTCGCCTCCGAGCGGCGCCAGCCGCTGCCCGCGAAAGGCGGCGAGCACCCTGGCCGGCGGATTCCACAGCGCCACACTCCGGCAGTCGGCGTCTGCGGCCTCGCGCCGCGCCACGGCCATGATGCCCTCCAGTGCGACCGCCAGCTCCTCGTCCCTCGTCGCCGCGCCGTCCTCGACGACCAGCCGCAGGAAGTGCAATATCGTGACCACGGGCTCGCCCTCGCCGCCGCCGTAGCGCGAGCGCACCCAAAGACCCCAGACGCGCCGCGCCGCGCCGCCGTCCCCCGGCGGCGTGTACAGCGCGCCGTGGACGTCGGGATCGCGGCCGAGGTGGCCGCGCAGCATGTGGGCCTCGCGGCGGCAGTGCCACTTCAGCGTGCTGATGTCCGGCAGCACGGCCACGCGGGTCTTGGCGCTGCTGCCGGGCTTGGAAAGCTCCGCGCGGAGGAGCTGCTCGTCGCGCGCGGCCAGCTCCGGCAGGTGCGCGTCGCCGAGCTCGGTGATGCCAGCGGGTGTGCTCCGGGGCGGTGAGGCGGCGACGGGGAGCTCGAGGTGGGAGTTACCGATGGGCACCCACTGGTGCTTCGCGTAGAACGTGGGCCCGATGTCGGACCAGAGCACGGAGAACGCGGCGGCGGGGTCGCGGCGGGCCAGCTCCTCGCCGAGCAGCGCCATCATGCGGCCGGCGTACCCGCGGGAGCGGCAGGGCGGCGCGGTGAAGACGCTGGCGACGCCGTAGGCGGTGACGTCGGTGAGGGTGCCGTCGGGGCGGGCGACGACGGCGCGCTTCCGGATGGTGTCGCAGGAGGCGAGGATCCGGCGCGGCGCCGAGGAGTCAGAGGAGTCGGTGAGGATCCAGGGGGTCAGGCCGCCGTCGCGGGCGAGGGCAGTAGTCAGCAGGTCCATCTCGCGGTCGAGGTACTGCTGGAGGGAGAGGCCGGGGCCCCAGGAGGGGTGCGTGGCGCGGCAGGCCTCGCGCTGCTCGTCGGGGCTGGCGACGGCGAGGACGACGGAGGGGTCGTTGGCGTCGGGGAGGGGGGATGTCATGGTGCTGGCGGAAGCGGGCGGGCTGTAGGCTTGAATGAAAGTGGTGGGTTTACAATGGGTTGAAGAAGAATAATGAAAAGCGAAAGGAGCTATATTGGAATGATATTCGTCTTGTTGCTCTGAGCAATGTGGTGAATCGACAAGCTGGCCGGCAAGGGCGCGCTGTGGTTTTCTTTGTATTCTGGGTCCGCTCTCGCCAGTGATATCCGTTTACATTTCCACGACACTCTTCTAGAGTGGCAAATTCAGCAGTAGAGCAATTGAGTACTTGGGCTATCACCCTCGCATTCTCAAAATCGAATTGTTAGACATCCGTGCTCATCGAGCTCCAGCAGTTCGGGCCGCCATTCCATGTGCTTTTCATCTGTCAATAGCACAACCATGGTTCACACGTCACACTAGGAATATTGCTTATTACTAAAAGTAGAGTCTTGTAATCTGCCCAACACTAAGTTAACTAGTTAGCCCGTTGGAGCTCTGTACTAAGTTAAAAAATAGTGCCGTCTCAGGACGCCCTCCGAATACATCAACTCCACCACGGCGGCGAACTCAAAGTAGTATGGGTAGAACGGTAAGGCAGCAACGTGCACTTTTGATTTCTGCTGTAAACAGAGACAAACCATCGAGATAGGTAGTACAGACTGGAAATTAAGAGTCTTCATTTACGTGTCGAAAATTAGCCGCGCTCATCGGATGGTCTTGGTATCCGCGGGCGCCGGGGTTGTATCGCTGATCTGGGTTCTGCTAGACCAACGCCGGCTTACACCGAGTTGACGCAAGTATTGCCCAATTGTGGTCACCGATATACGGTCACATGCGAAGTGTGGAAATAGATTAATCATATCAATAGTGTAAAAAGAAAGAGCGGTTTTTTGAAACCATCTATGTACTTTTCAAGCTCGCCCTGGCAATTGCCTTCTTCTAGTGATGGTACTGGATGACAGTGACAACTACAATCTATTGACAGAGAGTGATGAGCCTCATGAATTTACAGTCAGAAGAACATTTGGTTTATTACTCAAGATTCTCTTATAAAATCCATCAACCATTTGCAGTGCCTCAATAGCGTCTGACATCTACGGGACCCGTTGGTCCACTGTCTCTATCTGAATAGTCTAATCTTCATCTCGCACAAGCTGACAGTTTCGAAGAAGACATACGCACTATGCCATCGAGCGCAGGCTCGTATCCAAGAGCCAAAGAGTCGCTTCAGGTGCAGGAGGGTGTATCTATCATTGAGCGCTATGCTCCGCTCGTCGCAGGCTAACGGTGTTCCAGATTAGCAGAGGATCCCATCACGAATTGAACCACGGCGCGGCTGACCCTGGATATGCAGACTTCTTACTGGCCGGCCGTCCAAGAGAAACGAGGCTTAGACTGGAGCTAGAATGCTCGGATTAAACCGAGGTGCAGAAAGCCACAGCGATGAGGAAAACACACTACGGCTAATGTCGTTAGAACATGTAGTTGAGGGAGCGAGTACGAACATGCTAAGACAAAGTTGTGAGGATTCTCTACTAAGACGGGAGTATAGGTGGATATTCGCCGAGCATGCTCTGGAAAGGATGTGAATGTGCCCCGTGCATCATCCGTGACCAATGCCTGTTCACACGCTGCCGTGTCATTCACGACTGGCTCACACATATACATCATGAATAGCAATTGGACAATTGGGTCAGACTCGATACAATCGGTATAGCCTTTTTCCTCTTGCAATGAAAACACTTCTTTTGCTCTTCTTCCCTCCTTTTTTCTCCTTTTTTTTTCCGTTTTTCTTTTATTCTTTCTTCCATTTCTTCCTGTCCAAAAGCCAAGCCCGACCGACAACTCTGGGGATGGCCTCTCCCGACACAGCGATTCAGACTCAGCACAGCCAGGCCAACTGTACTTCTAGCTTCATTCAAAAAGAAACTGATCAATTCCATTGAAACATGCAGCTCTGCTTCTATACACAGTGCGCGCCACCCTGTCCTTTCGTCGTGGCTTACAGTCTAGGCTATGCGCCACGTTGTGAGCCTGTTAGTGAGTGAAAGTCACCTGCCCTGCCCACGAACCTCAGCTCCCCTCCGGATCTTCCGGATCCGATTTATCAGAGCTTCAGGTATACACATTTAGCGTTTTCTTGAGATTTTAGGAAGGAGCAATTGGCTGGCTGCAACTATTTTATGGGAGCTGCACTGTGTTGGTGTTGGAGCTGAGGGCCACAGGCGACTGATGGCGCCGGCCCGCTACGTCAGAATGCCGTCAAGTCAACGCCCAGGAATCCCATTCCTAACTGTAAATTCGAATTCTAACGCCCCGCCAGAGAGACTTGATGGACTGTTTTGTCTAGTTGAAATATTCGCAAAAATGTATTTATTGCAAGATGGTAAGAACCTCTTCGTGATGTGTACTACTAGAGCGTGCGCCTTGAGGGACAAGCGAATAGTCCTTAAAAAAGAGGTGCAGGTGCGCGCAGTGCTTGGAAAAGACCCGGAAAGCAAAGGATGGTTGAGAGTATGAGATGATGTAGAGTGCGTACGAATAGACTCGCCGAAACACAAAGTTAATATTATTCGTCTGGTAGTGGCGTGATGAGCCGTGAATCCCGTTGAACTCATGTGCCGTCTTCCTCCGCATGCGTCCTAGGTTTGTGCAGATGACAGTCAGAGGCAGAGAGAGGCGCAAGCACTGTTTGCTCTATAGAGTCGAGCACCGTCCTATAGATTCCTCATAAACTCGAGAATGCCGTGATACATCCGAGCAAGAATTATACAAACTTACAAACTCGCAATCCAGCAACTCTAGCAACTCTAGCAATTCCAGCAACTCCAGCAACTCCAGCGATCAACACCATGGCTCGATCACCTATCCGGTTCTTTGCCCTTTTCAACCATTTTATGGTATGGGTATCTGCAGTGATTGTCATGGGCATTGTGTCGTACTTTTTGAGCAAGTTTGGCGCCCTCGCCAACCGCCGCACGCACATCGTCTACCAAGAAACCATTGTAAGTCGCCCCATGCGGCGGCCACTCATTCCATTCTACTCTAACCTTTGTATAGGCCGTCCTTACGGTTGCAATTTGGACCGTTGGCATGCTTCTGCCCCTCGTCGGCAGATATGGCGGACACATGTGGCCTGTGAACCTCATCTTCTCTTACCTCTGGCTCACCTCGTTCATCTTCTCGGCGCAAGACTGGGCTCGTCAACGATGCTACTACAGCGACTTCTTTGGCAAGTGCAGCTTGAAGAAGACGGTCATTGCCTTTAACTTTTTTGCCTTGTGAGTGAACAGCCCCGTGACGTGATGGAAAGCGTACATTCACTGACCGTTGTGCAGCTTCTTCCTACTGATCAACGCTCTGGTGGAGGCATATATGTATCGTAGCCATCGTGCCGAGAGAGAAGGCACTGGCACGCTTCATCACGCAAAGCGACCGGGGACGGCAGAGACGGCGGAGACGACACACTCTGCTGCCCCGGTCGCACCGGCCGCACGGGGCGTAGCAGAGCCTGCCACAACTACCGTTTAGTTTTCGGCCCGATGCTGGGCTAGTATCGAGCTGCGGTCGGCATGCCTCATACATGGTTGTTGTAGAGGTGAACGTTGGTAACTTACTAGGTGCCGACCCTTGATTGTCCACCGTCTGTCTCGCGGTGGCTTTGCTGAGGAGTAATGCTACTAAGGGGATATTTTGACTGTGAATTTTTTTTTATTTCGATGCGGGGAGTATTTGAGCATTAATAATTGTTGCGCTCAAATTTTAATACATTTGTTTAATGAAGGAAGCTATTTTGCGTAGGCGTCAATAGTGCCGTGGATGAACGAGATGCTGTTCCCCTCAGACGGGCGCAACTGATGGCTCGACGCCGCTCTATCGATGATGATTGGATAGCCCTACAGTCTGTGATCAGATCGAATCATATTGTATAAGTAGCATCTTCTGTAAAACGGGCGCCCCCTGAATAACCGTCGGGCGAACCCACCCAGTGAACCCACCCGAAACCCATCGGCGTCGGTGCTTGACGGAGCTCCGGCCGGATCTGAACCCACCTAGCCGGGGTGACGGAACCCACCCAGCACCACCCAGCCGGTGCAGGGGAGGCTAGTAGAATGATCGTAGCAAGGATCAGGGACCCCTTTTGAGTCTCATTCTGCCTTGTCGATTTTATTTCGATTTTACTTCTATTATTTTGGGGGGCCCTGTTGTCTCGAACCCGCTGTCCGTCGCTCCGCCAATGGTCTAGCCCGGCTTCTCACCCGCCAATCAGACCTTCCTGGCCGATTCTTGTGACTCTAAACAGTGCTCATACTTCGTAGTCGTGTCTCTGATTGATTACGGGAAAGCCCCAGAGCACCCGGTCAGCCGGGGCCCAGCATCGTCCCGTTCATCTGACGTCGTCTACCTGGCAACTGGGGGAGGGTTCGCCCCCAAAGCCCCGGTAAATCCCGCCTACATCCTGTAAGTCTCATCTTGTAACATATGAGTCTCCCGTTCCTCCAGAAGGAAGGGAAGATCGCTGCATGGCTTGTAGGAACTCCGCCAGCCTGCCAATTCAAGTCCGCCATTGACGAGCTGAAAATGGCATTGCCCAAGCTTGGTTTAGCCACCTTTTCCCCCGTACTCGACACGGAAGAACCGATAGCCTTACACCGAAACTCTGGGACTAGGCTGCCGTACATGGCTTAGATAATTGTTTTCGCTTCGCATTATTCCCATCGGCGAAATAGGGAATTAGAGTTGCACCGAGAGATTGACCATGCCTACGGATGGATATCGTGCTAAGACCAAATTGTACCGCCGACGGATGGGCAGGGCGAGGCGCGGCTAACAAGCACACACTTTGGCCAGGCTCGGGCTGTTTTTCTTTTTTTTTTTTTTTTTTTTTTTTTTTTTTTTTTTTTTAGCGGCGCAAATCCCAGCATTCGGCTCCATGGTATGAGATCTAGAATTCCCCAAAAGTTTAATTTTGTCTTCAGCGTTCGTCTCTTGTTTGGTCAGCGCGACTGGTCCAAGTTGCCACCTCGGTCCTCGCGGACGGCCCGATGACGGTTGGCAAGTAGATTGTGTAGTTTCAAGCCACTGTCTATAGAGACCATATATTCGGATTCATGATCCGATGGCGGTGAGCCGCACAAAGCAATATGCGATAGGGCTGATCCACCGATGGAGGCATGCAGTGATACAGCTTGCTGTCTTGCTTGGCTCAAGGTAAGCATCCTTTGGGTGGCTCAAGCCTGAGAGAGGCTGCCGAAGACAAGATAGTCGACAAAAGTACAAAATGAAGCGACAATTGGGGTTGCATATAGACCCTTGATCCCATTAGTCGGGGAGACCTAGCCTCAGCCGAAAGACTGCTACCCCCCCCCCCCCCTTGTACTTCTCTTTTTTCTTTACCGTCAATTTCTCCCACACCCCCCTCTAGCCTGTAGCCTCGACCACCGAAGTCCCTAGATAATTAGGACAGGACTCGGGCGTCCCCCCCTCGTCTGCACGGTAGGAGTGCTGGCGGGGCAAGGCGCGCCATCGCAGCCGTGACGTCTACCCGCAGTCTGTCATCTTCCTATCCTTTTTCATATTCTGGTCAATGCTTATCGAGTGACTCAGCCTTTACACGAAATGGTCGCACCGCTAAGAGGTTGGCAACAACCACCGCCCATAGCTCACTATCTGAACACCCCTTCCTTAGCCTCTCCCTTGATGAGTATAGACTACAAGACGCGAGGCTCGGATTTCGGGCCCTGCGGATGCCTTTGACTAGTGCCGGGCCTCACCGGTAGAGCGGCCGAGTGTATATAATATGCTTTTGCGTTCCTGTCTTATTGCACCCGGACCCCATCAACAGCCCTACGAAAGCTTTATTTTGGTGGCGCATACTTTCAAAAATCAACGACATTCAAGACCCAAATACCTCTGTATCTTCAAGTCTATACCATCTCTGAAGATGGCCTCTAGCGCAAAGAACCGCCTCCGTCTGCCGACTGGGGTTGTGCCTAGGTGTGCAGTTCCTCCACCCTGGCACTCCACGCGCCATATGAAACGCGACTGACCATGTACAGCAAACATTATGAAGGACTTCTTATGACAAGCTTTCCGGTGCTGGAGCGTCCGAAAAGCCGGCGAGCCAAATATCCCAAGGTTCGTACTGGATGCGTTTCATGTAAGTGCACATCTGGTTTCTCACTGCGAGTGTATGTGGCATCCACTAACAGGGATACAGGCAAGTAAGTTGCATTGCTTCTTGACCGTAGCATATCACTTACGTGGATAAAATTAACATTCGATAGGAAGCGCCACGTCAAATGCGACGAGGTCAAGCCCAGCTGCAACCGCTGTCTGAAGTGGTCCGGCGTGTGTGGCGGCTACGAGACGCCGTGCAGGAAGATCCCATCCACCAAGAGCTCCTCTGCTACACATTTAGGAGCCAGATGCAAGTCATTGAGACCTTCAGAGAGCCCAGAGATTCCTACCTTGGACGAAAGCGTCGCCACCCTCTCTGTTACCAGCAATGAGCCGGCGACGCCGCCGATGTCGAACTCGTACTCGCCCTACTACCATCCATTCGACTACTTCAACGGGCGGGAAAGGACGTTCAGCAGTAGTGGAAGTAGCCTGGGAGGAACGCCTCTACCTGCCTTTCATGGTCGCGATCCCGCAGCCATGGACAGTTTTGTCGAAGCTGGCATTCTTGACGCCACGTTCTGGACTGACACGGTTCCCCGACTGGTCCAGGAGAACCTCGCCGTCCGCTACGCCAACATGGCCGTGCACATCCTCATCATATCCAAGCAGAAGCCTCAGCCCATACCACAAGAGCAGCCCGGATTCGGCAGCGACAGCTACAGCCTCGCGCTGGCGCACTACGGCCTCGCGATCCAGCAGATGCGCAACCCGGAGGAGGGGACGTGCGGCGGCACCCGTGCAGCGGTGCTCTGCTCGATGCTCTTCGCCGTCTTCGAGGCCCTGAACGGGGACAGGGAGGCCGCCGAGGCGCACCTCCTCTGCGGGCAGCGCATGCTCGACGAGCTGCGGCAGCGGCTGCCCCAGGGCATCGCGGCGGGCGCGGGGAGCAGCAGCCTGCGCGGGGAGCTGCGGAATTTGCTGCGGTACATCTCGCTGCAGGTGCGTATCGGGGGGGCGACGTGCTGGAAGGGCGAGTTGGACGCGGTGTGCGCGGAGTATCTGGACGAATTTGTCGCGGGCGGCGACCTGTACGATGCGTCGCCGGGATATGAGATGCCACCAGACTATGCTTCCGTGAGTTGGCCGGGGAGAGATGATGTGTTTGCAGTTGGGCTGGATGATTTCGCACTTTGAGAGGGAGTATGGAATGTTTGCTGTGCTAACCTGGGAGGCTCGGTTTATTGGCCTCTTGTTGCATGTGTGAAGGGCATGAGAAGGACATACAGCCAAAAACGAGGAGCATCTACGACAGGACGGAAAAGTTTCTTGAGTAGGTTTTGGGTAGCGAAAAAATTATTTTAATATCAAAAATCAACATCTCTACTTTCAATATTTGGCATACATTATGTTGCAATTCTACATACGGCTAGCCATTAGACAGTGGCTTCCGAAGGCGTTGAAGAATAATTCGTGATTTTCTGTTCTGAATTTTATGCCACTGAACCAGAACACGGGCAAGCTCCTAAAGCCAAATCTATTTCTCTGGACTTGCTACATTTTTAAAAATTTTGCCGTTCTCGGACTGTAGCTGTCGATGCCACTCACTTGGTTGGCCGCCTAGAGTCTGCCATAGACAATCGACCACAGAGGGAGGGGCAGTTTTTGGCGTCTGACCAACCCTCATCACCACCCTCATACAACTTCAACATCACACCAGCCGAGCCCGGCAAGATGGCTCTCCCGTTGCCTAATGCTCTTGTCCCAAATGAGGTGGCTTTCTTGTGCGAAATGGAGCTCGTCACAGTTGTACCGCGGCAACGGCTTGACAGCATTGAGCTTCTGGGAGTACGTGGAGCGCGTCGCGACTACCAATCCTAACCACGGCCTCGTTGCTAACCAGCCATTGCTCCGCGAACAGGGCACCACGCCGTCCCTCCGACCACCGAGACGAAGCGAACTCCCCCTGTGGCTCGCCCTCCTGCTAAAGAAGCAGCGCCGCGCCAACATCGTCGCCCCGGCCTGGCTGCACCCCGCGTCCCTCCGCGACATCGTCCACCACGAGACCACCATCGACACCGCCGGCTGGGCGCCCCCTCCCCCGCCCCCCGTCCGCGCCGACTCGACCGGCAACGCCCGGCCCTTGAACGACCCCGACTCGACGACGCCGCTGTCGCCGCCCTTCTTGCCCTCGTGCACCGCCGACGCGCCGTCCGGCGCCATCCCGTACCACTGGCGCGAGCTCGCCGAGATGCTGCTGACGCACGCGCACGACGACGTGCCGTCCGCCGCGGAGGTGCGCTCGCTGCTGCGCGACCTGCAGGAGGTTCGCGACGCCAAGATGCGCGAGAGCACGGCGCGCCTCGAGGCCGGCATCGACGGCGTCATGAGCTTGCGGGGTGTCGGCGCGATGGAGCTCGCGGAGAGCAGGGGCTTCCTGACGGCTGTTGTGGAGGGCGTCAGGAAGCTGGGCGCGAGCGCGGAGGCGACGCGCAGAGAGGAGGAGGAGGAGGCCGGCGGCGCGGACGATGACTACGACGGCAGCGACGACGACGACATGGGGTTGTAGGGGGATACGGCACACGATTTTTGACGACGATATGAAATTGACAAGCTATCTGATATACATTGGAACTGGTGGTGCAGAGTTCATCCTCCAGCATTCATTGCATATACTGGTGTACAGTCGGGGGAGCAGGCCCAACATCGTCTCGAGCGATAGCACGCGACCGCGACCTCTGGCCTGAACAAAAGTCCCACCGCTCGCGACCGACGTGCCACGGTCAAAAGTCGACAAAAAGCTGTCCCCCAAGCTGCGATAACCATCTCCGATCCAACCAGCGCTGCTTGTTGCATCCAACTCGGCTCTCAGCACGCGGGTTCTCGTACTGGGCTGACGCGAAACTTGCTTTGGCGCTGCGATCCGCCGACTCCGCAGATTCAGTTGTCTTCGGCGTACTTGTTCAACCACTTCTTGGAACGGCAACACCTCCGGATCCTCTGGCAGTGCGTCGTGCAGCGGCCTGTCATCATAAAGCCCCTCTAGGAGCGGCGGTGCGCCGACGAGGCGGGAGCGCATCCGAGTTAGGCGAAGCGCACTGGGCGGGGCTGGCTTGTGATGGCGATGAGATGATTGATTGCGTGTCGGTGGCATTTTGCAAACTTCGAGGCGTTTGGTGATTTGTTCTTGGTGCCGTTTGAGCTGGCGGTCTTGGAGCAGGCTGATGGAAGGCAGGACCTGTTGGTACTGTTGGTACTGTTAGAGAAGTGGATTGTTCTAACATGATGAGAAGAGCATGGAAATGTATAAACAGCGATTCATAGATTTATAGAAGGTTACATTTTCTTACTTTGACAATACCTAGTCCTAGAAGGCCTTTGTCAAGTGTGTGCTGAAAAGGAGGGGGCGGTGTCTTTTGGTCGGGAGCCGTTCTACTTGGTCAATGCACCGCTTACACAAAGCAGACTCAGAGATCGTTCCCGTGAGCTAGAAATAGATCTATTAATACCCTAAAGCTAGCTTTGATGCATTCTTGAAGCGTCTCTCGTAATCCCGTTGTCCTTTCCACTGCCACCAGTCGACTCCCACGGGGTCAAGACGGCCGGTTTCCTTGTCACGTCAAAGAAAACAAACGTGTCCGTGATCCATGGCCGCCTTTCTTCTCCCATGAAAAGCCAGTGTCTCAATTAGTTCTCGCTCCACGTATCCTTCCCATTGCAAACGTCCCCGAAGCGATGACTCCTCCCGTACGTCTTCTGCCATAGGCCGATACTCAGCTCGCCGCGCGTCTCCTCGCCGCAGCGGCTCGTAATCAGCCTCGACGCCTCCGCAATCTCACGCCTGGAGCAGCGCTGCTGGTTCTCCTGGTAGTTGTGCATGTTGTCCCAGTTGCAGACGTACCACATCATGTCGTTGTGCAGGCCAAACACCATGGCGTCCTTTTGCACGTACGTTGTGATCTCGCACCAGTTGCCCAGCATCGCCATCGCCTTGGACTGGTCGTCCGGGCGCGTAAAGTTGGAGACGGTGACGTTCTCCATGCGATGGTCCTCGAGCAGGCAGTGGATGTCGTAGTGCTTGACGGGCAGCGGCAGCTTGCCGTTCCACTTGGTGTTGGTCATGTTGACGTCGTGGGGGATGTCAAAGTAGGTCCACGAGGCGATGGAGTTCTTGCCGCCGGGGAGCCAGTCGATCTGGTAGACGCCGTCGGGGAGGTCGTAGGGGATGGTGAGGGCGGCGGCGATGGGCGCGGAGGCGAGCAGGGCGGCCGCGGCGAGGAGGATGCGGGCCAGACTCGGCATGATGGATGGAGAGGTAATTAGGGATGGTTGTTTCAAATCGCGGAAGGGCAAATGTTGCGATCATGGAAAGGGTTGAACATATACAGGAGCACAAGGCTTTTGCGGTGACTCACTGGATAGGCTCGCAAAATACATAGATAGAAGCGCAATTTGTAATTTCAATTTTTTTAAGAACTTTAACGTGAAACTTAAGATATTAAGCGCTCCATCAGACATCAAAGTCCACCTCTAGAGCCTCAACCGCTTATAAGTAGTGTAGTCTTGCACCCAACCAACAGCATTTAGTGCATCTCAACCCGCAAGCTAAAGGGCTGAAGTTCGCGACGGACCATCAATCAGGTAGCTGAGTAGAGTAAATAAGCAAATTACAAACTCTGAAAATAGTAAAAGCCTAAGATCTATTCTAGTATATTTGAGTACTCTACCATTTAAATGTCAGTATTCTCTCTGATGCCGCACCCTTCCCTCCTCGTCGCAACCAACACAGCTTCCTGGTTCAGACAAACACTACCCTTCACTACTTTCCATGAACTGCAGTTTCAAAATGAAGCTGGCTACTATTCTACCACTGGCGCTTACGACCATTGCAGCGGCCTTCTCCGTTGCCGAACGCGGAAATAGCACCGACGTTGCGTTTCGCTATTTTCCCAGCTGTGCTATCCCTTGCGTGAAGGCAGCCAACGAACACGTCGACCTGTGCGAGGATAAGACACAAAAGAACTGCTACTGTGCGCGCCTGAGAACCGTCCTCCGCCAAGCCAGAGAGTGTCTTTCAAAGCAATGTGATTTTGCGCATCCACTTGCTCATAGAATGCCAGCACTAAAAGCCACGGTGGGTGGCTTTCAAGAGGAGTGTACTGCAGCTTGTCGAGTCAATCCTATCTCGTTTTACGTGCAGTGTTTAAGAGGACAGGATGATTGGTAGGAAAAGCGGAAATTCTGTATTTTCATGGACTTGATCAAAATGAACGCCTATGAAAACGTCCGTGTTTGCCATGCTAGCCATTCTAGAGAGACAGATCGATGAAGGAATTATGTAGCGAAACTAAACGCTAATCTATGTCTCTGAACTGCGCCAACTTAATGACGACTTTTCCCTTCGCTGTCTTGTTTTCTACCTTGTCGAAAGCGACTTGGAAGTCCTCAAAGTCCACCGCACTGTCCACCTTGGTGACGCACTTGCCCGCCTCCATAAGCTTCGCGATCAGCTCAAGCTGGCTCCCGTCCGGCTCAACAAGGAACCACTTGGAAGCGGAGAGGGCCTTGTGCAAGGATCGTGGCTTCTCCTGCGCAGGGTCGCTGGCAACGCTGAGCAGCACACCGCCCTCCTTGACCGCGTGCCAGCAGGACGACAGCGTCGCGCCTCCCACGCAGTCCAGGACGGCATCCACAGATCGCCGCTCAGGGTCCTGCGCCACCCAGTCCGCCAGGTTTATCTGCTTGTAGTCCACGATATCAGTGGCACCCAGTCGCGTGACCTGCGCGGCCGACGACGTGCCTCCCGTGTACGCCACGACCGCGCCGGCGCCGGCCAGCGCAGCGAGCTGCACCGCCCAGGAGCCGACCACGCCTCCCGCGCCGGTGACGAGCACGCGAAGGCGACCATTTGCCTGGCGCGCCGCCTCGTCGCCGAACAAGCCGCGGTGGTCGAGAAGGCTGTTGTCGAAGACGCCCTGCCAAGCTGTCAGGGCGCTCAGCGGCGTCGCGCCGGCCTCCACCCACCCGAGGCTGGCGGGCTTGCGCGCCATCTGCGAGGTGCGGGCGACGGAGAACTGCCGAAGGTTGCCCGTCATGGCTGGTCTGAGGCGGAAGAAGACGTGGTCGCCTTCCTTGAAGACCCGCTGGTTGGGCGCGGAGGCATCGTCGGGGTGGGGCGCCGGTGCCTGGATGACGACGCCGGCGGCCTCGGTGCACGGTACCCGCTCGCGGTTGGGGTCGAAGAGGGAGGGAAAGTTCTTCTCCCAGTGAAGCTCACCGAGACAGGGTGAGGCGGTGTAAATGCGAATCAGGCAATCTTCGGGATGCGTCAGCGTGGGCAGTGGGCCGTCCTCGAGAACAAGCTTGACGGAGTTGGGGTCCGGCTGGTGGACCACCTTCATTGTTGGGGGTAGAGAATTCATGCTGAGAATAGGTTGAGTTTTGTAAGATATGATTCAAGTTGGCCACTATTGGGAAAGGAAAAGAAGCCAGATAGCTGTGTCGTTGAATAGTGACGTTGGATCAGCGGATGGTCTGAATTGGCAGATAGCCTGACAGGTAGATAAGCAATGGCTTTTATACAAAAGCCCAAGAACGTCATAATCACCGTATTCGTAGAGCTGTGCATGTGTGGCAAACGCTTCAGTTTTCCGTTTCCGGAAACCGTTGCTGTCGGGCCAAACCCGATCGATCGGGTATGCGGGTATTCGGGGACCGGGTGTTGAGCCCCACTCGGTGCCGGAGGCGGCGGTGTCGTGCCATCAGCATGTGCGCCGCTGCTGCTGATGGTATATATAAGTAGGGAAAGAAATGGCAGAGGAAACTGTTTTTTTTATTATCAGCAGAACAACTCACTCAAGACATCTTCAGCAAACAAAACAATCGCCACCGAATTCTCTTCACATTTTACTTACAAAATGGTCTTCACTATCCCCGAACTTCCCAAGTACGAGCGTGGGTAAGTAGAACAAGCAGAAAATGGAGCAGCTCCGTCTGATTTTATCCTCCCCTTGGAGCACATTTGAGAAGGTTTCTAGAATGCCGGCTAACCACCAGCTTCCAGCCGTCCCCTGCCGTCCGTGGAGGTGGCCTACCACTACAAGCTGCCCAACTGCCCCGGCAAGTCCTCCATCGGCATCCTCGTCACCTTCCCGCCCAACGCGGCCACGCCGCCTCACAAGCACGCGGGGGCGTCTGTGTCAGTGCTGGTGCTCGAGGGCACCGTCATCAACAAGATGAACGACGAGGAGACCAAGGTGCTTACCAAGGGCGAGAGCTTCTTCGAGGCGCCCTGCTGCCACCACAAGGTCAGCAACAACTACAGCACGACGGAGCCGGCGAAGCTGCTAGCGACCATGGTCGTGGACGACGAGGTGGTTGACAAGGGCGGCTACGGCGCGCTGACGGTTGTCGATGAGGAGTTTGCCGATATTAAGCTCTAAGTCTGGAGGATGGATTATCATGGTCATGTCACCAACATACCTACCCTACCTACCTATGTACCTACCTAGCTATCGGTATATAGCCCAGGCTTTGGATCCAACTCCACTCTGATAAGTCTAAAATAAAAGGATTTTATTATCCACACAATTTCCTTGCAGCTTAGAAGAAGAAGTTTTGATCACAAGGCCATTTCGAGCCAAGGTTGCACTTGTTCAGATGGCAAGGTTGCATCCTTGACGACGTGATACAGCGATCGCGTGGCGCCGGGGATCAAATTACAGCGCTCACATGGCAGTCAACGGCACTAATAGGGCCCGACTTGGGGGCCGTGGACAAAGACAGACGGCGGCTATACCTACTAGTCAGGTTTAGAGGCACTACCCTGGCTCTTATGCCTGGCTGCCATTGGCCGACCGCCACAGTTACCCCAGGCACCCAGGCTACTGCACCCAGGCCCTTTTACTGGTACAGCGTGCCGAACCCAATAAATTAGGTGAGTGTGTCACCTGCGGATCCTCAGGTATGCTGGCTTCCTCTCCGCACGTCATCGTCTCGTTTCATCCTTTCACCATCATCTCCAACAGTTCCCCAACATGAAATTTTCCACAGCTTCAGTAATCGCTGCTTGCGCTCCCGCAGTTGCTGCCCGTGTTATTGAAAACGGCGCCGTCATCGACGACCTTGTCGTGCTCCACCCCGAAGAGCAGTTCCTCATCGAGACAGCCCCCGGCGAGCAGCAATGGGTAACCGACGAAGATAAATGGGAGCTTCGCCGCGTAAGCAACGCCCCCCGATCCAAGATGCCGAGGGTCAAAAGAGAACTATGAAGAAACTTTCAGGACCAGCATCGCTATGGTTGAGCAGCTTCTGCGGTTGGGCAGATGTTTGAGCAGGTCCTGCTGCTGCGACTGACTCGCCATCACCGCTGTCGTCCTGCAAGGACACTTGGCACGACCCGACCAACATCAGCTAACATGTTTCGCAATATAGAATGGCCAGAGCTTCATGGACATTACCGAACACCGCGAGCTCGGTACAGCCGGGACGAGAGCTACCGTCCAGTTCCCTAAAAAGGTGACGCAGCAAAAGTCCGTCGCCGAGCTCTCCAAGTCCCTTTCCAAGAGCGAGATGCAAAAGAACCTCGAAAAGCTCACCAGCTTCTACACCCGATACTATAAGTCCGACTACGGTCTGCAGTCCTCCGACTGGGTCCTCGAAAAGGTCAAGAGCATCATCAAGGAGGCCGGCGCCAACGGCACCGTCTTCGCTGAGAGCTTCCCCCATCCCTGGAAGCAGCACTCCGTCATCGCCACCATCCCCGGCCGCACCAACGATACGGTCGTCATTGGCGCCCACCAGGATTCTACCAACCTCTGGCTGCCTACTGTCCTGGCCGCCCCCGGTGCCGACGACGATGGCAGCGGTACCGTGACGATCATGGAGGCGTTCCGAACCATCCTCCAGTCGCAGGATATCGTCGACGGCAAGGCCCACAACACGATCGAGTTCCACTGGTACAGCGCCGAAGAGGCCGGTCTCCTGGGGAGCCAGGCAATCTTTAGCGAGTATGCGCGCAGCGGCCGCGTTGTCAAGGCTATGCTCCAGCAGGACATGACCGGCTACGTCCAGGGCACCCTCGACGCTGGCAAGCCCGAGAGCGTCGGTGTTATTATGGACTTTGTCGACCCCGGTCTGACCAAGTTTATCAAGGTCGTCATTGAAGAGGTACGTCTATGATTTCCCCAGAGCCATCTCGCCAGACTAACACGCTGCAGTACTGTGACATCCCCTGGGTCGAGACCAAGTGCGGCTACGCCTGCTCCGACCACGCCTCGGCTTCCAAGGCCGGCTATCCTTCTGCGTTCGTCATCGAGTCTGCCTTTGAGGACTCCGACCCTCACATCCACTCCACCGACGACTCGATCAAGTACCTGTCCTTCGACCACATGCTGCAGCACGCCAAGATGACGCTCGGCCTGGCCTACGAGCTGGCCAAGCACGACTTTAGCCAGGGTGGCGAGTTGGACTCTGGCGAGTGGAACTCTGGCGAGCTGTAAATCTTGACGATGGACTTATGCTGGCTTTGGTGCCTGCAGCAAATTACGGTAGCGTTATCTTTCAGATACAGAAGCATGCATTATATGAATAAATAAACGCATTTGTTATACCTAAACTCGTAATGCCGTTGTATTCACCCGAGCGTACGCTTGTCAACCGCTGTTTGAAATGATTCTTTCTAACGCCCGAACACCTGGTTTTCCATGCCAAATGATTGTTCAATGTCATGTTCTATCAAACGCCAGTTACGCCTCCATTTCCAATGTTCCATCTGTTGATTGTCGCCGTCCATCTACCTGCCTGGCGGCGGCGGCTGCTGCTGCTGCTGGCCGCCCCACGCACCGCCGGCGTTATTCGCGGCCTGCGCCTGTATTTGGCCCATGATAGCCGCAATCATGGCCGGGTCGAGGTTAAGACCGCCCGCGGCGCCGCTCTGTCCGGTGAATTGGGGCGGCGGCGGCGGCGTCGGCGTCGGCGGCACAGCGGCAGCAGCAGAGCCAGGCCAGCCCGGTGGTGGAGGAGGCACGGCACCGGGCGCGGGCGCGGGCGGCCAGCCGGGGAACTGCATCCCGAACGGGACCTGCGGCATGGATGAGGACTGCGGCGCTGGCGGCGGCGGCTGCGCATACTGGTTCTGGTACTGGTTGCCCTGAGGTGGTAGCGAGTAGCCTTCTCTGCTGTTGCCGCCGCCGCGGGCATATCCTCCCCGACCGCCGCGACCGCCACTACGCCCACGGCCGCGGAAGTCGCCCCCGCGTCGCCCACCGGGGCCGCCACCGTGGCGAGAGGATGACGGCTGGTCGTACTGCGACGCGCCGGGCCCACTAGCTAGCGACGAAGGCCGCGCGAGGGGCTTATACGGACCGTCCTCGTCCCCGTCGTCGTAGTTGAGCCCGGCATCGACGTTGTGCTGCTGGCGGAGCGGGTGGTCCCTTGCTCGTGCCGCCGTTGCAGCCGCCGCAGCCGCCGCTTTCTCGGGGTTGTTGGCCTTCCACTTGTCCTTCTTCTTTTGCTTGAGGGCGCGCTTGTGCTCGGCCTCCTTCTCGTCGTCGGAGAACTCGACCTCGTCGTCAGCGGCCTCTTCGTCGTACAGGTTGCTCGCGTCGGAGCCCTTGACAGCGCGCAACGGCGCGGTAAAGACGAAAGTTGCGTGGGCGGGTGTGTAGAATAGCTTAGTCCCGACGGCGACGCCGAGAGTCGCCATCTCGTCGGCGTTGTTGAAGCGCACCGTATACATAGGGCGCGTAACCTTGCCAATGGTCTCGCTAACGGTGCCAACGACGAGGCGGGACGCGGTGCATAGGACGGAGCCGGTGTCAAGTACTTGATACTCGCCGGGCATGGCACCGAGAATGAGCGCCGTGGCATCGACTGTGTGCTCGATGGAGCCAAGTTCTTCCAGAGGCATGTCTTCGGTGATGGTAACGTCGGGGAGTGTGATGGCCTCCTCTTCGGCAAGCTCGTTCTTGGTGCGCAGGTGCGCCGTGTTGCCTGACTTACCGCCGCTAGGGCCACCGCCTGCTTCGTCGTCGGATCCGGCCTCAGCCTCCATGAGCATGCGCGCCGTCTCCTCAACGCCAAGCAGCTGGTAGCCTTCGTTGTCGTCTGATTCATCGTCGGATGACGAGTCGGAGCTGGATTCAGAGGACGACTCGTAAGGGGAGGAGTCAATTTCCCATTCGGGGTTATCGCCGGTATCGTTTTGTAGAGGGACCGATTCTGTCTGCTCCTGCGGCTGCTCTTGCGCAGGCGGGTGTTGCACGGGTTCGCTAGCGAGACCCCCGATGGCAGCTTCAAGGGCGCTGGTCAAAGAGGGTGGGCTGGCAGGCGGCTGCTCGTCGAGGACCATGGCATCGGCATCTGGTAAGACTTGGGTTTCAACAGGTGCCGCAGTCGTAGTCGACATGGCTATGTTTTCTGTGGTTTGTTGCGCGGGCGCATGGGGAATGTCTTCGTGTCCAGCGGCGCTGGCTGCGGCAGCAATCAGATCGGATGGCAGCGGCGGTAGTGTCTCGTTGGGTTTGGCCTGGCCCAGACCGGGTATCTGGAAGCCCGACATAATTGTGTGGATCTCCTGTATGAAATGCCGGAAAAGAAGTGCGGTAAGGGTGTATTGAAAGCAGGAAGAAATGTTCGCAAAGAGCCCAGTAACTTTTTTGGGTGATAAGATAGTGATGGCAGTGGCAGAAAAAAATATTGCACGGCGGGTCCAGCGAAAAGCGGAAGCGGTGGGGACGGAAGCTCCGTTGGGGGCGATGTTCAAGTTGCAGCTGCCATCGACAAATGCTTCAACCGTTATTTTGAAAAAAGAAATAGGAGCAAAAAGGAGACTATAGAGTTTCTGTCACTTATGTATGATATGATGGCCTTTTTTTTTTTTAAAAAAAAAAAAAGAGGAAAGATGTTCTTCTGTGTTCCGATCACTACTAAGTCATGCAGCCGGCAGCCTTGCAGCATCCCACCGTACTGCACGAAGCAGGCGCTCCTGATATCGATGCCAGCTGTTGCGCACGCAAGACGTCAAATATCAGCAGCCGTTTTCATCCCACCAACCAAATCTTGATGTCAACGAGCAACGCAAAATCATTTTCCTCTCTTTTGTCTTACCCGCCTCGATCTGAGGAGGCGGACATCCCGAGACTGCAGCTATAGTGGGTACCTCAACGACTAGTGGGGGTCTACTAGGAATGACGACAAGTTGTCAACGTTATTTCAGTAACCCGAACCGCCCGAACTGGCAAGATCCCTTCCCTTGAATCATCAAGCATCTCGCCTCGAGACCATCACCAAGCCATGGCGTCGAAACCCAAGGCGGAGGAGGGCCTCCAGCCCAAGTTTGAACACCCAAGCGCAGGACACGCAAAGAAGAAGTAAGTGTGTGCCGAGGTCAGGCAAGGAGTGTTGTCCCAGACCAGCAGTAGCAGCAATCTCAGCATTGAGCTTCAGCTAACGCGCGTCAACCCTCCTCTTCCCCCGATGACCGACAGACGTCTCAGCGCATACGCCATTGAGCCCATTAAGGCATTTTACATATTCCTCGTCGCGAACCTCATCGCCGCCGCCTTTGCGCCCATCCAAGACTGCGACGAGACCTTCAACTACTGGGAGCCGACGCACTACCTCTCGCACGGCTACGGCCTACAGACGTGGGAGTACTCGCCAGACTATGCCATTCGAAGCTGGCTCTACGTTGCGCTTCACGCGCTTGTCGGTAGCTTTCGCCGACTGCTGCCGCGCTCAAACAAGGTACGAAGGAGAAGCTGTCCCGTCCATGCCGGACCCAGCTGACGATCCCTACATAGGTGGCCGAATTCTACTTTGTCCGCTACTTCCTCGCCTTCGTCTGCGCGCTCGGCCAAGTTCTCCTCTACCAGGTCGCTAGCACGACACTCAATGCTCGAATCGGCCTCTTCTTCCTGATCGCGACCGTCACGAGCCCTGGCAACTTTCACGCCGCCGCCGCATACCTGCCGTCCAGCTTCGCCATGTATATGGCTATGCTCGGCGCCGCCTCGTTCATGAACTGGCGCGGTGGCCTGCGAACCTCGCACGGCATCTTTTGGTTTGCCGCCGGCGGTATCCTCGGCTGGCCGTTTGCCGCGGCTCTCTGTGCGCCGTACATGCTCGAGGAGGCCGTCTTTGCCTTTTTCAGCGACAAGGACGCCTTGATCGAATGCATCATCCGTGTCGCCCGAGGCGTTGTCGCGGGTCTGATTGTTCTGGTGTGTATCCGCCGCGAGGAATTCACATGCAAACAAAACTAACAGCTGTAGTTTGTCGACTTTTTAATCAATCTCTTCTTTTACAAGAAAATGGCCGTCGTCAGCTGGAATATTGTCAAGTACAACATCTTCTCGTCGACCGGCGGCCCCGATCTCTACGGCACCGAGCCTTGGACGTTTTACTTTAAAAATCTGGCGCTCAACTACAACATTTGGTTCGTGCTGGCTCTGCTTGCGCTGCCGCTCTTCCTTATCCAAAAGGTCATCTCGCCTTCTGGGCATGGCTTCCAGACAGGGCTTCGTACCATTGTATTTGTTGCGCCGTTTTACATGTGGCTCGGCATCTTCACAATGCAACCTCACAAAGAGGAGCGCTTCATGTATCCCGCGTACCCCTTCCTAGCACTCAACGCGGCCATGTCGCTGCACATTATTCTGGCTGGGCTAGGCAACGCGGACAAGAAAACACTGATCGGCATGATTCCTGCACGACTCAAGCTTTTTGGTGTCGTCATTGTCATGTTCCTGTCGCTGGATGCCAGCCTGTCGCGCATCTACGGCATTTACGAGGCGTACTCGGCGCCGCTCAAGGTGTACGCGCCGCTCTGGGGTGACGGCGCAGAAGGCGAGGGGGAGGCGCTGGGCGGTGACAGTGATAATGTTTGCTTCGGTAAGGAGTGGTATCGGTTCCCGTCATCGTACTTTTTGCCGCGCGACATGCACGCCAAGTTCATCCCGTCCGAGTTTCGAGGGCTGTTGCCGGGCGAGTTTTCCGAGGCGGAGACGGGCTTCGGGTTTTGGAGCGGGACGTGGCTCCCCACCAACGGGCTCAACGACCGCAACGAGGAGGATCCGGGCAAGTACGTGGACCTGCGGATGTGCTCGTTCCTGGTGGACACGCAATACCCGGAACGGACGGGAGTCAAGGCGCCTCCACGCGAGCCTGACTTTATCGCCGACACATCGCGGTGGGAGGAAGTGAGATGCGAGCGCTTCATGGACGCGGAGAGCACACCGCTACTGGCGCGCATATTTTGGGTGCCGGACGTGCCCGGCGTGGTGCCGGCATCGCTGAAGCGGAAATGGGGACGGCACTGCCTCCTGCAAAAGAAGAAGCCCTCGGAACAGGGCATGTGGGTAGATCCGGGCGAGATGATGTTTGGCTGACGTCAGGACGACGTGCCAGAGGGGCCACGCGGGGAGATGGGGACAGGTGAAGCAAGGTATTAATGATGTATAAGGGGGGGAGGTTGGGGACATTTGGGTTAACACTTGACGTGCGTTGGGAAATAGCTAATGCGATTGTTGTATTCTATTCAACCAGGCAGGTGGAAGAAATGCCAGCGTACGGAAAAGGTGGCATGGGATTTGCTTCCTTTGTTTCCAGTTATTGCGGCTTTTTGCGACGTTGCTTCTGTCAACGCCATCTAGCCTTGTGTTCCTTCGGCTCTAGACTGCCAGACTGACTAAAAAAAAAAGCCGAGCAGGAAACAGCAAAAATAGCCAATAACAAGTGCCTACTAAACAACAAAAAGAAAACGATGGCTATCCCATAATAATACCTTCCGCAATAGGACCCCAAATTCCACCACACCGCAAGCCACCCCGCACCTCAACACAGCCTCTCTCTCCCCTCTCTCAGACTACTGCAGGTCGGTTGGGCGAGCGGGATATTTTCCTGCAAACCAGCAAATCAGTCGTTGCCGTTTCTTCCTTCTAGTCCCGCCTGTCACAACTCGGACTCGACTAGTTTGGTTCTAGTTGGCCAGCTCGTGGCTCTCCGACTTCCCAAGAACGGGGTATTCATCACGTCCTTCGTTGTTAGCCCTCTTTCTCCAGTGCTGGTCCTGGTTATACGTTGCCGTCTTGCATGGTCCTGCGGAGTAGTAGCAGCAATAGCCAATGTCGTTATCACTGTCCAATGCTTGCTTTGTTGTTTTTATGCCGCTTCCCCCCTGCCTCTCTCCCTTTCTCTTCACCTCACTGTTAACTTTTTTGTAACTCGTCGTTCGCTTCACTTGCTCGCTGGCCATACCTTGATTTGCCCTCGCAATCCTGTCTTCTGCCTGTGGAATGCTGGCAGCTCGCCCTTCTTTTCAAGTAGATCAACCCCTCCCCCCATCCATCCATCCATCTCCCTTTCCTCCGCGTCGGCCTCTCTCTCCCGCTCCCGTTCCCCGCAGACTCGCACTCAACCTGTGAATCTCTGGGAATCCCGCCATGGCCTCCATCATCATCGTCGTCATCGCGTGCAGCAAGTCCCTCTACAAGGCCGGCAAGAAGCGCCGCGACAAGAAGCGGGAGCTCGCCGCCCTCGCCCACGGCGCCGCCGCCGACAAGCCCAGCGTCCGCCGCCGCTCCGCGCAGCCGCCGGCCCGACGCCCGCGCCGCGTGCTCGACAACAACGGTAGCCGTGCAGTGACGACGACGTACAACAGCAACGGCCTGGTTCCCGGACCGGACGAGCAGGGACCCGTGGAGATGACGGCAGCGCATCACTCTGACCTGGCCGACCTGGAGTCGCTAACGAGGGCGAGCACGATTGCGTCAGAACCCGGCGAGGGCCGTCGGAGAATGAGCGACGAGTCGACCCTCGCCGAGGTGGCTCGTGATGGGGCATGGACGGCGAGGACATAGCCTCCTCGCCAAGCTTTCTTTTTTTTTTTTTTACTTTCTTTTTTTTTTTTGCTTTCTTTTTTTTTCTTTTTTTTTCTTTTTCACTTCTTTTCTTCTTGCCTTTTTCTGACGCATCATGTCTTGATTTTTTGAAATGATTTACACGACGATATGACTTTTTTCTCTGATTTTTCGCGACTAAGAAAAGGCGGGATTTGAGCGTACATGCATACGCTGGCGTTTTCTGTGTATTCACTCTCACCCAACTTATTTTCATAGCGCACATATTTCAAAACTCGAATTCTATTACGCAAGTGCAGTGCAAGTTTGACGCATGCTCACACCGCTTACACAGCATCCATGCATGTCTCGGGAACATGGGTCAATCAATCTGTGGTGCTGGATAAGAAAGCTCAACTAAACTACCAGCTCAACAACATCCATCCTCCTCACAAGTTGGCCAGGGACGGCCCGGCCGGCGTAAACGTCTTCTTGATGACGTCGCTCATCTTGTACGCGATGGCGCCGATCGCCGCCGTCGGGTGTCCGCTGATCTGCTCCGGGAAGACGCTCGCGTCGACGACGCGCAGCCGGCCGACGCCGTGCACGCGGCACTCGAGGTCGACCACGCTGTCGCCCGAGTCGTCCGGCCCCATGCGCGCCGTGCCCACCGGGTGGTACAGCGTGAAGGCCCTCTCCTTCAAAAAGGTGAGCAGCTGCTCGTCGGTGATGCTCTCCGGGTCGCTGCTCGACGACGGCCACCACAGGTAGTTGGGGTCGTCGTTGCGCGGGATGGGCTCGACAAAGTCCTTCCAGTGCGCGCTGTTGGCGATCTTGATGGACAGCCGCATGGCGGCGAGCATGACCTTGCGGTCGTTGTCGCCCTCGTCGCTAAAGTACTTGGGGTCGATGATGGCTGCGTCCGAGGTTAGCGACGTGTAATTTGGAGGAGACGCAGAAGAGAAGAAGATGCAGGTCCACCCCGCCTCTCCATCTACTTACGGTGGTCGAACGGATCGTTCGTCTTCAGAGTAATGGTGCCCGTGCTCTGCGGCCGCAGCAGGCACGGCCCCAGGGTAAAGATGCCCGTGCCCGGCGGCGCCGGCTCCTCGCCGTGGTGGATAAAGGCAATCGGCGCGCCCAGGATCTCGACATCCGGCCCGATGCCGCCCGACGAGTAGTCCTTGGGGCGGTTCTCGGGCCTCGTCGCCTTGGACGGGTGGTCCACGCTGCGGATAAACGCCGCCGCCTCGCCGACGTTGCTCGACAGCGGGCCGCCGCCCGTCACCAGCCAGCGCAGCAGCGCGGGGATCGCCTTGACGTTGTCGTTGAGGTAGTCGTACGTGTGCGCCGTCTTGGTCTTGAGCGAGACGCCCGTCGGGCACAGGTGGTCCTTCATGTGGCGCCCGACGGCCGGGCTGTCCCTGACCACCGGGATGCCGAGCCGCGCGAGCTCCGCCGCGGGGCCGACGCCGCTCAGCAGCAGCGTCTGCGGCGTGTTGACCGCGCCGCCGGACAGGATCACCTCGCGCCGCGCGTGCACCTCGTACCTCTCGCCCCCCTTCTTCGTCTGAAACTCGACGCCAATCGCGCACGGCTCCTTCCCAGCGTCCATGCGGTCGTACAGCACGCGCGTGACGTGCGCGCGGCAGCCGACGTAGAGGTTCGGGCGGCGCAGCACCTCGGGCGTCAGGAAGGCCGTGGCCATGGAGGAGCGCTCGCCGCGGCTGTCAATAAAGGTCTGGAAGCGGGTGACGCCGAGCGTGCCGGCGGCGGTGTTGATGTCCGGCGAGGCGGCGATGCCCGCGTCCGCGCAGGCCGGCAGGAAGCCGCCCTCGACCATGGGGGACAGCGCCGAGTAGCCCGTCTGCCACTCGCCGCCGGTGCCGCGGTGGGACAGGTCGATGGCGGGGCGGGCCGGGTTGGCGGTGAAGTTCTCCATGCGGCGAAAGTAGGGGGCGAGGTCGGCGTAGGACCAGCCCTTGCAGCCGAGGCGCGGCGCGTCCGAGGCCCACTCGTCGTAGTCGGAGGGCGAGCCGTGGTGGTACATCATGGCGTTGATCGAGGTCGAGCCGCCGAGCAGCTTGCCGCGCGGCCAGTACATGCGCCGGTAGGCGAGGCCCGGCTGCTCGACGGTGGTGTAGTCCCAGTCGTGCTCGCCGTGGAAGAGCTTGGAGAAGAGCAGCGGCACGCGCGACTCGAGGATGCCCGTGTGCGGGCCGCCGGCCTCGAGGAGGAGCACCGTCACGTCCTTGTCCTCGGAGAGCTTGGAGGCGAGCACGCAGCCGGCGCAGCCGCCGCCGACAATGACTGAATCGGGCTGTCAGTATCGGGATCTGGGGGGTGTGCGCTGCGATGTCACTGCGACGGATCCCTATATGGGATGGATGCATAGCCTTTGTCCTACGTGAAAACGGCACATACCATAGTCATATCCAAGGAGCTTGCGCTGAGCAGTCGTGTATGTCGCCGGTGCTCCGGTCAGAAGCTGCGGGGTCGCATAGTGCAGCGGGTTGGTCATGGGATTGCTGTGCTTGCGCGTCATGATTGCGGTCAATGTTCCTCGTACTTCACTTGACAGAATCGAATAGTGAGGTTGAAAGGTGAAAGGGTCAGAGTCAATGGTGGAAGAGAGCTCCGACGAACCTTGACCACTGTGCGTGCCGCTTGGGCTCAGACAGCCAAACCATCCCAGCTAGAGAAGTGCCCTTGGGGGAAAGCTTCCGAGTAACCTGGGAGCTTGAATAGTTACCCCGCATATCCGTTTGGGCGCCACGATGTGCTGCGCTAGTAGCTGAGTTGTTCCATCTATTTATTAGCCTTCCACCCTGACTTGAGATGTTTTGTCGATCACTCGGTCAACCCACCCAGACAGACCAACGCGGCGAAGATCTTCCTCGGCATAGAAGCACATCTATTCATAAAAATTTCAAATGTTCGAGTTTCCGTCACTTATCAAACACAAGACTTCTCTCAAGCCAGCTTCCAACAGACACAATTGATGTGCTGACACTCTCCAATACACCAAGTTCCCTGGTTAGGGAACCGCCCCTACATACATACATAGCTGCTCACAGAGTCATACCACTAGCGCAGCTTAACCCCCATGTTTTAGCAGGGTTTAGTTGGGCTGTGGCTGGAAATTGGGTCTTGTTAGCCTCGGATAACAGATGTCGAACGATGATGGGTACATGTGCTGAAGCAAGGGGGTATTACCGCCCCATGTCAGGCCTGTGCAAAGCAAAGTTTGGAAAGCGACAACACGAAGAAATGTGCCGTCTCATTTTTCGTCTTGTTGATACTGGTACACTAATATCAGCAGGGTCTAACTGGCTAGTTAGTTACCAGCATTTCGGAACCCTTCTCGAACGATCAACCCATTTACGTACCAAAGGGGCCGGATCGGGCCGGCGTCAGGCTTTTGGTCCGTTTTTCCGCTCTGGCGAGAGCGGCTGGTCATGATTAAATTTCAAAGGTGGGAAGCCATTGATACCAGTATGTCAGGATTCCCCTTGTTTGAAAAATTCGGACTTCCTCAACTTGTTGAATGCTTGGGCTCAGCCGCATGGGTATGGTGTGTGCTACCCATAAGGCGGGTGGACGGCCCAGCCAAGGGGGTCAGGAGGGTACAAGGTCTTGCCTGATCTTGGCAGAGATGGAGTTATTGATTTACCAGCCGTCTCCTTCTTTGAGTGACATTTTTCAACTTGAATACCACTCGAGCTCAGCCACACGGTTGTGCTACATACACATATGGTACGGATAGATGACGCAGCTCGGCAAGTCGAAATATCGCCCTTGCTCATTGCCCTCCATGCCACTGGATTCGTAACAGTTGTATGGATACAGGCAATGACCAAGGATTCAGTACTATGATCAACTCATCCTCGCCTTGCCGCAGCTGCCAAAATCAGTCTCAGCGAATCCCCAGCCTGGGCTTAATAAATTCTGCGCCCTTCCAAACCCTCGCATTCCTGTCGACTTTTTCGTGAAAGACACAAGATATTTTACCCGTTCAAGTATCATCACAGCAGCCACTTTCTGAACGCGATGCCTTAGTAGGCTGTTGCACTGTGGAACATGATACAAATTTTATGCACCTTTGCACAGCAGCTGTCAGTGGTATTTTAGAACAAGCCCATCTTTGTCCCAAGACGAGGCGAAAGAAATACAAAAACTGCGCCGCATCACAGTGCGAGCATCCTGAGATGCCCTCGTTTCGCTACCCGCATGTGCCACGCCTTACCTGTCACCCATGATGCAGCTACACAGCTGACTTGAGGCGTGTACAGCCCAAAGCATCTGGGTTAAAGAGGCCTCGAAGCCAGGTTAGAAACCAAAAACTTATCCAGACAGCATCCAGACACTCTTGTGGCCACTTTTCTACCTACGATGCAGTGGATCAAGAACGCGTTCAATTTCCTGGCAATCGCCGTCCTCTATCTGGTCAAGCCCGTCCATTATCTGGCCAACCTGGGATGGACCGTCAAGCATCAGCCTAACTGCAGATTCTGCAAGGAAGAGGCGTTCAGCAAGGAGGGCAGCATCGTTTACGAGGTAAATGAATACCCCGAACCCTCCTGTCTATGCGAGAAGCAAGCCTTTGCTAACCCGACTCCCCAGGATGACCATGTCCGAGCAGTCAACAACTTGAACAACTCGAGCACGCACCACTGGTTCATCATGCCCAAGGAGCACCTCCGCGACATTGAGAACTTGACCAGCGAGCACATTCCGCTTCGTAAGACTTGCGCATCAAAGATTTACTCCTCGCTATTCTCTGCCACTAACCCGACTTGCCGCGTCCTAGTTGAAGCCATGGATCGGGTCAAGGAGCACCTGCTTGAGACCATTGCATCGCTTGAACTGCGTTTATCCGTCCATTCTGGCTACCATCGAGGACGACGACACCTCTTTAGGGACATCTACTTGCCCGACATCATTTCCATCCATCATCTCCATCTTCACGTCGTCGTCAAGTCGCGCCTATTGCCGAAAATACTCAAGTACTGGAATCCGCTCCTATGGAAGTCGGACGCCGCCGTGATGAACGATTTGAAGAAGCGCTAGTAGCCGTAGTAGCCATCTACCTATTACATTTGCTGCCTGGTTGTCCTGGGGGGAGAGCTCATTTGAGTCGGGCAAGAGAGTACTAAAGGGAATGTTATCTATAGAGCGAATGAATACGTTTTACAGTCATCTTTATCCGCACTGAAACTGAAGCTGAAAATCTCGCAAACCGTGTCATTCTCATCTACAACGCACAGCAGCTCATTTCAACAACTCAATCAGCCAGGATTTCAGCTTCTTACCCTGCTCAGTCTCGCTGTCATCGCCCACATAAATGTTGTACACCGGAGCGACGTGAGATTCCCCCTTCCCCTTGAACAGTTCCACGTTGGGAAAGCCCGCCTACCCACGGATTAGCATGTCGAAAGCCCAGCATCTCGCCGCAAGAGTAATATTAAGCCTCACCTTGACCTTTTCATAAAATAACTCAATCAGGGGCATCATGATCTCATTCTCGCCACCGAGAATCAGCATCTTCTTCACCGGAAACGTCTCGAACCAGCTCTCCGGGGCGTCAAACGCATCCGTGTAGTTGTCCGGCTCTGCGTCACCCATGAACTCGGTCGACCACCTCTCGCCCACAAACGTGGTGACGATGTCGCCGCCGTCGTAGATGACCTGGTCGGACAGGTCCGGCTGGAGCGAGACCCACGGCGCGATGGTGGCGGCGCCGGCGAGTGGGCCCGAGAGGCGCACCGGGGCGATGCTCGGGTGCGGGTGCGCCAGGTGCGAGAGCACGCCGACCGTGAGGTTGCCGCCTGCGGAGTCGCCGCCGAGGAGGACATTTGCCGGGGAGCGGCTGGTATGCTCGAGAACATGGCGAAGCGCCTCGACAGACTGCGTCAGCTGCACGGGATACGTGCCGTGAGGCGCCAGCGTGTAGGTGACGGCGAAGATGCAGAGATCGCCGCCCGTGGCGTTGACCTCCTTGAGCACGCGCTCAAAGAGCTTGAAGTAGCCAATGTTGGCGGGAAGGCAGAATCCGCCGCCTGCGGTGTTGCATTAGCGCCGGCCGTACATGCCTTCCTCGCTACATCGGGGCGGCCGACCTCAACGGTGGATGAACAGCTTACCATGGAACCAAATCAGCACATTCGTGGCATTCTTGTTGCCGACCCAGTGGCCTTGAGCCCCGTGGGCCAGGGCCACAGTCTCCGGCTCAAACTTTCTCGACCGCGCATACTGCTTGTAGATGATGTCCGTGTTGGGCGAGACAACCCTGCCGTCGACCCATTAGCAATTAAACTTGGCCACTGCCACCGGATCCTTACTGTAGCTGCAGCGGGGTGAGACGATTCGTAGCTTTGCGGAGAATGGTGTTGGCAATGTGGAGGTGGTACGTCTTAGAGTCACGCTCAGTTCTGAACAGGCCGGTAACAAAAGACGTGAGCGCGGTAGCGACAATCACGGCCAGGCCAGGTATCATGTCCAGATAACCGAAAAAGGACAGTTTCTTAGTCTCAATCTTGACTGGTGGCGGGGTAGTTGTCGTCGCTGCCGCTGCCGCCTTGGCAGAGCGCGATCGTGCGGTTGTTCTAGTTGCAGTTGCCATGTTTGTAGGCTCTTACTTTACCGGGCGATAGCAATGATTCTGGCGGGTTGTCTGTTTAAGAAGAACCGTCCTGCGGTTAGGGATGGAGTTGTAAATTGAAAGCGGGCCGAGGCACGACTTATACAGCGCCTAGCCGCCTCCAATACGCTTATTAGCTCATTAGCGGCCAATAATAAACTCTCTTTGCGTCTGCCTCCTTCCTTGGACCAAAGTCCGCTTCAACGGCGTTTTGTTGGGATCAGCTGGAGTCAACCCAGGGGCGGGGGCGGGCCATCACCTTCATAGCGTTGACATGCCGGCACATCTTCAGGTTGCCTCGGGCCAGAGGTGGAGAGCGGGGGGGGGGGGGTGATTGGAGATCGTTTCAGATAAGCAAGGCTGTAGAAAGTGCAAGTTGACGTGCTTTGTTAGCTCACACATGTTCTCCAACCGGGTTCTTTAGTTGTCAATTCATCTGCTCTCAGTCGGAAGCTAGAACACACCACAACAAAGCAAGCCTATGATCCAGTAGCTCCGTTTAGTTACCTCTATCATTTGAACAAGAAAGAGGAGCCGCAATCGCTCTTGAGAATAAAGTCACTTACTGACTGTTTGGCTAACGGAGTTCAAGCTCTGCGGCATTGTGTGTTGTTTCGAACTTGAGAATAAGACCAACCAAAGTATCGTTATAGTTCAAGTTCAACCTTGCTACCCTAACCCAAGGAGGGTGCACCGCCGTGGGAAATGTGAGAAATCCTGGTGATGCTCGTCTGTAGCCAAGCTGCCTGACAAAAGTACCATTGCACGGACAAGTTGTCTTGTGTAACTTTCCAATGCAATATTGCGTGGTAGAGCTATGCCAAAATGCTAGATACAATACGCATCTGAGCTCTTGTCAGAATTTCGTTCGACTTGAGCTTCCACAAAAATAATTTGGCGATGTGTGGCTGTCGAACGCGCGGACTTCACAGGTACAAAAGTAAAGCTGCAGTCGTGCTTCTACTATCCGCATATGTCGAGTCGTTCGGGGCACTGATTTGTGCACCAAAAGTTACTTGCTTGATGGTCCTTTTTCCAGCCTGGGCCGCTGAAGTGCCTTGCAGGCGGCTGAGTGCTAGTTTGACTCGGGATGATTGCTCTCTGTTTCGTGCGACAAGAAGAACCTCGCATGGGAGCGAGATCCAGCTGCAATTGGACGGCCGAGCCGTCGCATTCGAACTACATACTGGTAACTCTGCTGGTTGTTCCACAACGGCATAACCTCTCGGGACTATTTTCACACCGGGCTAAATAAGGAATCGGGAGCGTGAACAGGGGTGCCCATGTCACGCCGGTTGACAGCTTCAAACGCGCTATCGAAGACCGAAATCGGTTCAGTCGGGCAAGTCTCGACGGGCGTGGGGAGGGAATGGAAGGAGCGGATATTCCAAGTCGATGTGGTTGAACAAGATTACACAGCTTTTCCTAAGCAAGCAGGTCGCAGGCATAACTTGCTGGATGATGCTTGGCGATGATGTCTGGGAAGCTCGATCCTCCCATTCTGATCTTGGCACCTGGCGGAAGTCGGCGGTAGAGCCGACCGACACCCGCTGGCTGGTTAGACATCGGCCCCTGGTCTCGACTTCCACCGAAGGAAAGCGCAAACATTTTAGACAATAATTTAAACAATAATTTAAAGCCCTGGCCATATTCTCTGCCAAGAGTTTTGTAGCACAATCCACACTATGGCATCTGCAAGCACCCGTGGTCGTTTTGCAAGCTCTTGCCCCCAAGACGTCCCCGACTTCCGTCCAGTGCTTATACCGGCTCGGCGCCCGTTTGTAGAACTTTTATATAAGTTCAACGTCATGGATCTTTCCTTGCCATTTTGCTTTCTTTCTGGGCCGCAGCTGCTTTCTTTCGGTATTACTCCATCTTCTCTTCAATCCCGCGCTCGCGACGCCCTTTCAGCATTTGCATTTCTCCGCGAGGAGGCCGCTCGATCACGACATCGCTGCACGACAAGACACCGACCATATCTTATAACAACTGCCATCAATAGCCTTCAGTTTTCGATCAATCGCCTCTTTTTCGCGTCTTATATGCCTCCGCAGTCATCTATTCGGAAATGTCCAAAACCGCGGGTTCACGATTCGCCAAATCGGTACTAGGCATCGACACAGAGGCTCGCTATGCACATCAACCACAGAATCTAGCAGACCATGCACGTACGGTCCTTGGCTCAGCCGATGCCTATGTCGAAGAAGAGCCTACAGTAGCAGAGTGGCTCAAAGAGCAAATACCGACCAAGACAGGTATAGCTCACTATCTCAGCAGCCTCTTTCCCTGTCTCTTTTGGATGCGGCGCTACAATTTTCGGTGGCTGCTTGGGGACCTCGTCGCTGGTACGTAATGCAGAACGAGAAACCTTCCCATTGCCTATCGCTAAAAAATTTCCCTAGGTATAACTATCGGTCTAGTTGTCGTCCCGCAAGCCATGGCCTACGCAGTCCTCGCCGGCCTCACACCAGAATTTGGACTCTACACGTCCTTCACTGGCGCTGTCTTGTACTGGATATTCGGAACCTCGAAAGATATCGTCATCGGGGTAAGCCACCTCAAGGAGTCCCTTCAACGTGTATTAACAGCAAAAGACTACCGCAGTTGGGTCGTTGCTTGTCGGCCAAGTCATCAATCGCGTCAAAGACAGCGGCGGACCCGGTTACAAAAACGAGGAAATCGCACATACACTCAGTCTGCTCTGCGGTATTGTTCTCTTCTTTTTTGGCCTTCTCAGGCTGGGGTGGATTATCGAGTTCATTCCTTATATTCCCATAAATGCCTTCGTTACGGCCGCCAGCATAACCATCATGTCTACCCAGCTCCCGACGACGCTGGGAATCACTGGCATCAACAACCAAGAGCCGCCATACCGCGTCATCATCAACACTTTGAAGGCGCTCCCCAAGGCCAAGCTCGATTCAGCGATTGGACTGTCTTCCATTGCACTGCTCTTTGCAATTAAAGGCTTCTGCTCCCATATGGAGTCGAGACAGCCAACTCACAAACGTGCTTGGTCATTTGCTTCGTCGCTTCGCCTATCATTTACCATGCTACTCTTTACGCTCATCAGCCGTCTGGTGCACGGTCAAGGCGAGATACTCGAGCCCAAATTTCGCATTGTCGGTAATATAGAGCGAGGTATGCACCGCGCACAATCCGGCCGGACTGATCAGCCGTTTGCTAACCATTTGATAGGATTCCAGAAGGTCGGAGTTCCACGTGTCGATATGCAGCTTCTTCGTCTCATTCTCCCGGAGCTTCCTGCTGTGGCCATTATCCTCATAATCGAGCACATTGCCATTGCAAAGGCCATGGGAAGACTGTTCAACTACAGCATCAACCCGTCGCAGGAAATTGCCGCCCTAGGAGGCGCGAATCTTCTGAGCCCTTTCGTGGGAGGCTATGTTTGCACTGGCTCCTTTGGCGCATCCGCAGTGCTGTCAAAGGCTGGTGTCCGCACGCCCCTTGCTGGCTTGTTCAGCGCGGGGATGCTAATTCTGGCGCTTTACTTGCTTACTGGAGTGTTCCGTTACATTCCCAAAGCTGCTCTATCGGGGCTTATTATCCATGCTGTCTGCAGCCTAATCACTCCGCCTAAGAATCTATACAAGTACTGGCAATTTTCACCTCTGGAGCTGCTCATCTGGGTAGCATGCGTCGCTATGGCGATATTCCAGTCTCTTGATCATTCAATCTATCTTGGGGTTGGCCTATCCCTGGCACTGTTACTGATCCGAATTGCAAGATCCAATGGCGGGTTTGTTGGCGTCGCTCGATCCCGACGAGCGCCACGGGAGGGCGAGGATATATCATCGAGACTTGCAAATGATCTCATCACGACCAAAGACGTCTTTTTGCCCTTTAACCGCCAAGATTCGTCAAATCCCGCTGTATTACTCGATACCCCCTATCCTGGCGTGTTTGTGTATCGCCTACACGACAGCTACAATTACATTAATCAGGCACTGCACATGGATATTTTGCAGTCATACTTGATGGAGAATACCCAACGAACATCCAAAGAACAACTCGAGCATGAATCTGACCGACTTTGGAACGACGCCGGACCCCGTGATAAGCTTCTCTCTGAGAACTTGCCCTACTTGCGCGCTCTGGTTCTGGACTTTTCTGCCGTCAACAACATCGATGTTACCTCTATCCAGGGTCTGATTGATCTACGTAATGTGCTGGATCGATACGCCGCGCCGGACACAGTGGAATGGCACTTCGCCAACGTCCGGAACCGATGGACGCGAAAGGCATTGGCCAGCGCCGGCTTCGGCTATCCGACAAGTCAAAACCCAGAAGCTGTGGCAAAGTGGAAGCCGATATATTCCATCGCTCCAGTCAGCGATGTAGCAACCTCTGCACCAGATCGACACAGCAGGCTATCTTTTGCGCCTAGTAGCGGCGAGGATTCTCAGTCTACTGCAGCCTCCTCCCGTCCTCCGACGGTCCACGGGAATGGTAGCGGAGCAGCTACGATTTCAGCCGTTGATCGACCATTCTTCCACCTCGATCTGCATGACGCTGTTGATGCGGCGGTGCGCGATGCCCGCCATAAAGACGTAACTGGTAGTATCTGAAGCGAAACATGACAGCTTAGACAGATGGCGTCGCAGTTTAAAACGCATGATGTTATGATATTGCATAAAGGGCGTAAGGGATCAATGTTAAGCAATTGGGAGACTGCATCAATAGACCACATAACTATAGAGTCATTCATAGCGTAACTAGCGAAAAGCTTCTCTACTTAACTTCTATGTCCAGCAAACAGCTTGCTATAGTTTGGGGCGCCAATTGCTAGTCTAGTGAGCCCGGCGTAAGCGGAAAGCCATGAGGGCAGGTAGTTGGGTCAAGTTGGTGGTCGACTCGATGCGCTCTAAATTCGCATGCTCCTCGGTGAAACTGGGTTCCTCGAGCGCGTCCATGACAAGCCCTGCCTTGAAGAAGGTCCCGAACAGCTCGTGCAGCGGACGATGGAAATGGGTCTATGCAGCAGGCATGTCAACGGCATACCAAGACGG